GCGTTGCTCTTCTTTTTGTTTTTCCTCCTTTTTTCTTTGAGCTTCTTCTTTTCTCTTCCGTTCATCTTCTTTGGCTATTCTTTCATGTTCCCTCTTTCATTCTTCTTTCTAACTCCTTATCCTGGGATGATTCATCTAACATTGGTGTTATGGTGACCTTCTCATTACTGCTTGGATCTCTGTTTCGCTGTTCTGGATATTCGTCACTGCTTTCATAAACTGAGTCTCTACCTTCTGAAAAAACTACAGATTGTGCAAACAAAATTCTTTCTCGTAGCGGATCGTTGTCACCAGGAGTGCTCTGTCTTAGTTTTGACAAAGGAGGAAGTGATGCGCTATTAAGATAAGGAGATGGATCGAACTTTGGTCGTTTTCTATTGCCATTTGATGGAGACAGCTGGCTCTTTTTATCGGCAAGTTGTGAGCCCTTGGGAGAGATGCCAAATTCCACACCACTCATTAGGAATGGATTCTTTACAGGGTTAATGTTGGGTAGTAATGAAACAAGTGAAGACTTCAAAAAGAAATCTAAATCCGTTTGGATTTTAAGCAGATAATTCTTTGATCTCCAAACGAAAGGTTTTGGAGCTTGCAAAATATTTCTCCAATGTACAATTGCTTCAACAATGTCTAAAGTACAAAGTCGGAGTGAAGCAGCAATGTTTTTCACTTCTCTTGCAACTAAATGTTTGCTAAATATCTTTTCATCTCCATATCTCTCAACCAACGAGTTCAGAGTCTCCAAAAGAAGCTCTCTATTTTCAATGTTTTTTAAAATAGATAGAATTATATTTCGTTGTTCTGTTAACCTCTTAATCTCCTCTGAAATGATTGCAAGGTTGTCATTCATGCATTTTGAAAGATATATTTTCGAAAACTTTTCTCTTTCTTCTTCTGGAACTCGAAGCTCACTCCATAGCTTTTGAATTCGTGACTTTGCTTTCATAAAGAATTGTTCTGCTTCAATGTCAGCTAACGATTTCTTTTGTTCTAATGGTGGTCTTTCCCTTGTTTGGTTACCTTGCTCGCTCAAAACTGATTTGTCAGAAATTTTCTTTCGACTTTGTTGACCAGTTGAAACTTTTCGAGGCTGAACCTTAAACCAAAGTTGGCTGGAAATGACGAAAAGGTTTGTTACTTACCTTGTGGCTGTCCTCTATTCTGCTCGATGAAGCACTAAATGAAGGTTTTTTGCTCGATCGTGACGAAGTATTTGAAACAAAAATAGAGGAATTGGTGTACATTTTGGCATGTTTGTCATTAAGAACATTGTATGAAGGCATTGGATCCAGATGAAATCGTGAGTTCCATTTCTTCTCTCTTTCCTTTTCAATGATTTTACTTCGTTCCTTCTCCATAGCTGTAAATAGTCTTTCATAGATTAATGAATTGTTGCTTTGCATTAGTACATCGTCATAAATTTCGTTTTCCATTTGAATTACTCTGCTTTTTGACATCGGAGAAAGATATCTTCCTCCTAACATTGGGGAACAAACAAGGAGGTTTAAAATCGTTCTTTGAAGGAGAAACAATTTCATACAAACTTACTGCTTCGGTGAGATTGAGCTGGCGAGGATAAATCTTCATCGATAGATTTTAAAGACACTGGACGCTCAAACGCATTGTTGTTATTTTCAATTGAAATCGATAGATCTGTCCTCTTACGGAACAGAGGACTCTGGTACCTTCCGCTAGAGTTCGAAGCTGATGAGTTTACCATGATGATGATGAGAATGATGATTGAATAGCCGCTTCGGCCACCACAAATATTATGCTCCTCTCAATAGGGTTTTTAAAACAAAAATACATAATCTAAGGGTAGAGAGACCCTTCCAAGAAATTCTTCGTGTTGAAACGTTCAGCAAATGAAGAGCTAATATTTTTTAGAGGCTTGTTGCTGGACATCATCATCACCTCACTACCCAGAGATATCGCATGCCATTCATTGTTGGAGGGCATTACAGAGAGTGGTTCTATTCATCCATACAATCGTTATACTCTTGGGTGTCTTCTTGGGAGAACATGTCTGTGGTTGATCATGGGTATCCGAGTTGTAGTTGAAATGGCGCTGAAATTTGATGCTCAGTGATTATTGGTTGAAGTGCTCTTTGGGTTCATGAACCACCAAAATAAAAATGAATTTCTCCTCTTACACAGCCATGAATAACGTTTGAATTTTCGAACAAATAAACGCATGGACAGTGATTATTAAAAAAAAATGAATTTCTCCTCTTCTCATCAGAAGCAGCAGCTAAGAAGGCACGTGCCATCCTCGGAAGGAAATCTATCACTAAACAATGTACTTTCACAACTCTTACTCGGCAATAATCCTTCGAAAAATATATTTATGGTACTCTTATCGAGTATTCTTTCAATATATTTAACACAATACACGATGAAGAAAATTAATTCATTTCGGAAATTAATGAATGAAAATCCTTTGTTTCTAATTTGGGGAGTGTTGAATGTATTGAGTGGACGAAAATTCTTTGATAATAATAGATTAACACACAACGATACAAATAATTCTAATCACATACAACAAACAGAAGTAAAATCAACATCTCCAAGAAAGGGGTTATTTAATTTATTTTCCAGAAAGAAACATATTCAACATGTAGATTCAAAACCAAAAACAATTATTGAAGAAACAATGCAAATTGATGAAGACGAAGTTGATGAAGATGTGTATTACATTAAGCTGTATCGACAAAGAAATGCAAAACAGGCAGAGAATGTCATTCCAGCTGTAAGTATTTTACAGTCTGCTGGTTATTGATTTACTTTTCGTCAACAGAATTTGAGTCAGCTCGCTTTGAACGCAGGAACATTGTTTAACAGAGTCAAGCAATATGTCACAGCCGAAGATATTTTAGAACAAAATCAAAGACGATTGGCGACAAATAATAGTACCACAGAATTTACAGAATATTTCGTAAATAACCCAAATGACTCCAGATCCTATCGACCAGATTTCAATTTTCCAACATACGATACTTTTCAAACAAACTCAGAGACAGTGCTTCCTAAAATGTAACAATGATATTCGTATCAATATTCAAGTTCTCATTTCATAATGAATAGTTTTTAATGCAGCATAATTTGAAGACTGGAGGGTTTGGTAGATTTAAGTCAATGTCATTCAATTTACAACTATATTTGCTGTTATATGTTAGATATGAGCATCATTCACTCTGGTGACATTTTGACCTCTCATTTAACGTTAGCTGCACCAACAGCTTTTGGATACCACTTTTTTGAGCCTGGTGGATTCTCCTCCCATTCAAAAGCGCTCATATTTTTCGTTTCATTGAATATCATTGAGAATTCACCGACTCTAGTAATTGTTGCATTTCTTGCACTTGTTAAATTAATACAATTCTTTTGCCAAAGCTGAGTTTGGGCTCCAACAATTTTAATTATATCGCCCGCATTAATATAATCTGCTTTGTGATTCCATAAACTTAAAGTTATAAAAGCAGTGTCGTCAGCTACAAGAAAATTGGTTATATGATGATTGTCTTTCGTCTTGATCGTGTTTTGCCGTTCCAAAACAATAAATGTTATCGTAAAATCATTCATCATGGGTTTGAGATCAGCAATTTTGTAATATTTTTGTTGTGCATTAATATCAATATTTTGTTGATTCATATTCGGAGTTTGTGTGTTGGAAGGTGGAGAGGGTCTTCGATTGGATGATGGTAATGATGAAGAGGTGTTTATGTTTGAAGGAATGTTTTGCATTTTTTTTTAAAAATCCAGTCATACTGTTGGGGGGTTGTTATTAGGAAAGACTTTCAAGTGTTGTTCATGATAATAAGATGACAGCAGCTTTTATGTTGAATTAAACATATTCCTTTGAAGAACTATTGATGATGACTGAATGCCATGGCAAGGTCCTCAAATGAATGACAGCATTTGGACCATCAGAGCTTTTTGACAGATTACATCCTGTCCTAAAATATTTTATCAAAAAAAATCTAAATTATTATTTTCAATATTCTTGATCATCATCATGATGAACACGGATTACCAGGACGAAAGCAGCTTCGAGACAGTCCAACCACAACAAAATGATGTCTCGTATCCAACAACAACAACAACTACGTACGAGGAAGCATACAACAACACCCTTGGAGGAGGAGTTCAAGATGTTGATCAACAACAACAAGACTCTTTTCCAACTCTTCCTGCTTCTCAGCCTCATCAAGTCCAGAATCCAATTGTAGATTCTGATGAGCCTACTGTAAGTCAGTAATGTTGATGATGAACCACCACAAATAACACGTGTGTTTGAAAAATCTTTTCAATTATGGTGATTCATCACGATAAATTTGGAATTGATGAATGATATTCATCATGTGCATCCAACATGATCACCCAAAACATCATAAAACACATATATAGTTCATTTTCTCTGTGAGCGAACCTGAGAAAGTAAGCACAGGAAAGGCCTTTGAATTGTCCTATTGGATGTACAAGATTACTGTTGATACCAAACTTGACCAATACAAACAACCAACTTTGGTTTGTCATAGAAGATACAATGACTTTGTTTGGTTTAGAGAGTTGTTAGTTTCAAATTATACTGGAATTGTTATTCCACCATTGCCAGAAAAGAGTATTCTTGCATCAGTGTAAGTGTTTGTATTGCAATCAAGTTGATGAGTGGAATTGATTCTTCCAATGTTCTCCACGATGGCTAATATGATGTGTCAATATGATGTCTATGTGCGTGTGATATAATTTCAAACTTGTGAATCGATCGATGAATCCTTGCATTCTCAATGCTTCAATCGGAACTACTATCCCATTATTATGATGAACTGTGATGATTTCACCCTATATTTTGATCAAATGATTCTTGATGTACATGAAAACTCTATACCACAAATATATTGTAATGCTCATATCCAATGATTGATCAATAATGATTCTCATATGTGATTATTCATATATGTGATGATGATGATCATGACAACAATTTAATTTACAAAAACAAATGTCTATTACTTCCATTTTGGTACCAAATGAATGTGAATCTGAACAGTGAAAAAATCTTTTCCTCTGTAGACACCAACTCTCTTCTTGAATACAGACAACGTGCCTTGACCAAGTTTTTGACTCGAGTTGGTGAACATCCTGTTTTGCAAACCTCTATGGAACTTCAACAATTTCTCGAATCATCAGAAGAAGAATTTAATGTATTAAAGAACACAAAGACAAAGTCTTCAAAGAGTGGTGGATCATTTTCACTTTTCAAATCCAAATCCACCACACCTGAACCTGAGTGGATTACAAATCACAGAAAGTTTATTGACAAGTTAGAAAGTGCACTGAAAGAACTAAGACAGAAATTGCAAACAATGATTACAAGAAGAAAAGAAATGGCAAGTGCTTTTTTGGAGTATGGAAAAGCATTCATGTCAGTTGGTACTATTGAAACGGATTATGATTCATCCAATTCATTGGCTAAGAATCTTTTATCTGTTGGACAATCTGCTGAACAATTAAGTAAGGTAACAGATGACCAAGCTCAAAAAGAAACAATGCAAGTGATTGAGACATTGACTTATTATTTGGGAATGTGTGAATCTATTAAACACACTGTCTCTCAAGTGGAAGATCTCAGAAATGAGAAAGATAGTGCTCAATCTCAATTAATTTCTCTTCAACAGGCAAAAGAAAAACCAAATTTGAAAGAAGATAAGAGACAACAATTGGAAACTCAAATCGAACAAGCTCAAACTCACTTGAAAAACAAGATTGACAAATTGGAATCATCTGAAGTTTTATTCAAGAATGATTTGGAACGTTTTGACTTGGAAAGAAAGATTGATTTCAGTTGCATGTTACAAAGTTTCCTCAATTTACAAATCGAATATAATCAAAAGTTACACGAATGTTGGTCTGACAGAATTCCACAAATCAATGCCTCTATTTATGAAGAATAAAATTAAGAAGAAAATAAAATTAAGAAGAAACCACCGCTGTACTCTGTGTGCATGCATTCCTACACGCGTGATGGTATTGATGTTGAGTTGGGTGTCATGATGTATGAATGAGCTTTTTCAGAGTTTGGGGTGATGGTGTACCAATGTAACGAAACAGAAACTCATGAAGATGACGCGGCTCACAATGATTTCCATCATCAATCATCTTTAAATCATCATCATCATATATTCGTAGTGGTCCTAAAGTACATAGAATCAACACCACCTTGCGATTCAGAATGGGAATTAGATGCATAAATGTTGAAATGACTTTCATGTTGACATCATGCCATTCAACCCTTAAAAGGATATTTTCCTTAAATGTGAAGAGATTCGTTTCCATAACGCATTATCCAAATGATTAAGATGGTAATTTAGGAGTTCAATTTAGTCCAACCATTACAAGAATATCGACATTTTTAGAGTTGACTTTTCTTCGAGCCCTAAGAATGCTGCTGCACTCTAATGCTCTGAGTTCATTTCCCTCTCTTTGCCAAACCAACAAGCACACACACACACCTCGCAACATATGGTTCAATCGCTTAATTCTCTTGCATCATAAACCCCACAATATTTACACCAACAACGCACACCACTCCACTTGTCCACAAAGAAGTCTCCAAACACACTGTAAAAAATTAGATCGTTCTGAGTAACAACAATCAACATCATCATCATCTCTATTCGTGTTAACGTCCAGATATCCTTGTGTGTTTGCAGTTTGAGAATTCCATTTAATATCGAATTGAGACTCCTATCTTTATTATCCCATCATCACTCACTACTCAGATAACATTATCTGATTGACAACAATCATCAACATCTCTTATCATTGTGAAGAATATAACTAGTAAGCTTGTAGCTGTTACCTTACTCATACTTTGAACATTGTATTCCTAACTAACTATTGTTATTGAGAATTGTTCACATAACTATTATCTCTTTGATTGCTTGTGTGTAGTATTTACTTATCACACAACTCCTCATCATCAAGCAAACAAGAATAACAACAACAACAACAAACACATTGACTCGTGTTCTCTGTACTTGTCAGAGAAAGATACACCAACTCCATTGAACCCGTTGATTGTCTCTTATCAACAAAGCCTTGTTGCATTTTACAACGCAAAAACAAAATGAAATCTTCAACCACAAACACCTCCGCAGTTGAGCAGTTACCATTTCATACCTCACATTCCCTCTCAGGTGCGCCTGAAAGAATTGACGAGCCAACCAATTCCAACAGCGGATTTGACTTTTTCTCTTTTCCCAACTCTAATCCATTCATGTCTCCTTCTGATACAGCAGTGAGTAATCCCTTTCTTTCCTCTTCGGGAGGAGGAGGAGGTGCATTGGGAGGTGGAGGACTTTCGAATCCTTTTGGTCTCTCCTCTCCAACCTTTACCAGAGAACGACGGTTGTCCTCAATCTTTGATTTGGAGAATTCCCGAGATTCAGACATGATGTTAGATCGGAATAACAACAAGAGCCTTAGTGCTTTTTCCTTTGGGGGAGGAGGAAATCTTGCTTCTGGAGAGAACAGTAATCAGTCGATGATGGGTCAATCTCCTTCCAAAGCTCTTACTTCTTCCAAATCCCAACAACAAATTACTTCGTTTGATCAGGCCATTCCTCTTCTGAGTGGAGGAAAGAGTCAACAGCAGCAGCAATATGTAGATTCCTTCCCTTCCGAGCATTCTCTCTTCTCTTCTTGTTCCTTCTCCATGAATCAATCAAAATTATTAAGCTCTCCAACCCCTGGAAGTGATAATCCTAATGCAGTCATGATGACCTCCTTTGCTCAAGCCTCAGAAAGAAGACAACAACAACAACAACAACAACAAGGAGTCATCCTCTCCAGTGGTGGTATTGGAACAAGCCTATTGGAGGAGGCTGAGTTGTCCAAATCTTCCTCTTTCCCCTCTCCTCCTCAATTTGGATCAACCAAGAAGAGCTCCACCAATGTTCCACCTCCTCCCAATATGCTTTCTCTAGGACCATCTTCCAACCAGCAACAACAGCAACTGACAGGAAAGCAACAATATACGTTACTTCAGGAGGGACAATCCTTTTCGCCACAAGGTGGTGGATCCAATGCCAATGTTCAGCAACAACAAAATATGCAAAATCTCTTTTTCCAGTACATGTCCAATCAGAGTGCTTCTGCTCAACAACCATCGGGCGCTTCGACTCAATCATCCACTCAAGGACTGTATGGGTCATCACAACTTGCTCAGGGAGCTAACACCTCTGCTGGCTCAACCAATACAGGAGGAATCACACATCAACCATTCATTTGGACATCTGCTCTCTATCCTCAAGCTGCTACTACTACTAATACTGGAGGAGGAGATTCAGGTCAGCAACAGCAGCAACAAACAGGACCTTCTTCTCAACCTGGAACATTCTCATTCCAAGATCAAGTTCAAATGATGAATCAACAAATGTTGCAAAATCCATCCACGGCAGGTGCCTTCATACAGAATTATCAATTGCTAAATCCAGGTGCTGTGGCTAGCTTCAGGCAACATGCACAGCAATACTCGAGTGCAAGCGGTAGTGGTGCTGGTGGTGGAGTCAACACAGGTGGAAGTACAACAGGTTTCATGGACACCGCTGCCCTTCTCTCTCAACAACGTTCTCTTTACTCAACTCCATTACAAGTCAATACTACACCCACACTCTCACAACAGAGAGCTCTTCTTGGAAGTGGATCTCTTCCAGGTGCAAGTGTTGAATATGGTACTCCTTCGACTCCATCTCCTCAACTTGCAAGCTCCTCTCCTCAAGATCAATCAAGCTCAGGAAGAAAGAGAAAGAAGCAAGCAGGTACCATCACCACTCCTCAACAAAAATCCTCTCGATCCAACAAGTCTAAAAACAAACAAAATGAAAGTGTTTCATCACAAAATGTTGCAGCCACAACTTCGACCACTCAACAACGTGAAGCCAAAAAGAGAAAAAGGAATGTTGGTCATTCGACGGAATCAGAGCTCTCCAATCATGGCATACTCTCTTCAGGTGTAGGAGAGGAGAACAGCAGAGAGCACTATTCCAAAGAAATGCATGGTTCAGCCAATCCTTCCTCTCTTGATTCTGGAGCCTTAGATTCTCAACATGCCTATGATTCACAACAAGGGCTCTTGGAAGAAGAGGACTCTAACGATGCGAATGGTCAAAAGAAATTCTGTTTCAGAAACTTAATTGTTGAAAAGAATTCACAAAAGATGAAATTTGTCAACTCAGACATTAAGGAAGAGGGTACCAATCAAGGTGCATGGTCTGAGAGAGAACATCAAGCATTCTTGAAAGGCCTTCAAGAGTTAGGTTATGGTAAATGGAGAGAAATTGCTGATCGATATGTGAAAACCAGAACTAGAATTCAAGTGGCATCACACTCTCAAAAGTATCACCAACGTTTAGAAAGACAAGCCAGAAAGAAAAAGAAACAACAACAAGCAAAGAATGGAAAGAGAGGTGGAGAGACTGTTGAAGAGGAAGGAGCAAGCAGTGGTACTCCTCACTTGAATCAATAAATTATTAATGGATACAAAGTAATTCTCAGCATTAACGCCTTTGTTTCATCTTGGTATTTCAACTACTTTGGTTTCAGGTATTTGATTTTTCTCAAATACAATATAAAAATCAAAATGTAATATATTGATTGTAATATATTGGATTTGAGAAAATTGGATCAATATAATGTCATTGTTTACCTAAAAAGTGCAAGTTATCGAAAACACAACAAAGAAGAAGTATCGCATAATGTGGTATTTGTGTTGAAGAATAAATTATTAATAATTTATTAATTGTTATAATTTGTAATCGTTATCCTTTTCATTCATGCCTGAATATTTTGGATCATGAGAACTCTTGAAAAAAAATGTCATCACAACCAAATTCTTCCTTGTTCAACCTCTTGATCATTGACTACAATCAATCTGAAAAGAGCAATTGGTACAAGCTCTTTTCCAATCATACCACAAAGAAAGGTCAAAAGATTCATGTCGAACAAGCGGGATGGGAAGAAATTAAACTCGTTGCAAATAGCGAATATGGACCCATGTTGGAATTGAAAGGAAAAAACGATTCCATCTTCAAACAGCAGAGACAAGATCGAACATTGATTCCACATTTTGTATTGGTGAGAAACTTTCCAAGTGCTCTTCATACAGAGTCCTATCGAAATGTATTATTAGGATTAATGTTTGCAAGTAGGTGATGATCTTCAAATGATGACATTCTCTTCAATTCGATATATGGAGGAATATATAATTGTTTACATTCTGACATGATTGTGTTGATAAATGATTGAACAACAAAATTATATTTCAGATGTTCCAGCAATGAATTCTCTCGACTCTATTTACATGTGCAGTGAAAAACCTATTGTTTATGGTAAATTGAAGGAAATTCAAAAAAAGTTAGGTGGATTTGATGCCTTTCCTCTAATTCCACAAATTTATTATCCAAATATTAGAACATGTGATTGGTTTGAAGAAAATGAAAAGGTAATATTATTTAATAACTTTTTGAGTGACATTCATTTATTGTGAATTTATTATATACTACAATACAAAAGACTCTTCCACAAGAATTTCCAGTGGTTTGTAAGATTGGAACTATTCATGCTGGATTTGGTAAACAAAAATTGGACACCAAGTCACAATTTGATGATTTCACAACTCTAATGGCTCTCTATAAGGATTATTTCACATGTGAACCATTTTGTAATGTTGAATATGATTTGAGATTACAAAAGATTGGAAATCACTACAGAGTTTATCAAAGAAGTAGTGATTCCTCTTGGAAGAATGTGAGTAGTAGTATATCAACATTGTTTTTACAAGTTCCAACACTTGAATTGTATAACATGAATTCAGAATTGGGGAGCCATGAAATTTAAACCACATGACACTATTGAAGAGAGATACAAGTAAGTGTGTTGTTATTGTTGTTGTTGTTGAATATGAATTTCTCATGATGAACAACATGTGGTCACTCAATTCATAAATGAACTACAACATTAACATTCAATCATGCAATTCTTCTTCTCCTTTTTTATTGATCTTTATTTGGAAACTTGATGTGAATCAGAATATGGATGGATGAAGTTTCTAAAATGTTTGGTGGTGGACTTGACATGTTCACTTTGGATGTCATGAAATTGAAAGATGGTTCAGAGAGAATTCTTGAGCTCAATGATTCATCAATGGGATTGTTGTACGATTTTGAAGAGGAAGATAATGCTCATATTGTGGATCTTGTCATGAGTAAAATTAATCAAATGTGTGAGTGATTGAGTAAATGAAATTCATGAGTGAATTTGAATCATCAATAATACCCGTTCGTAAATTACCGCCAAAACTCGTTACACTTTTTCAATTTAAAAAAAACTAAAAAAAATGGAATTTGCATCACCTTGCTCGTCCGTCACTGGAGGAGGGAGAAGTAGTAGTTACGGTGGTGGTAGTATCATTCAAAACAATACTCAAATGAAATTGGGGCCAAACAGCAACACCAAAACAACATCATCGCTTCTTCATAAAATTTCATCGGGAATGAACAACCGCTCTCCGCTTAATAACGGCCGTGTACTTCATTCAGTGTATGGAACACCCTATTCTTCATGTGGTGGTATTGATGATGATGAATTGTGTTCTCCTCAAATACCAATGTCTTCGGAAAAGAAGAAGGCATCAGTCTTTTCGCCAAAGATGACCACCTATTCGTTGGATAAAGAAAATAAGCCTCCATCCAAAATCGACTCAACTCTGTCAAACGAAAAAGGAAAGTTGGATTATGAAATTGCATGGAGAGATGAAAAGATTAGATTGTTAGAACAAGAGAGGATTAATCTAAATTCTAAAATGGAGGACTATGCTAAACAAAATTTAAATCTTCGAGAAGAATTACGAAAAGCTCAATCAAACACGTCAAATCCAGCCAATGAACTGATGCAAATGCGACATGAAAGAGACTCCATTCAAGAATACGCAGAACAAATAAGGCAACAAAAACAAAATTTGCAAGAACAGCTTAATTTGATAAAGCAAGGAAATAGTAATATCGAGAAAGAGTTCGAACGACGAGGGCAGGTGATCCAAATACAAGAAAACCAAATCAAGGAACTCTCCACTCAGCTAGAGTATTATCGAACTCTATCAGAACAGCTTCAATTGGATAAGGAGAAAATGCAACAAGACATGATTGAAGCACAAACCAATTTACAAACCAAGATTGCTGAATATGATGAGCTCAATGGAGTGCAGGAAGAATTGTTGAGAGCCATAACTGAGGAGAAAAAGAAAGCAACCGATCTGATAAAGGCACAAGCGAGTGACAAGACACAAATTGAAAAACTCAAAAAGGAAAATGAACGATTAGAACTCTTAGTTGACAAGTTGCAGTCAGATATGAAAAGAGACCACCAAGAAATATATAATCAAAAGATTCTTTTCAACTCAACTATTGAAGAAACTCAAAGGAAATTGCAAGATGATATTACAAAATTAACCAAGTTGTACGACGAAGCTCGAAGAGAGATTGAGGAAAAGGATAATATGCTCTCTGCACAGCAACAAGCAAGCCAACAAAAAATCTTATCCTTAACAGATCAATTAAGGGAGCAAATGGATAAGTACGAACGAAACCTTACACTGTTAAAACAAGAGGAAAGTAACGAGAAAAAGCGACATGCTGCTCAAATTTCAAAACTCAAAAAGGAACTAAACTCCAGTATGGAGATGATCAAAATGTTGAAGGAAGCAAACAAAAATTTGGAAGATAATTTCAATCAACATCAAAAAATCATTACTGCGTTGGAAGAACGGTTGGAAAAGGAAAAACAAGAGAAAGAAGAACTCTCCGAGAATTTGGATATTCTCAAAAACAAACTTCCAAAAATGTTGCACCTGCTTGAGGAGTAACGTGTAAAGTATGTGAAAATAGTTAATAAATTTTTACTTAAAGGCAATATTGATCTTGGTTGAGTAATTCAAGTGCTGCTTTTTCATCCTTAGTGGAAACAGGTTCTTTGGCTACTTGGAACGCAGAAATAAGTGCCATTGTTTGTAGGGATTCACTTGTTCCAAATGACAATCTATATTCAATGTCGCTCATTTGTTCTAACAGATAAATTCGAACCGGCATTGGTATATTCAATCTCATCACATATTGAAAAACTTCTCTGATAATATCTTGTAGTGCTAAACCCCTGTCAGTTTTGATGCCTGTAATCCTTTTGTAGGCATCATGTAAACCATCATTGAACATTGCATTCACAATTTCTCTAATATCGCTCTTGAGTGGATTTCCTGTACACATGTGAACATTATCTTCAGTGATTTGACCAAAAGACATGTATGTTGATTGAAGAATGTTCACACACTTTCTCATATCACCATTAGATAATTTAAAAATTGCTTCTAAACCAAGTTGATTAAAAACCACATGTTCTGCATTACAAATTTGTTCCAATCTTGAAACAACCTCATGCTTCTTGAGAGGAGTAAATCTAAATCTAGTACATCTTGACTGCAATGCTGGAATAATCTTATTCACATAGTTACAAATTAAACAAAATCTAACATTTTTCGAATATTTCTCGATTGTACGTCTTAATGCTGCTTGTGCATCTTTAGTCAATTGATCAGCTTCATCTAAAATAATTAATTTGATGTCAGGTGTGTCTTGTTGTTTTTGTGTAGTCGCTGAAAAAAACTTTAACCCTCTTGTGGAAGCAAAGTCTTTAATTTCTTGTCTGATGACTTGAATTCCTCTATCATCACTAGCATTGAGTTCAAGAACATTATGCGATAAGTTGTTTCCGAAGATTTGTTTGGCAATGGCTAATACGGTACTTGTCTTGATTGGAGAGAATGAGATCATCATTGCCATGATCGTTAAAAGGCTTTCATCATCAAATGATTCTTACCTTTCCTGTTCCAGGTGGACCGTAGAATAACAAGTGAGGTAATCTTCGGCCATCGATCAATCGTTGAATGGTTGAAATAATTTCTGTGTGTGATAACAAGTCGGAGAGTTCATGTGGACGATATTTTTCAATCCACATTAAATTCTTTTCGTCTGATGACATTTTTTGGGCGCGCTAATTAAAATTTTTTTAATGGCGCGAGATAATTTCCCATGCTCTCGAGACTCTGTCCTTTGATTAATCAACAACAATCTATCATAAATCATTGAATGCATGAATTCATGAAAATTCTTAAAACAATGAATGAAAAAACAGTTCTGGAATGAGAATGACGAAATCAGCATTTCCACAATTTTTATTTGAAGTTGCTGCCCGCATATGGCCGAGTTGTTTTTCTGGAACTGTGGCAGCCAACTGGTCCAGCGTTCGAATCCCAGGGGTTGATGTTGTTATCGTGAGCAGTTTAAACACCTTTACTTCCGGGGTGCCTGCTAGGAAGTCACTACGTATCTTACGTTCGGCTTGTAAATAATGTACATAAAACCATCGAACAACGTTTATCATCGAATAAACCCATCCCTGAATTTTTATTTGAAGTTAAAAAAATTTGAAGTCATCTTATTGGTTGAAAATATTCATCACCATGCAAGACCCACAACAACAGGCAGCCAACCATAACAACAATGAGCAACATAATTTTCAAAATTCATTGTCTATGGCCAAAGTAGAACAATACATCGGAAGAGGTTTCTTTCAAATGCTTTTCCAAGAGCAACACGATGTAAACAACAAGTACAGCAAGGCTACAAAGCCACAATCATCCCGTGATGACGATGAAGAAGAAGAGGAAGATGATGAAGAAATTAATGCCGGAGTGGATGTTCAAAAGTTAATGAAAAAGAAGAGAATTATTAAAAACAGCGAAGGATATGAAAAAGAAGAAGAGGATTATGATTATTATGAAGTACTCGGGTTAGAAAAGCGTTGGCTCTCAACTCCCGATGATATTAGAAAAGCATATAAAAAGAAGGTCAAGGAATACCATCCCGATCACTTTAAAAAAGCCTCCTCCAACAATACGACCACTGTTGGAGAGAACAAACAAGTTCCCGATGATACCATGTTCAAAGTACTCACGAAAGCCTATGAAACTCTTTTAGATGAAAAAAAGAAATTAGCCTATGATTCAAGCGAACCATTTGATGACTCGATTCCAACCTATTCAACTCCTTCTACTCCACTCACAGAGGAGGAAGAACAAAAGAGATTCTTCTCAACATTTGCACCAGTTTTTGAAAGATGGTCCAAATGGTCTCGAGCTTTCCCAAATGTCCCTAAATTGGGTGATATGAAAACACCTTGGGAAGAGGTTGAGAGGTTTTACACATTTTGGGTCACATTTAAGAGTTGGAGAGACTTTAGTGGAGAGAGTGAATATGATGAATCAATGGCTGACTCAAGAGAAGAACGTCGTTGGATGAAACGTCAAAATGATAAGCTCAATCAAAAACGCAAAAAAGAAGAAAAGAAAAAGTTGAATGATTTAGTGGAACTTGCACGTCGTAATGATCCACGAGTTAAGAAAAAGAATGAAGAAATTGAACAAGAAAGAAAGAGAAAGGAAGAAGAAAAAGCTAAACGCGAACTAGAAAAACTTTTGAAAGAGGAACAAGAACGAAAGGCAGAAGAGGAACGACAAAGAAAGGCAGAACAAGAAGAACGCGAAAGAAAACAGAGAGAAAAAGAAGAATATGAACGAAAACAACAAGAAAAAATTCAAACTATTAAGAAAATGCGAGATATGTGTGAACCTTATTTAGTTTTAATTTTAAAACCAACGAAAAATCAAGAACAACCACCTTCAAAAATCAAAGCTGAAGATTTGGAATTTCTTCTCAGCAATTTACCAATTGATAACTTAATGAAAGCAGTTCAGAAATTAGAACCAATATTTGAGGAATCTAAAAAAACAAAGGATGACTCACTCTTTGTGAAAGCTTTTTATGAAATCGAGAATAAGGTGAGAGAAGTTGTTCGTAAAAAAGAAGAAGAAAAGAAACAATTACAAGCTCAACAAAAAAAGAATGCTGAAAAGAAGAGCTCTGAATGGACGCATGAAGAATTAACTCTCCTTGCAAAAGCAATTGCTCTCTATCCAGGAGGAACTCAACAGAGATGGGTTCGTGTTGCCGAATATGTTGGAACTAAAACACCAGAAGAGGTTCAACAAAAAACAGGAGAAATTCGTAAAAAAACAAGTACAGGTGAAGTAATTCCGAAGAGAGATGAAAAGGATTACTTTGGTGAGTTCCAAAAAGCAAATGCTAAAAATCAAACCTCAAAAAAGAAGGAAGAAGAACAAAAGAAGATGGAAGAACAATATCACATTGGATCAAAAACGAATCAACCAGTCATAGAAACTTCCTCCTCCACAACAGGTGTGGAAAATTGGACAGCACTACAACAGAAAGCACTCGAGACAGGAATTCGACAATTCAAAGAGTTGAAAGGAGATGCAAAATGGGAAAAGATTGCTGAAATAGTTCCTGGAAAATCAGCTCAAGATTGTAAGGATCGTTTTGAATACTGTCGACAACTTGCATTGGCAAAGAAGAACAAACAATAAATCATCATTTCTGGATGAGGTTTCAGCAGAAACATTTTATGTATCCTATGTATGACAGTTCGGATGGTCGACCTTTCTTTTTATCACAACGCAAAAAAAATGAATCTTTCTCAACTCACCCCCGATCTCAAGCTAAAACTTCTTTCCATGCTCTCTGCGTCATCGTCCTCCTCGTCTTCATCATCTTCACCCTCCTCATCCACAAGAACAACCTCCAATAAGGACATAGTTTCGGAGTTGGACCACACAATTTCCAAACAAGACAAACAATTCATTCTCTCCGTGATCAATTCCATTCAAGAACAAGGCTATTTCATCAAAGATGAATTTCAACCAAACGACTTGACACAACAAACAAAAGAGCAAATGATTGAAATGAAAACATCATTACACCAAGCTGGAATGGGAGAAGGATCTACCAAATACATCAACTCCTCACTTCGAGGTGATTTATTCAAATGGATTTCGGAACACGATGTTGAAGAGAATACTCCACTCAGAAAAACTCTATCCAATTTGAATAGAATTCGTCATGTTTTAAATTACGTCTTTAATTTACAATTAGATAGAAATAGTATACAAATTGCATTCTATTCCAATGGTGCTCGATATGTCCGTCATGCAGATGCCACACCATTACAGTCACCCGATCGACGATTAACATTTTTATTATACTTCAATGATAAATCAAGTATTGATGGAGGTTCTTTACAATTGTACAGAAAGGAACGATCCTTTGACAACGAATATAGAACTCCCTATGAATATCAATTTAAAGAAATTTCAGAAAATCAAGTCACAGTGAAACCTTTGTTCAATCGATTGCTAGCATTTTCATCTGAATATTACCATGAAGTGTTACCATCACTTAGTGATCGATTTTCATTGACCATGTGGATGTATGGACATGTAGATGTATGGCAAAGAATTAGAGAATATTCTCGAACGACAATTTTTGTTTCGATTTGTGCATATAGAGACAGTGAATTACAACATACACTCAAAGATATGTTTGAAAAAGCTTACTATCCTGATCGATTGAGAGTTGGAATATGTTTACAGGTTCATGAGAATGACTCTGTGAACGACGAATTTGATTATAGAAATCAATCTTATTCACATCAAATTAAGGAAATTATTATCAATTACAAGTCATCGAAAGGACCATGTTTTGCCCGATTTTTAATTCAGAAATATTTATATCAACAAGAAGATTATTATCTTCAAATTGATTCACATATGAGATTTGATGATGGATGGGATGTAACACTCATCAAGCAATTGCATCAATGTGAAGAAGAAGAAAAGTTCACAAGCAACATGTCTGTCAAAAAATCACCACTTGCAATCTCCAAGTGTATCCTTACCACATATCCTGTTGGTTATGAATTGCCTAACAAAATTCCAGAACATGCCCAACCAACAATTATGGTTGCAAAATCCTTCACAAAAGATGAGAATGGTTTTGAAATGTTGCGACTTGGAGCTCGTGTGATGATGCAACATTTATCCAAACCTGTAAAGAGTATCTTTTTTGCTGCTGGATTTGCCTTTTCACGTGGAAGTCTTGTATTGGAATGTCCTTATGAAGAATTGCCCTATCTATTCTTTGGTGAAGAAATGTACATGCTAGAGAAATTCCACTCGAAAGCATATCAAATTTATTCACCATCTGAACCAATCGTTTATCACTTGTGGTCGAGAAGTCACCGAAAAGCATTGTGGCAAGACCAACAAGAAGAATCCTCCGATCGGAGGATGGACATTCGATGGACATTGTCATGGAAATCATTTGTAGAGAATCACTTTAAACAATTTACAAAAACTACAGTGGTGAATATTGACAGTGTAGAATATGAGAGCATCAATGATGCTGAACAGATTCAATGCATCAAACAACATTCTCAGCATATGGTTCAACGAAAGCTCAAAATGATAAACCCGCCAATGACTTGCAGCGATGATTGCTCTCACCCAAACGAAGATTCTTCTTCCTTCTTTGAGTATTGTGGAATTGACTTTACACAACGAAGGATTTATGAGAAGGCACAACGAGGAGGTTTACCACAGCACTACACCCTGATTTGAAATTTATATATTTGGTGATAAACGCGTGAATCGGAAAGCCGGTTTGGTGATGCAAAACTCCTCTGTCGTCGTTCATGTAGCATGATACCGAAGGAGTGAGCTGTAATCCAGCTGTAAATACTGCAGTTGTGTGGATGCAACTCGGCGATTTGAATCAGTTTCAATACAAAAGGCATCGCCTTAATCACATTTTCGGGGATTTTTTTTTGAGATAAATTAGCGAGGCTCCAATCATTTTCGCCACCCAACATCCAGAACGCCAGTTTACAACAGTGATCAATTGAATAGAATTTCGCTCCATTAAACCTAGAAAAAAAACGCTCAACATCATCATCATTCAACAACACCCCGAGAATGAGATCTGCTATCAACAAAGTCTCCAACAAGGCTCTCCTTCAAGCTTTTACTCCATCAACAACTCAAAGATTTTATTCTGCTGAATTGAAGGCTATCTTGGCTAAGCAAATTCCAGAGAAGCAAGCAGAAATTAAATCAATCAGAGAAAAGCACGGTTCAGTCTCCCTTGGTGAGTGCACCATCGAAATGGCATACCAAGGTATGAGAGGTATCAAGGGCTTAGTTACCGAAACTTCTCTCTTGGACCCTGAGGAGGGTATCAGATTCAGAGGATACAGCATCCCAGAATGTCAAGAAAAGCTTCCAAAGGCTAAGGGCGGCCAAGAACCACTCCCAGAAGCAATGCTGTGGTTGTTGTTAACCGGACAAGTACCAACCGATCAACAAGTTGAAGCTTTGAGAGTTGACTTGCAACAAAGATCCACACAAGTCGATAAACAAACGATTGACTTTGTAAAGAGTATCCCAAGCAATCTTCATCCAATGACACAATTTTCTATGGCTATCTTGGCTTTGCAAAAGGATTCCAAGTTTGCCCAAGCATATCAAAATGGAGTACACAAGAAGGAATATTGGATTCATACATATGAAGATGTTTTAAATTGTATTTCTCGTTTGCCAACAATTGCTTCCATCATTTATAGAAAGACATATCACAACGCAAAGTATATTGAAAGTGATAAATCTTTGGATTGGGCTGCTGATTATGCTCATATGATGGGTTATTCAGGAAACAAGGAGATTGCCGAATTGTTCCGTTTGTATTTGAGTATTCACACCGATCACGAAGGTGGTAACGTTTCCGCACACGCAACTCACCTTGTTGGTAGTGCCTTGTCTGATCCATATTTGTCACTCAGTGCTGGTATGAACGGTTTGGCTGGTCCATTGCACGGTTTGGCCAACCAAGAAGTATTGAGATGGTTGAAGGAAGTTCAAAAGGAATTGAACGGAAGAGAACCAACTAAGGAAGTGTTGAGACAAATCATTTGGGATACCTTGAACAGTGGACGTGTCGTTCCAGGATATGGTCACGCTGTTTTGAGAAAGACTGATCCAAGATATACTTGTCAAAGAGAGTTTGCTCTCAAGTACATGAAGGATGATCCATTGTTCAAGCTAGTTTCAACTTTGTATGAAGTTGTTCCTGATGTTTTGACCGAACACGGAAAGACCAAGAATCCATGGCCAAACGTTGATGCTCACTCTGGATGCTTGTTGCAACATTACGGAATTGTCGAAGAAGATTATTACACTGTTATGTTCGGAGTTAGTCGTGCTATTGGTGTTTTATCTAGCTTGATGTGGGATAGAGCTTTGGGTCTTCCAATTGAACGACCAAAGTCTGTTACCACTGAATTGATTAAGAAGTTCTTGAAGATTTAATAAATTAACTAAGCCTGTATCTATATTATATGACATGAATTTATTGAATTTTTATTTATGAAGATGACGACCCTTTTTCGGAGTTTGAAATGTGACGTGGAATGCACCAGAAGTAAAAAATGAATATAGCCAGAAGGCTGGTGTCAAAGAAGAAGAAGCGTTATCAAGAAGGAGGGTATGTCACATCGAGAATACATTCATCACTGTTTAATTCTGAATCTTGTTGCAATGATCATCATCATTTTCACTTGATCAAATCGGATTCATTTAATACTACAAATCTCAACAACAAAAAGATTTGATTTGGGTATGTTGATGTTGTTGATGTAGGAATACTTTCGTCAACACAATCATTGATTATCATTTATATAAATCGAATCACCTACTACTCCTATAGACTTGACCTATGTCACTCCAAATATCATTGCGATGGGATTTCCCAGTGTCGGTATGTTTATACTCCGTAGTGTTAGTGATTCACTCTGACATTTGTGATGACAATTCAATGATCACTTTCGTTCCAATCAATTGATTGCCACATCAAATCTCTTCAACCATTTCACAATCACCACCACAACAACCACAGGAAAGGAAGCTCTCTTTAGAAATCCAATGGATGAAGTCCAACGAATGTTAAAAAGAAATCATGGAGATCACTACAAGGTCTATAATTTATGTTCTGAAAAAACTTATGAACCATCTTCTTTTGATGGAAGAGTTGAGAGATTTCCATTTGATGGTATGTTCTTAAGAACATGTGTGAATAGGAATGTTCATAGGACTTTAATCTCTCTGTATATACCTATTCAACATTCAAATGAATCACATGCCACATTCATGATGATGAGGATAGATCACAATGCTCCTCCTTTTGAAATCATGTTACCCTGTTGTAGAAGTATGGATGAATGGTTGAAACAAGATCCAAGAAATGTTGCCATCATTCACTGTAAAGCTGGAAAGGGAAGAACTGGAACGATGATTTGTGGTAGGTAGTAGTAGTAGTAGTAGTGATAATTATAATAATACTATGGATGGAATAATTTTAATATGGATGGAATAATAATACTATTGAATAATTTTAATATGGAATAATAATTATAATACTATGGAATAATATGAATGGATGCATCTCACACACACACTCAGCCTATCTTCTCTATTGTGGTGCTCATAAAACACCAGAATCAAGTATGGATTTCTATGCAGAATCAAGAACTCGTAATAAGGAAGGTGTGACCATTCCCTCTCAGAGACGTTATGTCAATTATTTTTATGAATATTTAAAAAATGGAATTCAATATCCGAGACCTAATCTATCTCTCTATTTAGATTTAATGATTTTATTGAATCCACCTCAATCTATTCTTGGTGGAACATTTAAACTTGTGATTAATGACAAAGATGGAAATACCATATTTTCATACAAGTATAAATCTAAAAAAGAAAGTGATACAATTATTACTGTTCCATTATTAACCTCACATAACAGTAAGAGAGTACCACTCACAGGTGATTTGAAAGTATTATTTTATGAAATTAATTTGACCACCTCTAAACAATTATTCCATTTTTGGGTGAATACCTTCTTTTGTCCTCAGAACAATATTTTAGTATTACAGAAAATTGAAATTGATAAGATTAGTCGAAAGAGTACCTTCCCTGATGATTTTAGACTCGAGTTGCAATTCAGTGAGGCACCACCCGGTGAGGTTGAGGCTTATTATTCATCTCAAAAAAAACTCAACTCTAGTCCATTACCCAGTGCGGGCGCCTATAAGAAACCACCACCACCCTCCTCAAGTAGTCCTTCCTTACTTCCATCTTCAACTCCGAATGTAGGAACCTCTCTGGCAAGGAATGTTGGTGAACAATCATCAAACAACAACGATCAGAATTTAGACTCTAACAATTCCGAAGAGAATTTGGTTGAGGATGATGAAGATGAGGAAGAGGAAGATGAGTCATGTACTCCATTATCTTCATGTATGATTGGTGAAGATGATGATGATGTCATCAATGTAGACGATGGTGCAGATGCTTACTCTTCTGGATGCGAATATAATGATGGCTATATTGATGAGGAAGATTTTATTCAAAAATTGGAATTGAAATATAATCAAATGAGAAATAATTAGAATATTAGCGTAAGGAGAATCTCCCTTATTGTTGTACAATAAAGAAACCACCTTTTTAAAAGCATCAATTCACCATTTCCTCATTGTATCTCTCAACTTCGTGAATTTCTAAAGTTTTGATAAAACATGCCTTTACAAAATGACTTTCCATTAAAAAAAATGTCCAATCAGCCCGCAAAGAAAAAGACAAAATCGTCGTCGGAAGTGGCCAATGCATTAGCCTCTTCAACGACGACATCAACAGCACAGAAAAAACCAGGCACATGGTGGTTCTGGTACTATAAGGATGCATTAAAAACAAATTCCGAAATTCCTTCCTTTTCAGTGGAAGGAAGAAAAAGTTTATTGAGTTATATTTTGGGTACCCGACGAGTATTGAAACATGAGGATTTAAAAACGAGTACTAGTAGTAGCATTGGTACCACACAAGTTCAATGTTTGATTTTCTTTCCGAAAGCAGATCATTCTACCGACCAATTTGCTGCTGCGCTTGTTCAATCTTTTAAATCATCAGTGGTTTTATCAAAACAAAAGAATAATATTCACATATTTATTACTTGCCCGAGTTTAGAGAATTTTGATCAAAATACAAAGAATATTCCATCCGGGGTGAATGTTTGGGCTGATGTGAATGGAGCAGTTGCTGATAAATTTGGAATGAGACCTCTCATTCAAGATATAAATTTAAATGATTTATTAGGAACTGATGAAAAGAAAAAGAGCTCATACAGCAAACAAACAGTCATTGGAATGTTTTTTGCAATGAATGGTAAAATTGTGAAATCTCCTGCATTTCAACCCAAATTACAAACAGTTACTTTGGATACCATGAAAAGTGTTTATGATTTCATTGAAAAATGTCAAGGTAATATTTCGAAAATTACGGCACCAGATTCCTATGCCGCAGATTTGACTGAGAATGATTTAAAGACGCTTCATTCGGCTGCTTGGAATGACTATCAGAGAGAGTTAAATCAAATGAATTTGGATTTGGGATTGGGAGGTTCTTCAACCAGAAAAAACAAGACGCCGTCAGCACCAAAGAAAACTGCAAGTACAAAAACAAGCAAGACATCGACTGTTTCCACAAAAAAGAAAAATATTGCTGCTACTTCCACAAAACTCCCTCCACAAAGACTTTCCAAATTGTAAACTCAAATTATTCGCAGCTTGCAAATTGTCACAAAAATTTATTGATCTGAACTAGCAACGATGGTAGTATCAATTCTATTGAGTTGAATCAAATCGGTATTCTCTTCTTTCAAAGTGAGAATGGGAGCCAAGACATTTGGATTGCCAATGACAGTTTGATCCATATTGTACTGAGCGTTAAAGGCGTGGTTATTCATTAAATCTTTCCAAGATGATTCTCTAATTGAGAATTCTCGTAATAAATAATTTTGTCCAAATTTGTGAAATAAACGAGTATCAATGCATCGAATACAAACTCCATCTACACGAAGGAAGAACCTCATCAAAACGTAAAATGAATGATTCATGACTCGAATTTTAACAGTCAAGTGAGAAACTCCTATGACCAATAATGATTTGCAAAACACATGAATACCATAAATGTGAATGAACATTTGTTTCAACAACAACATACCATGGTCGTGTAATTCATCTTCAAATAAAACAATTTCATCATAAAATAGAATTGGATCATCTTTCCTTTTAAGTAAATCATAGTCAATTTTGTGAGTTTTTGTTGGAACAATTGAACAGGATGGTATTTCACTCTCATCGCTGCTTGTTGGAACAGATCCTTTGTACAATGTGGTAAATGTCCAATCAATTCCATCATCTCTTTCGTTTACATCATTTAATTGGTCGTTTGAGTTTGGAATTTTCTTATTCATCCAAGTCTCGTGACAATTGACTTTAATTTTTTGAATATGTGCGCATTGATCAATTGCTTCATTCTTTGCATACAAAAGTGCATCCCTTGTATTGAAATGATATTCAAATCCATTGGATGTATTTGTTATTGTCAAATAAGAATTAAATGTTTGCTCAGGAATGGCAAAGATTTTTAATTCTTCTTTCAACTCATCGGATTCCGTTTGATTGAGAATGGGTGTTTTGAGAGTATCAAACTTCCAATCATTGATTTGAAAGGTATCGTGCTGAGGAGTGGCATTGGTGGTACTTGAAAAGTTGCTCACTCCGATCTGATAGGAAGGTCGAGAGGTTGAGGAGGATGAGGATGAAGGAAATGGTACTCTGAAGGGAGTTGAGTTTGAAGAGGAGAGGTTGTTCGTGGTGGTCGGAAAGCGAGTCGTCATGTTGATGATGGTGGTGGTGGTGGGTATATATATCGATCGGTGTGGAAATGGTGAGCAACAAGAACGAAGAATCGAGTTATTTTTTTTGGCCTTTCAAAGTCTCGAAGGGGACATGACAAGGAACTGGCTGTGACTCTCCAATCACAATTCTGAAATATGTGATTAATAATATTATAAGTGCAAATCAATTCAGCTGTTCCGAGTTGAATAATAATTTTTGATCATCAAAGCTCAACAGTTTCAGATGGTTTCAAAGTCCATTTACAAAAAAATGCAAAGCAACACAACCACCACCACTCACTTTGTTCCATCATCATCAACAACAACAACATCATCATCAAGCCTTTTTGATATACTTAATTTTACAAAGCCAATATTTACAAAACTTTCCACCGTAGTAGTATTTCCCTTTTTATCGGGAGTTTTCTCTGCTTTGGGCGAGTATTCAATGAGATTTATGTATTCAAAATTTCAACAAGTATCAAAGAAAAATAACACTACTGAATATGATCCTTTAGAGACATTTGTTACTAACGGAAGACCATTAAATACATTAAAAAGAAAAAAGATTTAATATTTTTATTTGTGCAAAAGGTCTATTGATTAAATTGTTTAAATGCTTGCAATGTGCTAGAAGAGAAGTGATCTTTGTGAATTGAATCTATTTTTCTGATAAATTTGTTTCCCATGTTGTTAGGCTATAAAGTGCTGCGTTTGGTGAGCTACTCAACAACAGCAATATAGTCGAACAACAACAGCACGTGAAACGAATGGGTAAGTCCAAAAAAAATGAATGACCCAAACCTCGAAAGCGTACCCGCTGCAGAGAATGATGATATGGAACGCACAACCGAGGCGGCCACGACAACAGAGAGGCTTCAGGGTAACAGTTGCAATGAAGAACTAAGTCATGTGCAGAACCAACCAGAAGAAAATGAGCTAGAAAATGATGATGAGGCACTGCTTCGAGCGGCAAGCCTTAATCATTCCCTAACAATGATGCCATCCTCGCCAGAATGTATTTCTACCGAATCACCCATGTCCCATTCAACACCTCCACCCCCAAATAGTGAGAGTGTTTGTAATAATAGTTCATCCTTTAGAGAAGGTGATCCACTTTCTCCCTTCCGCTTTATCCATCCCTCAAAGTATGATGATGATACTCACAGCCTTACTATGGGCCGTTTGCGTTATGACGATGTTGGCGAAGAAGAGGACAATTCTGTTCATACCTCCCCCGCTGATAATATTAGAAGTACTCCGGTTCCACGCTTGATGTTTCATCATCGTCTTCATCAGGCTCTCGATGATAGTGTTGTCATTAGCACTCCAATCTCATCTACATTACTCACCGGTGAACAGAATAAGAATTACGATACTCCTCTCACCTTAACAAGTACCACTAATTCTGAAGGCTCGCTTGTACAACATCAGTTTTACAGGGTCCAAGAAACTGATGAATTTACCAACACTGAAAGTCGTTCTCCTTTGCCCTCCTTCTTCTCAACCTTAAATATCTCACCTTCAATGACCACTTCGCCCAACTCATTCGCTACGATATCAACACTCCCATCAACTCCTTCAATAGCTCATCCGCTCAATCGTGGTGGATCATTTAGATTGGGCACCGACAGCACCTCACCTCAGTCTGCATTAACCAGGTCCTCTTCGACATCGAAACTTTTGCAACAGTCGTCTCCGTATAGATTTTTAAAGTCTTCCCTTTCCTCTTCAAATCTAATGTTATCTGCACCTCTTCGCTTGTCAGAAATTCCAAATCAACTCATTGAAGATAAATTGAAGGAATTACGTAAACAATTACAAGGTCATCCTATGATATCATCTCCGAGATATTACACCATCCCATCGTATCGAAGTGTATATTCACACTCACACACTGAAGCTGGAGTGGATACAGATCGGATGTTGCAGGGCTTTGTTAGATCCTGTAGAAAAGACATTTATCAAAATGGAATATTAAGAGATGAATTCAAAAAACATATTCAGAACGTGTGTGATTCAGATGGAAGAGTAAGGAAAAATGCTGTAAGTTGTTGTTGAAACTCAGTTTAAGAGACTTACAAAATTTAAGATTGAGAATATCAAAATACTGGATAGGTCATTTTCTACGTCCTCATTGTTGACAAGTCAAGAACATGCAAAACTGCATCCACATCGAGTTGAGTCTCTGCCTTCGTTCGACCACATCCAACCACGAGTATCACATTTACCTAAACAACCTCCAACTCCAGAACCTGTTGAAAAGTTGTTTCCACCTTTCAGGTCTAAGTGCGCTCTCACTCAAAGAGTTAACTCCAGATTTATGGAATGGTGTGAACAAAAGAAGGAAAATAGTGTCTCTTGTTCGCCACTGAAGTCATCCCCAAAAACACTCCAAGGAAGAAAAACGAGAAAAGGTGCGGATAGAGAAAGCAATGATGCATCTCTGTCCTCCTCACCATCTTTAGTTGTTACAAAAGAAAAGACGAACGAACCTTGTCTCGAAGCTTCTCCTTTATCAACTAAGAGACAAGACTCCATTCAACAAAATGGTCAATTGAAATCACCACGCACTCCCAACACATCTTTGAATAAGAGTCAGACTGCATTGTCAAGTGGAGACAAAAAAGTAGCACAAAATGAAGCCCTACCATTAAGAATAAGCGCTTTATATAATTTAGCAATGAATATCAACTCTCCTTCAAGACGAGAACAAATTGAAAAAGAAAAACAAGACTTTCTCGACAAGTGCATTTCTTTCCAAAAGCGAAAATAATCGAACAAGAAAATTTGAAACAAAAATGGCCGACAGCAACAAGGCTTCCTCCACTCATTTAGTGGACGAAATGCTTGCTCTTCCACCAAGAACACAATCTTCTTCCGAACCTTCTCCTCTTGTTACGATGAATAAACATCAACAAAACGAAATTAATGGAAATATTAACAAATTACCAGAACAACCAACCGTTCAATATCGACTCGAGTTTGATGAATTATCGGAACGTAAAGAAAAGCGATTGAAAGACCTACTGAGAAATGATGAATATCAATTTAATTATCCTCTTTATAATTTCGATCAAAAGAATTATAGACGTATTCCATACCTAGATCCGAGATTTGTTGCATTTAAACAACATGTAGAAGAAGGTTTTGCCATGCAGCTTGCCAAACATAGACAAATAGCAGACAATCACAAGATACCTCTCATACTGTCATCATTCATTACTTCGACATTACTTTGGAAGAAACCGAAAGAGAAAGTAACGAATTATATGCTTTTCATCACTGGAACACTCGGATTCAGTTACTTGTATTCCAATAATTTAGCCTATGGTGGTATGATTAATCGAGTGAATATTGAGACTCATCGAATATTGATTCACGAAAAAAAGACGTATGGACAGAGTGAACAACAATTGAAAACAATGGCTGAGCAAATTGATCAACAAATTGAAAAGGAAATGAAGGAGAGAGAAACAACACCAGGTAATGATGATTTAAGAGAATGATCACACTGTGGTGATTGTGGAGTCTTATATGATTGGGTCCAAAAACCACCCATCTTTGATCATCTATGGGAATGATAATTGGGCATGATGGGAGAATTATTGTTGATAGGGATGATGGTCTATATAGGAACAACGACACAACAAGGAAGTCCTCCTCTCGTTCTCTCTCTCTCTCTCGCATTGATTATTATTATTCACTGACCACTACTGGTTCATTAAAGTCATATTGTCGTCAATAATTGGATGTAAACTCAATCGTAGTCGATGAGGGTTGTTCAAAAAACAGCGCCAAAAAATGTCTTGTCTGCAAGCAAAAGACCTCCCAACAACTCCACGAGCAAACAACATGCTCTATGAACAAGGACAAACCCCCAACCACACACCCTACGACGAGGAATCAATGCTTGAATTAATGAGGGAGAGATTAAGTGAGGTTGGTCTCTCCTGCTCTGGTCTCGGAATTGTTTTTTACAAACTTAATCTAGGGGTAAGTAGTCGTTAAAAAATCAATCGGTTTTGGTCATTATACAACCCTTCTTCAATGCTCAACAATTGTTGAACGTACTTCTTAGAGATTAAATCTTCAATCGACCACAACTCTTTCACGCATCAAAATTGCTCAAAACTTTCCTCATTTACGAGTGATTGATGTGAGTCATAATGAACTCACGGATTTGAGGTTTCTTTCGGACATGCATTCACTCGTCCAATTAAATGCTAGTAACAATAAGATTCAATCACTACTTGATTTCAATATGATGGATGAAAATCCATCAAAAATTTCGTTAATTGAAGCAAATTTCAGTAACAATCTCTTGACTTGCTTTGATCATTTAATACCATTTTCAAAGAGTTTAAAGAGGCTAAATATCTCAAACAATAATATTGATCATGACCTAGTAGAATTAAATGTTCTATCCAATTTGGTCGAGTTAGACATTTCAAATAATCGTATCTCATCATTGAAATTAACAGAATTGAAATATTTAAAAATATTGAATGCAGAAAGTAATCAACTCGAATGCATTTCCGGAGTTTGTTCATGGTCACTGCAGCAACTCAACTTGAAGAATAACAATATTCAAAATTTATCTCAATTTCAATCTCTAAAATTACTATTTAAATTGAATCTAGAAAATAATAAGATTGAGAGGTTTGAAGAGATTAATCACTTGGCTGACCTAACGTTCATGTATGACTTGTCACTGTTAGGAAATCCATTCATCATCAAACCAACAAATGACTCACTAGAGGTTTCAATTATTTACAAAAATTCAATTCTCTTTCGATTGCCTCAAATTGTAATTTTAGATCAATTCGAAGTGAGCAGTGAAGAGAAAGTGAGAGCCATGTTATTCCATCAACAACAACAACAACAATTAGAGAATAAGTGAGAATAAAAAAGCTCATTGTCCATTATTGGGTGTGAGTGCTCTTTTGAATACACTTTCTATCTCAAAGTACTAAACATGGAGAAGTGAATGGTATTCGTTTGATCCAACATGCTAGAAGCAACAGCACCACCATTCAAAGGATCATTATAAGAAATTACAGAGGAGGAGGATGATTCACTTCCTCTCATCACATATGGGTTCATTCTCATCGTTGTTGTGTTGGTTGTTGTGGCATTCGAATCATGATGTAAAGTAGGAGTAATAGTAGTAGTAGTAGTAGTAGTAATAGCAACATTTCCAACAACACTTCCACTACTTGCATGCTCAATGGGTCCATAGACTTTCACTTGTCTTACATGAGTATCTCGACCATTTTGATGATTTTGTGAAATGACGATTTGCAACATGTTGCATCGAATGGTGCCATGTGGTAACGAAGAAGTAGTAGTGGTGGTGGTGGTGTTGATGGAGGTGGTTTGATTGTTATCCTTTTCATCATCACTCATGTTAATACAAATATATCCAACTGGTTCTTCTAATTCCACTGTTTTGACATGTGTCAAATCATGAAAACTAGTTCCACATCGAATACTAATCGTTTGAGGTGTATAAGATTCATCTTTCTTATAATCTAAATAGATCAATACATCTTGAACACTTAATACTTTGTGAAATTGAATATTAATATAATGTGGTTGAGGTCCATCCGATTGCCAAAATGTTTCACAATTATCATCTCTTAATTGTTCCACACCATTTCCTTGTTTGGCAGTTGATACACTCCAAACAGCATATTTTCCAATTTCAATCATGGATGAATATTTTGATAAAAGTGTGAATTGTTGTTGTTCATTCATTGAAGAAGAACTGATGGATGGAAAGGAATGATTTCGAGCAAAATCGGAAAAGGAAATTCGATTGGGATTTGTCATGGCAGTCGTGGTGGTTGGATGAACCTCCTCCTCCTCCTCTTCATGATGATGAGTATGATCCTGTTGTGGTTGTTGTGTATTATTAGTAGTGGTCATAGTGGTGGTGGTCATTGTGCCAACAACAGCTTGACTCCGAACGTTTGAACTTGTTCCATCTCCACCTCTTCCACCTCCTCCTCCTCCTCCTTCTAATAACAAGGGTGGAGAGAGTCCATGAGGATTCAATGATGATGATGATGTAAATAAATCATGTGGTAGATTCCATGAGTGATGAGAGCCTATATCATCACTCGTGGTGGTTGGAAATGAGAAATATAAGGAGGATGACAACTGAGAGAGTCGAAACATTTTTTTAAAATATGAAAGGAAAATAAAAATTTTCAAAATTTGAATGGTCAGAGATGGTGATTTTCTCTGATCGAATACTCATAACATCGAAATCGAGGAGGACAATGATATGCTTCTATTAAGTGAAAGAAGAAGTTATTAGATTCAATTGAAATGTTCAATGGTTCACTTGGTTTCTCCTTGACACCTCACGAACGTTCGAGTATTCTCAAGAACAACCACAATTGCTCGAAAAAAAATGAGTGTTCGACTCAAGAAGAAGAATAAATCTCTTCCACAACAGCAACTACAACAGCAACAGCAGGAATGCTACTCACATCACTCCGAGTCTCAGGAGGCTTCTTCCATCATGATGAATACCACCACTCTGACCAACACCACCAACACCACCAACACAGAAACCACTCCTTCAAATCATCCTAATGATCGATTATTACCAACCACTGCTGCAACAAGTTCTAAATTCTTTCCGAAATCTCTTGTACCAAAAAAACTATTGGCGTCGACAAGACTCAGAGTGGATGATCACCCTCATACTCCTCATCATCATACTCATCCAACAACAAACATCATTCATCCTCCTCCTTCTTATAGTACCAATCATCATCATGATGAATCATCCACCACTTGCATTTCTTCTGATTCATCTTCATACTCGATGAAGAATCACAACAACAACCATTCATCGAGTGGTGGTAATGGTGGTGGTAATGGTGGTGGTAATGGTGGTGGTAATGGTGGTAGTTTATTGAAACGAAAGAATTCTACAGCAATCAATTCAACAACAACAACAACCCTTCCTATCAACAATCGAATATTCATGAATCCTGATAAAAAGTCAAAAACCAACAAAAGAATCATTGATCCATTTGATTCTTCTTCTTCTGATGAAGAGCATGTTAGTGAAGATGATTCTTTTGAAGATTTTAAGAATTCCTCAAAGAATTCCTCACAAGTGTCAATGATTTATTCTTGTCATGTATGTAAGAGAGATATTACATGTTTGAGTAAGAATGATCGAGTGAAACATATCAAATTATGTTGTAAAGTGTATCAAGTTGGAAATGATCAAATGAAACTCTACATTTCACAATTAAGAGAATTACAAAAACAAGAAGAACATGTTGCAAAACAGAAGAATTCCAAAAAAAGAAAACGAAAAACATCCAAAACAATGAGAGAAGGACGTTCGAATGCAATCACAAGTGTTGGTTCTTCCTCGTCTTCTGAAATCAATTCTTCTCACCATCACCACCACCACCATCAGATGGATCATTTGACCAATTTCAGCAACAATAACAACAACACCATCATCACCACCACTAATGGTACAAATTTCAACATGTCTACAATGAGTCATTCTGTTGAAGAATGGTTAAAAACCATTCATATGGATCAATATCTTTTGAATTTTACTAAAAATGGTTATGATACCATAGATATTCTATGTACCAGTAATATCAATGAAAATGATCTCATTCATCCATTAACCATTACCTTACATGGACATCGAAAGAAAATACTCTCTGAATTATCAAAATTAAAACAACTCTATGAATTAGATAAGAAAAGACAAGAATGTGAAAAGAGAAGAAATGATTTAATTGAACGAAGAAGAAGAATGAAAGATGGAATCAGTGGTGGTCAGAGTGGTCAGACTAAAGGTGATTCTACTATTCCTACAACCACCACCACCACCACCACTAATGGTACTACTACTACTACTTCTCGTATACGAGGTGCCACAACACCATGGCCACAACAACAACAAGTCACAACAAATCAAAATATGACCACAACTGGAAAGAGAATTGCAACCTATTCCATGGCCACAACAACACCTCCAGAGAATCGAAAATCCATCACTGATATTGCCAATGCATTGAGAAGTGAATTACAACTATTAACCACCAGTATTTGTAGTACTAGTAGTAACAGCAACAACATTTCAGCAAACATGACTAGGAGTAGTAGTTGTAACAATATCCTTCAAGATGATAAAAGAGAAGAAAAGAGCAGCAACAGTGCTTGTACTACTCCTCCATCATCATCCTCACTGCATGGACATGAAACCAAGTCGTTGAAGTTGACTACAATTAGTGGTGTTGGTAACAAGAAGGAATCTCTATCAATAGTAAGTCTACTATCACCACCACCAACAGCACCACCAATAGCACCACAATTACAGAGCTCATCATCCTTATGGTCCATGGCACATCAACCTCTCACACAGCAAGTATCCATCAGTGGTGGTGATATTGGTGGTGGTGGTGATATTGGTGGTGGTGGTGATAGTAGTAGTGATAGTAGTAATGAATCAAGTCGTGATGAACAGGAAGTAATGGTACTGTCTTCTGGGAGTACCAACAACAACAACAACAACACCAACACCACTCAATCAACCACCACTAGGAATAGGTCGTCAACACGAGTTGTATCAATATCACCTCCACCCCTATCATCACCAAGATCACCACCAAAGGATCCTTTAAAAGATCATGACGATTGTTCAAGCACTTCTATTGCATCCTCACCAAGATCACCACCACCACAAACACCTTTTACAACAAGTAGTAGTAGTAGTACTCTCACTCCTCCTCCATCATCATCATCCTCACAACTGTTGCATACTCAACCCATCATCCATGATGACTTGTGTGAAGTTCATGAAGAAGTAGAACCATTGTCGTTGATCAACACCATCGTCACCTCATCATCACCTCTATTGACCACTACCACTCCTACTACCACCACTCCTACTACTTCCTCATCATCACCTCAACACAGTGTTGTCACTCAACCACTTCTCTCATCACTTCAGAAGAGTAGTTCATCATCAGAACAAGTTGTAGTTGGTGAACCTTCACTCAATCCACCACCACCAAGATCACCTCCACCCATATCACCACCAAGATCACATGTTGAGTATACTCAACATTTTACTCCTCAAGAATTAGTGAATCAATTTAAAGAGACTGTCATTCAATTATATTCTGAATTGAAAGAAAAAATTTTAAAGAGTATTCATTCATCTCATCACAACAATGAATACTTTCATTTAGAACCATTAGAGACATTATTTCTCAAAGATTCAAATACTACTACTACTACTACTACTACAAATACTACAAATGTATCACTGAATGAGGAAAACAAGATGTATCAGTGCCATCAATACCACCACCACCATAAGCAGCATTCACCTCTCTCACTTGTGAATCGTTTCATAAGGATGATTGATCATGTTGATTCAGTTGAATCATCTAACAACAACAACAACAACAACAACATTCATGATGGTACCATTGATCTCACTTTGAATAACATGATGGATGAATGTAACCATGAAACCAATTCAATTCAATTCAATTCATCATTTGGAAAAGACAATTTAACACTCGTGTCACCACAACCATTGGAAGAATATACAACTACTACTTGTAACACTACTAATACCAATACAACACCAACAACAAGTACTGCAACTACTTCCACAAATACTACTACCACAAATACTACTACCACAAATACTACTACCACAAATACTACTACTATTAAAAGAGAGGTAATCATCTTGGAAGATGATAATTCTCATTCCACTACAACAACTACTGCTATTTCTGGTATTGATGCTACGAATAATAGTAGTAGCAATACCACGACTAGTACTACGACTCCTCCTTTTACAACTTCTCCAATTCATGTTTCACATCAGAATTCATCTCCATTCTTAATAGAGATGACAAGGAATCCACTCACAACTCTCAATACTCAACCACCAACCAGCACTTGTGGTTTATGGTCTCAAGAACATCTCCAAGATGATGATGTACATGACCAATTATTTCACCACAACACTCGTCGACGACGACAACACTTGGATTCAGAAGAACTATCCAGTCTCGAAGATGATGATGATCATGCACTCTCGAGACGTCCAAACATGATCATGATGGATTCTGATGATGAAATCTTCAACCGAGTCATCTGGTCTCAAGAACATCTCCAAACATCATCAACAATAGTACCACCACAAATACACACCTTACAAGAATTGAATGAAAAATCGAACCGAGAATTGAAGTTTGCTTGTGATTTTTATGGAATCAAGAGTGGTTCAAGAAAATTCATGATCCAACATCTCTCTCAAGTCTTAATAGGTATCATGGAGAATACAAAGGATCGAGTGTATGATGTGAATCATTTTATCAGTAGTAGTAGTAGTAGTAGTAGTCGTAGCAATACCACAACTAGTACTACTATTACTAACACTCCTATCAGTACTACCAATATCAATAATACCAATGTCAGTACTACTACTACTACTACTAACACTCCTACTTTTGGTACCACTAATAATAGTAGTACTACTCCTTTTTCACCAGTGTTGGATGAAAAAGTGTGACTCTAATTGTCTGAACATGATGATGGTCTTTCTTACACATGTTTTTCAGAATTTTCCATTAATTCACAATCAGAGTCAGAAGAATCATGTACCATTAATGGTACTTGATCAGCAATGGTTGTTGTTGTTGTTGTTAACAATTGGTTATTCATTAATGATGGTTGAGTATTTGTTCTACTACTAGTCCTACTATTATTATTACAATGATGTTGATGCTGATGAATAGGATGACTTGTCAAGTGGTGAGTCACCATAATATCCATGTCATCATCATCCGTCAGATCATCTTCATGGACAATTGTTGTTTGGAGAGAAATATTCTCTCCACTATTCTTACTCAAATCAATGAAATGAGCATTTTGATTCAACATTTCTTGTCTTCTCTTTCTTTGATTTCTGATCAATGTCAAAATTCTTAATACTTGAGTAAGAAATCGAAAGGTAATTAAAATACTATCAATGAGTTCTTCAATTCTTTCTTCCACTCGATTCGTTGTGACTAGATACAAGATAAATCCAATCACACAAAAGATACTAACAATCAAATCAAACCAATTAATAAAATCATCAAACAAATACGACATGATATTTCCATGATGAAAGATAAAGATTCGTACGAGAATTTCAACAATTAAAATCACTGTAATCATTCCCTCCAAAAATAAAAATATTCGATTCGAAGCGAGTGTTTCTTCTGTTTCGGATTTGAGATGAGGCTTTCCTCCTGACCAGATGGACCAAATGAGTAGAATTAGACAGAGAGAAATCATGGAAATGTAATACATCCAATAAAGATAGGAATTATTGAGAAGAAAGGTTTTGAAATGATCAAAGAGTATTTCTAATTTAGAGGATTCAATCATGAGGGTGGAATGAGAGTGATTACTACCACCCATACTACCACCCATACTACCACTACCACCCATACTACCACTACCACCCATACTACCAATACCACCACTTCCAATCGTACTAATAGTGTTGTTGTTGTTGTTGGTGTTGTTCTTATTCACTACAAATGAACCACCACCCACAATGATGGATGGGTTTTGAGCATGTAAAAGGCTTGTTGTATCACTTGGATGGGTTTTCATTTCTTCCGAGTCATTGTCATCGTCATTGGAAGAATGGTCGTGATGATGACTATTCGGAGGATGACCTTCATGACTCAAAGCAAGCTTGTTTAGAGATCCAATTGGTGTTAAAGTGTCAGCATGACTAGGTGGAAGTGACGTGGTGGTGGTACTAGTTGTTGTTAGGGTTGTTGTAAGGTTGTGTTTTGGTAGATTAGATTCTTGTGAAGAAGGAGAGGAAGGAGAACATTGGTGACGATTCGTCGTGTCGAGCATTTTTCTGAGAGTGTTGATGATTCTTGCAATTAATTGGACGTTTCAACAATTTCGTTAATAAAAAATCATCATCACCTTTCTATTGTCTTTCCAAAATGCTCTCGAACAACAACAACACCACCACCACCACCACCACGAATACGAATTTTACTACTACTAATCCTAATACAAACATGATCTACAGCAGTAGTGTGGGTAGCAATACGAGCAGTAGTGCCTTGAGTACAGGAGGAACAAGTGTCAGCAGTGCTGTGAGTAGTAGTGCTGCTGTTGCTGCTCTGGTTGCTACCTCACCACCATCCTCATCATCACTGCTCCTCAACTCCACCATCAACTCCAACAATACTAATAATAACCATACCACGATCACCACTACTACTTATACCACCAATACTATTACCAACAACAACAACACGAATAACATGTCGTCTATGAATAATACTTCCACATCGGGTGGTGTGAATGCCGCCATCAATAACATCATCAAGACCTCCCAACAATCCACACCAAGAAATAAATTATTATCATTCAATCATTCAACAAGTGGTGGTGGTGGTGGTCAGAGTGGTAGTGGTATTGATATTGGTAATAATAATAATACAGTTGTCCTACCCTCCACAACAATTCCCACTCTCACTCCTCACTCACAATCTCAACAACCACATGTAGTTCAACAACAACAACCATCTTCTGATTTTGATATCATTGGATTCTCAGAAGAAGAATTAAAATCCATTGATCAATCCTTTTCAATTGGTGCAATGAATGCATTCGGAATGAAACAAACAGAATCTGATATTTTAAATCAAATTGATCAAATCAGTTTGTTACAAGTGAGATCATTTCTAGGATCAATGGAAATTGAATTGAAACATCCAAATATATTTTGTAATTACATGAGTAGTAATAGTAGTGGTGTTAATAGTAGTGGTAGTAGTAGTAGTAGTAGTACTGGTGGTCAGAGTAATCATCAGAATTCAATGAATTTTGAATCTTTTCAATCTGTGTCACAGGCATTTCAAGAAAAAGAAAAATCAATTTCAAATTTAGTGAAAGATTTAAAAATTATTACCAAATCCATGTAAGTATATTTTGAGATTGAGTACTTGATTTACTATGGAACATTAAATTATTATTATTTAAATTATTATTATTTAAATTATTATTATTTAAAATATTATTATTTAAATTATTATTATTTAAAATATTATTATTATTAATATGACTATTCCTTTATTTAAACTAACAAAAAATATACAGAGATGACATTAATCAGAAAATTCATCAGAATCATCATTAAAATTATTTTCTGAATACATGACATCGACGAGATACAATCCATGTGCTGGTGCCATATATTTGGTAGATTCCACTCTTTGTCTTGATTTTAAATATTCTTGAATGCATTCTGGTGGTAATTCATTTCTTCCAATTTTTACTAGAACTTGTATCATGAATCTAATTTGATGTTTTAGAAATGATTTGGATTTGATGAATATTCTATATTCCATAGATGTGTGATGAGAATGGCAAGTAGGAGATGAAGTGGTGGTGGTATTCATGTTGGGGACTACAACACCACCATTCATAGTAATACTACTACTACTATTGGGAATGAATAGATTGAAACATTCTTGAATATACATTTCTTGGATGGTCTTGATGGGTGATATTTTCTTTTTAGAATTTTTAAATGAAAATGTGCATGATGAAAAACAAGTAAAATCATGAGTTCCAATGAAATATTGACATGCTTGTTTCATTGCATGAATATTTAATTTCTCTGAAATGCACCAAATTTTATGAGATTCTAATGGGAATAGATTATCATCACTATTGCTACTACTTCTCATACTACTACTACTACTACTCTTGCTATAGTTATTCATATTACTAATTGTTTTAGGTTGTTGTGAATCAATGATTCGATACATGTAAATTCTCTGTAAAACATTCTTTTTCGAGTGATACGACGTGTGAACTGGTTCAACATCAAGAATTCGAATCATTTCATCTCTCAAATAATAATTCAATAAATGTTTCATTTTCATCATGTCGGAAAAGAGAGAATTTGGTGTTGAAGAAAACAAACATTGAATACTTCCATCATCATGATTGCATGTGAATGGTGGTGACAATGATATAGACGATTCTTCCGATAATTGTTGTTGTGGAGAGGAGGAAAAGACAACATTTGAAGATGGAACTCTGGGGACAACATTGTTTCTTCTTCTTTCCAAATTCACACACAAATCGATATGACCTGTGTTTCTAATGGCATGGACACCCTTATCTGTACGCGAAGAGGGAATCAATGATTTCTTTAAATATTGAAAAGATGATGAAATGGAATCATGATTTGAATTCGGAAATTGCAATTGATGGAAAGCAAATTCTAGTTTTTCTTGAATTGTATTTTGAGTGTTTGTTTGTTTTTGAAATCCATTGTAATTGGTGCCATCGTATTGAACTGAAAATTTGAATCTTTGAAAAATGGGTGGATGCTGGTTCATGACAATTTTTTGTTTTTTGAAATCCTTATATTCATCACGAAAATCTTCATGAAGATTTGGGTTATCTAAATTTTCACAAAACTCAATTATGACCACAACCAAGGCTGTTTTGGTTAAAATATCGATGGTAAACTTTTATTAAGACAATATATACATTCACTACTTTCTTCTAAACCCTCTATATGATCCAAATTCTGAACTGAGAGAAGGCAGCAACTAACCACATAATATATATAATAACAAATTATTGTTGAATCACATAACATGACACAATAATTGAATATTATCATTAACAACATTCACTATATTCATTTGAATCAATCTACAGAGTGCAGACATTGAAGAGTTGGAAAACCATTGAATTAAAACCAGTAAGAAAGCTGGACTATAAGTATACAAAATATCACATACCATCTGAGAGGAGAGCATTATCACATCTACTTTATGTTATTCTTTTATTATTTTGGAAAGAGATAATAAATGTTCATTATCAATTTGTTAATACTATTATCTATATCCTGAATAACCAATATTTAAATATCCAAATTCAATATATTATATTTAAATATGACAATATCGTTTCAATTATAAATTATTTGTCATCATCATAAACTTATCATTTTGTTGTTTGCTCAATCCTGTTCTTAGATTATTAAACCAGTAATATAATTAGTAATATTATTACACAATAATAATTGTTGAATACAATAAAACATTGTATTTTATTTCGAAAGGAAATTTATTATATTACGTTAGTATTTGAATATTATAATACGTGGAAGAACATTATCTAGTGATATTTCTTCTTTGCGATATGGATCAGTTGTTATTTAATAATAATAATTACTTTTGGTGTTTTGACCGAGGTTTATTTGTTGTTTCTCTACTATGGAAACGATGGATATTATAACATATTGTGAAGGATGTACAATACACTTCCTCGTTGACTGGCTAGTTGACATTATTTCAAAGGAGAAGCTCATAAGATTATGATTAGGTGGAGTGCGATGTAATGCAATGATGACAGCAATTATCGAATTTATATTTTAAAACATTTCGTCACTGAACATTTTTAGCGTCGTTCCTTTAAAAGATTGTTAATTGCTCGGTTTCTCCTCATGTTCAACCCAGTTTGTGATTGATCAATACCAGATCTTAATTTTAAAGGAATTTAACCAAAAAATTCTTCCACATCAATATATACCTGCTGCAATGAACAACAATCATCAACACCAAAGGATGAATGAACATGTTCATCATCATCATTACCCTTCACACCACAGTGGTCCTATCTTTCATCACACAACAAGTACACTCACTCTTCACTCACAACCAACCTCAGTAGAGACAAGTGCAGACACACCCACCAACATTGATCAAAACAAGAATAATGCATCAACAACAACTCCAACAATATCTAAACAAGAAGCAGTGTGCTCTTCTTCTTCGCCAATACCAACCGCTACTGCTGCTGCTTCAATACCTACTACTCAAGTTCCTGCTGTAACAGTGACAACCCAAATGAGCCAAAACAACATGCAAGTCAGTCCTCAATGCTCTACCTCTTCCACCCACCCATTCTCATCTCTAACACCACAATCACTTGATTATAAATTTTCTCAACTCGATGACTACATTCAATATGCTCAAGTCACACATTTACCTTATTTGTATAATCAATTAATCAATGCCACCCTCAAATCTAAGAAATATTCAAGTAAAGGAAATGTAACAAGTGTCAAAGATCACACAACATCATCATCGTTGAATCCATCCCAAGAAGAATTGTTGATCATGACATTACAGAAAAGTGGTTTGGGTGGATTAGGTAGTAGTAGTGACATTTCCACCTCTTCTACCACCACCACCACCACCACCTCACATCCATTTCATCCTATGGACATCTCTCATCATCATCCGAATCATGGAAATAACAACAACATTCAACAACAACAACAACACTCTTCACATCATCATTCTCATCATCATTCACATCATCATTCTCATCATCACTCCCATCATCATCATCACTCCTCCTCTCTACTCTCTCCCTTCTCCTATCGATATCAATTAATCACACATCTCATTCATAAGGAATATACACTCTATGTCAAATATCTTCAAAGTATATACTTGTCATGTAGGGATATCAAACAGTGTATTGCATTTCGTAAACTCTTATTCATGTATTTAAAGATATTTCAAACTATTCATGAGAATTGTATTATCAAGAAAACATCAAGAGATATTTGTAAGAATTTGATGAATGTGCATGATCATCATCGTCATCACAAACAACAAGTTGGGTTGAATCCTCAATCACAAGAAGTATCACAAGAAGAACCACTTGCCCAACTCTCTTGTCTTCAACATGTACATCATGTGATTCATCTTCTCCTTGAATCAAGTTCAGAATTTCAAAGAGAAAGTACTCACATTCTCAATGCAATCATTCAATTCTTAAATTATCAATTATTAAGGAGAGAGGAGGAAAATCATTTAAAAACTCATCACAAGTATCATTATTATTTTGTAGATCGATATACACATTATTTACATGATATTAGAAGTATCATTCTTAGAGATTCATTGTTAAAGACAATTCATGAAGAATTATCTTTCTATATTTGTAAGGATAGGGATCGAATACAACAATTATTATTGACATTGGGTAGAGAGGAGGATCAGAGAGCAAAAGGTGGTACTGCTGGTGGTGTTCATCCAAGTACTAGTAGTCAATTTGACAATACTGATTTTCTATTCAGTGTGATTGACATGTTGCAAGTATTCAAATTATACATTAACAAACCTCACTTGTTGAATCTCAGTATGGAAGTGACTAATTTAGAAATTGTGTTGGAAATTTACGGTAAACTATTATTGGAATGCAATACCCTATCTCAATTGAATGAAAGTGAAAAACTACTCCACCAACTTGGTGATTGTTTGATGAATATCACCAATCCAATGACCTTTGTTCCTCATTATCATCCTCATACGACGAGTAGTACTAGTAGAACGATGATGAATCAAAGAGGAGATAGTCTGTTCTCTCCATCCATCATTCCTTCCACTACACTGACAGTGACCACAATGACTATGAGCAATAACAAGAACATCCATAACACCACCCATAACACCACAACCAACATTCCATCATCACCAACTCTTCTAACCATGAGTATGACTCACTCTCCTCATTCCTCTTCCTCCTCTTCTAAGAAATTATCCTTCTTTAAAAAACCAATCTCAATCATCAAATCAAAAACCTCTCCTCAAACAGGAATTGTGAATCATCCAAACAACACTCGTGGTGGTGGTCAGACTGGTGGTGGTATGGAAGCTCATCACTTGACCAGAATCATCTCAGAAGAGATCACACCAAATAGCACTAGTACTAATATTGTTGTTGGTAATCGTGATGATGGTCATGATGATTCACAACAAGAGTCATTGCCAGCAGTAGTGCCACCTGCAATCACTACTCGTATGGATTGTAACAATAACAACAACAACCATCACTTGAATTCAATCATTCCTTCAACAACACCAACAACACCAACAACACCAATATCATCACCAACAACACCACCACCACTTGAGACTCCTCCTCCAGTCGTGTTGTCAACATTCATTTCGTTTCCATCAACACCTCAATTTCACCTTCCAAAGAAAAATCGATTGACACGAAGAATTCTCAATACAGCAAGAAAATTACCAAGAATGATTCAAAGAATGGTAAAAAGTCCACGTTTGAATACAACTACGACTGAGGCAATGAATCCAGTCATTCATGTTGGAGTCATGCCCAATCGGTCCCATCATGATGATCAGCATGCTATGACCAAAGAAGAATTAATCATCGATTCACATCATGCTGTTGTCAACAACACGACTCAATAACCACATGCACCTTAATGTCATCAGCTGTAATCATGGTGGTACAAGTAGTAAATATAATATATATAATAATATATGTAACACAACACACATGCATTGCAGTCAATTCTTCTTCTCGAATTCTCTTGTTCTGAAATCGTTCACCTCAAATGCACACTCACACTCATACAGGCAGGATGGGTTTCTCAAAGATGATCAAAGAATAAATGCAACAATTGAATCTCATCTCGTGTTAGATCTGAATGATAAATATCGATCAATAATACAACTCGAATAGAATCTAGAGATGGTGTAGTAGTAGTAGTAGTATGGTTATTAGTAGTAGTATGAGTTGTATGAGTTGTATGGTTATTAGTAGTAGTAGTAGTAGTATGGTTGGTATGGTTAGTAGTAGTCGTCGTCGTAGGGGTTTCAGTCGGACTAGTATGGATTGGAGATGATGCAGTAACTTTGTGATGAATTGTTTCTGTCTGCAAACTCTTTGCATCTTGGGATGATGATGTTGGTGATGATGATTCATACTTCACTTCATGTACAAAACTATCATCTAATATCATGGTTTGACCTTCTTTGTATTGTCTTTCAATATTTTTAACTTTCATGGTAACTCTTGTTTGATTTGGAACAATTAATGGTAATTGAATTCTCAATTTGATATTACTCACACCACAATGTGGTAATATATGAGTACCTTCATGAATAATACTAAAATAAACATATCCAATATTCAATCGACAAATTCTACCCTCTTCAAATCCTAATATGGAATCTAACAAGTTAAATGTTTTTGGAAATTTAACAATAGATTCAACATCTAATTTTCCTTGATTCACCAGATAAATAGCATTCCATTGTCCATCAACACTACTTTGAATTCTATCCATAATAATATTATCATTGAAATGGTGAGTATAAACTTGAATAAATTCATTTCTAATCATTTCAAAATTGGATTCCAAATCCAATGAGATATTTCTAAAAATGGAATAATTGTACGTCTCTAAGGATGTATGATTCATGGTATGATCATCATGTTCATCTTGATGAATAAAATCATAAATGTAATGTGGATCATAATAAGGCTCATCACTTCCAATTTGAGGATAAACAAATAAATTTGGATATCTCAAGGGTTGATGTAAACGATTTCCTTTGATTAGAAATTGATAGAGGCAATAAATCAGTCGGAGTGGAGCATATTCGATTAAATAATCCTCTAATTGATGAATGAGAGAAGGAGTGTCACGTTGATGTGTTGTGTGAGTTGTAGTGGTAGTAGTAGTGGTAGTAGTAGCAGTGGTTTCAGTGATGGTATTATTGTCGGTCGCACCATTTAAAGTATTCAATGAAACATCATTCATCAATAATAATCGATTTGAGAGTTCAAAAGATATCTCCTTCTCATCATCATCATTCTCTCTCATGATTGCTTTCATCATTTCTAAAAGTACTTGTTCATTGAATTCATAAATGGAAATAAGTTCTTGAATCATGATGCGTTTGGTGTGATTCAAGACCTGAATACTCGATGGAGTAAATGATTTGGTGTTTAATGATGATGATGGTAATGATGATGATGATTGGTTATTGGGAGGGAGTGCTGTCTCCTCTTCGGAAGGAGCTGTAGGAGAGGTGGTGTTGGAGAATTCTTGAGTGACTAGTCCTTTGTGGTTGATCATTTTTTTGATGAAACAAATGTTCCTCTGTAGTTCAGTAATTGCTGAACAATCAAAGAAGAAAACAAATTGAAGTGATAACAAATCTGGAACCAAATTGCTGATGGCAAGAACACATGATACAAATATTCTTTGGGTTTTATAAACACGAATAACAGCCTATACCCATCAACTGTCACTTTTTGATCAAACACTGAAACAAAAAATGTCTTCAAACAACAACAACAACTCTACTTCTTCTTCCAATATTAAAAAAAGACTTACAGAATATATTGATAAACATTTTGATACCAATTATGTTCGGGATTGGTCCTCTTCTCATGTCATTGCATGGATGAAATTGATCGGTCTCGATGCCTTTTCAAAACAATTTTCAAAAATTAAAAACTTGAATGGAGAATACATTTATAAACATATATTACAATCTGAAGAATATACATTGGCTCAAAACTTTCCATTCATAACAAAATTTGGATGTCTACGAAAATTATATTTACAATCTCTGAAATTACGAAAAAATTTATATCATTTAGATCCTGACATGGTCTTGATGGAAGTGAGTAGAAATCCTTCATTAATTGGAAAGACATCACAAACCACTCAAGAGGGTCAACATTCTCTAAATGGTAATAGTGGTGGAATTGGTGGAAGTCTCTTCACAAGTGTGAGCCGATCCTTCAATGATGATGATGATGACATTCTCAACAGTATTGCCACAAGTAGTAGTGTGAGTTCAAGCACAGCATCTTTTGTGAATGGTGTTTCCAATAGCATGGGTCAAAATGCATCTTTTATAGAATATCGTTTACTTCCAAGTATGGAAATAGCCAATTATTTGAAAAGAAAAAAGATTTTAACCTCTAAGGAACACTTGTCAATCATTACTACACATTGTATTGATGGTGAAGTATTTTTAAGTATGACTACTACCAGTGATTGGATGTCACTATTCATTTATCATTATTCAAATCAATATGTTGGAGGAAATTTAAATGAAAATGAACTTTCCAAAGTGTATGATCAGACCTTTCATCGACATCCAAGTATGCCAAATATGGAACAGGTGAATGCATTGAAGAATATTGTAGTGGTACATGCTTGTAAATAATATTGTTGTTGTATTTGTGTGATACATAACAGTACTGTTATGTTTCTATGTAGAGTTATTGTAACATGATTCCCCTTGTATGAATAAATGTTGAAAGGCTTTTGGGAAGACACTTTTTTTGAACCAACCTCTGGATGATGCTCGGGGGCTCACAACAGCGTGTCTTTTGAAACAATTTCACTTTACCGCCAAGCCACCGTTAAATTTGAAAAAAATTAAAAAAATGTCCAAAAACAGTCCACGTGCCTCCAGTTCACACAACAAGGTTGAAAGTGATCAGGACGACCATGAAATATCATCACCTCGTTCTCCAATCACTCCACTCTCTAATCGTCATCATTCTTATGACTCGAATCCTTCTCATCCTAACATATCCTCCGAATCGGAATCTCCTTCTTTGACTCCGACCTCTTTTCGAAAATATGAATCCTCTCCATTCAGTAAAGCTCATGCAAGTAGTAGTGGTGCATTGGATGAGAATAAACCATCAAAAACTCCACCATCCCTCTTGAAAACCACAACACCTCCACACTCGACCACCACCACCACCACCACCACCACCACCACCACTCCAGTTGGTTCTACTCTCAGTGGTGGTGGTAGTATCGGTACTCCTCTTTACCAACCACAACAACAACAACAACAACAACCACTGTTATCCTCTTCCAATGCTGCTCATCGTACGATGGGTTTTGTTTCTCCTACTGAATCTGTCTATGCAGATCGATTAAGATATTTACAACCACAAGGTGGTGGTGGTTTCATTGTAACAACAACAACACCATCATTAACAACAACATCACACATGATTCATAATGCATCACCTCCTTTTCGAAGAAGAGAACGTATTTTCAAAGATGAAATTCATAGTCATATTAGTTTTCCAACTTCTATTTGTAAACAAGTGATTGATACTGAATCTTTTCAAAGATTACGTGATTTGAAACAATTAGGAAGTTGTTATTATGTATTTCCAGGTGCATCTCATAATCGATTTGAACATTGTCTTGGTGTTGGACATTTATCAAAGAAATGGATTGATAAATTATTATTTATGAATCACAATAACACGAATTACCAGAATGATTATTATTGGGGAGTGAGTCGTGTGGGTAGTGGTGGTCAGAGTGGTGGTAGTGATGACAAACTCACCTTTAGAGATATTTACATTTTACAAGTGGCTGCATTGTGTCATGATTTAGGACATGGACCATTCAGTCATGTCTTTGATAATGAATTTATTCCAAGAGTGAAGAAATCCATGTTCAACAATTGTTCGAATGAGTCATCACCACAGTCACTATGGACACATGAAATGGGATCAAAAACCATGTTTCAATACATGTTAGAAGAGAATACCAATGATGAAAAGAATTATGGAGATGTATATGTGAATGCAGTGTTGGGATTGGAGAAGACCATTCTCGATGATAACAGTGAATTCATTGGAGTTCCAAGTTCCTCACATGAAAAAAGAAAGGTACCTTCATCCTCCTCCCTTTCTTCACAACTACCCTTCATGTCATGGGATGACTCGTATCTACAACATCAATCTCATGAATGCACATTTATTGATTTTGGTAAAGAAGAACGTGACATGGTCTTTAATATGATTGATGGTCATATTTCCAAATCTGAATTCTCACAAAATAGACAATATCTCTATCAAATTGTTGCCAATAAGAAGAATTCTGTTGATGTTGACAAATTTGATTATCTTGCCAGAGATTGTCAAAATTTAGGATTAATTTCTTCCTATGATTCATCAAGATTGATGGAATTTAGTAGAATTATTCATGGAAATATTTGTTTTTCAAGCAAGGAAGTTTATAATTTATATGAAATGTTTCACACTCGTTACAATTTACACAAACAAGTGTATACACATCGAGTGGGTAAATCTGTGGAATATATGATTACAGATGCATTGGTTGAGGCTGATCCCTATCTTCATATTTCAGATATGATTACTCGTCCTGAACAATATGTTCATTTATCGGATAGTATCTTGTACAAGATTGAAACAAGTTCGGATCCTGAATTAGCCAAATCGAGACAAATTCTAAAAAGGTTAAAACGTCGTGATTTGTACAAATTTGTAGATGAAGTATTACTACCTTTGGAAAGATTTGAAGAAATCAAAAAGGATATTTGTGAAGAAGAGATTGCATCTTGTGCACCCAATATTGCAGGTTATGGACGTGAAGAAACTAGTCTCCATCCTTCTGATATCATTATTCATAACATGTCTATTAATTATTCAATGAAAGATAAGAATCCAGTGGATCAATGTCTCTTTTACAAGTCAAGTTATGCGAATGAGGATGAACCATTCCATATTGCAAAGGAACAAGTGAGTTATTTAATTCCATCTCAATTTATGGAAAGATATGTGAGATTGTTTGTGAGAGATGCCAACAAGTTGGATATTGCCTATGCTGCATTCCAAAATTGGATTCAGAAAAAGAAGTTGAAAAAGTATTCACAACACACCTTATAAAGAAATAATTTTTTTGATCATGGAAGTTTTCATGCATGACCACATGTTGAATTGTACAATCATGCTTGAATTAGGACCTATATATTGGATTAAGCTAGCTTATAATCAATTTATAATACACAAATCAACAGCAACATCATTGACAAGGTTGTTGTTGCATCCAAGCAGATGTATCCACAGTTACAGTACATACTTTTGGAATTCTTTCAAAGAATGATGAGGTAGGTGGTCGGTTCGTGAAATTCCGACACACACACAAGAGAGGATGATGAATTAAAATATGAAGGGAAAAGAAAAAAGTGATATCACTTTTGAAAGCGATGCATCAAAAAAAAATGTCTCTTCAACACACAGAGCAACCCACTACTGCAATGCCATCCTCCAACCCAAATGCACCACACCACAATGTACTCACCATAGGCACTTACATTCTCTTAAATTCTTTAATTTGGGGTGTCACGAATCCATTATTAAAATATTATGGAAGTAAATCTTTGACAAATAGAGAGGATGATGATGACAACAAGACAATTCGGAACACATCATCACATAACAACAATATTTTAAATCAATTAATTTCATTATTCGGAAATTGGAAATTTGTCATGGTTCAAATGATCAATTGGTGTGGATCTCTATTCTTTTTAATGTTATTAGGATATACAAATTTAACAACGTATGTTTCATGAACAAGTGAAGAAATATATAAATTTGGAAATATAGTGCTGTGATTTGTGTCAATTCTCTCACTTGTGTCATTACTGAGCTCACTGATATTTATTTGTTAGGACATGAAAGAAAGCATAAAATGCAAGTATACACTGGAATTGGTTTAATATTACTTGGAATTCTCATTTGTAATCCTGTACAACAAGAGAATTCATGAATGAGTTGTGTTAAAATGAGGGGTTTTCTTACTATACAATATAAATGTACAATCATGTATTCCTACTACTACTACTATACTATATAAAAAATATATTCCATCTTGATTCCATATCTTCAAAATATACAATCATAATGTATATTCCATGTCTTGTTAAAATTTGTCATTCATTGAAATCGTTTCACACTTCCATCCAAATTTCGAATGGGGTAATACTGAACGGTATCTGTAAGAGATTCTCTCATGTATCTTTGAAATGCAGAACCATTTGGTAGAACGATTTGGTTTGATTGTATTGTAGGAGTTGATGATGATAAGGACAATTGAGAAATACCAATCAATGAAGATGGTTGAGGAATAGATTGAGGAGGAATAGATTGAGGAGGAGTGGTGGTGGTGGTGGTGGTGGTGGTGATGGAAGGATGTATTTGGCAAGTCTTATTGATCTGACAGGGAGTGTTGTTGTGGTTGTTGTGGTTGTTGTTGGAATGAATGAATGGTTGTTGTTGTGGTGGATTTGCCATCATGCTCTTGTTGGTGGTAGGAGTGGTAGTGGAATGCATTGAGGTATTCATTAGGATTCGATTCATCAAAAAAGAATGATCATTCAATGGTGATGATGATGACAATGATGATGAACATGGCATCATTGACATACATTGTTTCCATCCAATACAAGTCAATTCATCCATGGATTCGATATGAAATTCATACACACTCTCTTCGAATAGAAATTGATCACCTGCTCGATAGGGTTCACCATTATTGAATGAAAGACTGTTTTGTTCATGATCCAAAATGGATGATTTACACAACTCTTGGGTGTTGTTGTTGGAAAGAGATGTCATCCCAATGTTGTTGTTGTTACGACGAGTAGTCGTTGTAATTGTAGTTGCAATACTACTACTCGTTGAAGAGGCAACAGCAACATCAGTGAGAGGAGTCAAACTCGTTGCACCCTCCTTTGTTGTTGTTGAATTCATCGAAAGGTTGTTCATTGGTGAATTCGTTGTAATAGTCGTCGTCGTCGTCGTCGTCGTTGTCACGTTTGTTGTTGATGATGTCGCAGGTGGATTCCTTGAAGGAATATGAGCAAGTCCTCCTCCTTCTCCTTCACCAGTAGTGGTTGTAGTAGTATCATTAGCAGATATAGAGGGTGTTGGAGTTGACAAGGAATGTAATCCAACAAGTGAGGAGGAAGTGGTTGGAGTGGAGGTGGTGTGACCAGATGAAAGAGTCATCCTTGGTGATGATGTTTTCTGTTGCCTTAAAGGATCATTCGTAGGGTTGTTGTTGTTGTTCTTGTTCTTGGACAAGTGTTGATCATTAATGTTGTGAATGGAAGCGTTGGAAGTAGTAGGTGGTGTGGAGGGAGAAGTGTTGTTGTTGTTGTTGTGAATGTTATTAGTATTATTATTACGAGTAATATTATTGGTGGTAGTTTGGGTGGTGGTGATTTTACTGCTGCTGTTGCGTGCTGTAGCACCATTATGATTGCTACTACTACTACTACTACTACTACTACCACCCATAATGTGTCTGCTCATCGAACCACCATGTTTTTGTGATAATTGATTCAGCAAAACATGATACAATTGAGAATGCGGAAGAGAAGTATTCCCCATCCACTCATTCAGAAGAAGAGAAGAAGTATTTGCATATTGTGAAATGTTATTGTTGTTGTTGTTGTTGTTGTTGTTTGAATGGTCAACAGCCATGATTGTTGTTGCGGTTGTTGTTGAGACTGGTTCGGAGAGAGTTGGAGGAGATGAGTTCTTCTTCTTCTTCTTCGGATTTGGAATCGGATTCGGTGTCGCATTCATTTTGTTTGTGTTCATACTTTGTGCTGCTGCTGCTGCTGTATATCATCACGAAGGATCAACGTTTCCATTGTGGAACATGTTAATTTGGCAGTGTTGATTCGCATCATCATCTTGATGATCAACACTGGATTGAACCTCACTGGATTGAACCTCTGTTCGAACAGAGTTGGGTTGATCTTGAATGGACCAGAGCTTTGAGTAATTCTTGCAAACGGACCAACCACCACTGCAATCGAATTTGATTCACTGTCTAATGAACGTTCATACGCTCCGTCGACGAGAGTCGAGTCAATATGAATCATATATGACGAGAACATAAAATAATGCTCGAGCACACCGAAGGCAATCATCAAAAAAAAATGAAAAAGTCTCACTCGGATCAACACTTCCCTCCCACTTCATCATCATCATCGGGAACAAGAAGAACAGAGGGTATGATACCGCTGGGATCTACCCCTCAACAAACACAACAAATAATACCTAATCCCACATTGATCAATCCACAAATACCACCTAATCAAATACCACCATCCTATCCAAATATTCAACCAAGAACTAGTAATTTATTACCACCAACCCATCCACAACAACAACAAGTAAACTCATTTGATCAACAACACCACCCACAACAACATTTAGGAGTAAATTTACCACCATCAGGAGTTTCCAATCCTTTTCTTCAACAATCCGTACAACAATATAATACTTTTTATGTTGCTCCGGGATCCACTGGAAGTTCTCATGGTATGGTTTCACGATCGAGTGATTCTTCATTACAGTCAGGAGGTTATCCAATGATGACACAATCAAATACTACAAACGGAGCATTTTCAATTCAAAACGCAATGAACTTTTTTAATAGTACCGTTACAAAATATGTGAATCTAGTACAATTAGCAAATAATGATGATAGAAGAAGAGCACTCAAAGTTGTGAATGGTATGTTTATGTGTTCATTATAGTATATTCACAAGAAACAAAAAATAATATTTCAATGATGATGTTCATCTGTATTTTTTTTAATAATTTATGATCCTATTACCATATCAAAATATATTACTCTTCAATATTATTATTTTCAATAACAGATTGTGAAGATATTGTTACTCAAGTTTTGGAATATCACAATTTAAACAATCACAAAAATAAGGAAATGCTCTTGGCAGCATGCTTTGATCAAATGTATTTACTTTTTCAATCTTCTCAACAGCAACAACAACAAAATGATTTGAGATATATCTATGTGAGCATTTCCTATCTCGCTAAGAAACATGTTGAAGTATTCAACACTGAAGAAATCAAACAAAGACTTTTGGGTTATTTATTCTTGACAAACAAACATTTTGGAGCAGCGAGTACTCCTCAGAACCCATCATCATCCACTACGACGAGTAGTAGTAGTACTACTATGACTGGTGGTGGTACTATTAGTGGTGGTGGTTCTGTTGTTTCAGCATCAGGAACTTCTACAGGCACTTCAGCTCAAAACACTTCTGTGAATACTGCAGTGATGAAAAAGGGAACTTATTTATGTTTGTTATGTTGTGATATTTTATACAAACTTTATCATGGAATTGACCCATTCACAGTTCAGAATGCTGGTGAAATGGCTGTACAGCTCAGTGGTTATACTAGCAATAGTATGAGTGGTGGTGGTGGTACTAGTGGTGCAACATTGATTCAAGATATCTCTCCAAAATCCACTCAAAAATCTCATCATCTTGTAACAGGTGTGAGTGAATGGAGTTTAGATTTAATTTGTGCTCTCCTCAATGATAGCTTAGAGGATCGAATTTGGTGTGAATACGAATATGCAAAAGATTTTGTAGATTCCATATTAACTGGTATTCGAGATTTAGATTCATCTCCAGTTCTCAATGACATTGAAGCTCAATCTGTGCCATGTCGATACAATGACCCTTATACACTTTCAAGAGTGAAGGAAATTGTTGTTTCATTTGTAGATCAATTTAGAAATAATACCTCAAAAAAGAGAATTGAAAATATCATTAGATTTTGTATTTACTGTTTGAAAGTGAGAGAAGTGAGAAGTTATGCAGCACGATCGATGGAGTCATGGCTTAGTAGTTCCAATGTCATTGTCGTCAAGTATGCAAAAGAATTACTTCAAAGAATGACTCTTTATATTCGAGAAGATGTTCCTGACTTGTATAATGAAGGTGATCGATTTGCATTTGAAAGTATTGTAAATATGAAATTGAAACCAGCAAATATTTCAACTCAAGTCGATGCTGTCTGTGGAATTGTGAAAAACAATATTGGATATCCAGTATTGGCTCTAAGAAAATTTTTGAATATTGAAGCTCAACCACATCATAAGAGTAGTAACACATTCAAGAATTTATTAAGTATATTCAAAGCCATTCCTTCTTATAGAGAACGACAATTAGGATATACATTACAAGAAATGGTTGCTGCAGCAGGTGATGCTGAGTATTTTAAGAGTTTTAAATTATTGACTCGAAAGATTATCAAACATTGTTATACAACAACAACAACCACTGCCATCACCATCACCACTACCACTTCATCATCAACCACCACATCATCAGCAACCTCATCAGCAAATCTCTCACACAATGTTCCAAGTGCCTCTGCCACCACTAGCACCACCTCTACCACCACCACTAGCACTGCCTCTTCTTCTCCCTTTGATTTTGTAGATTTGTGTGCGAGTTTATTCTCTCCTAGAGAACAAATGAAACAACAGCCATTTACCACACGTAAACGATGGATTAATAGTTTATTTGAATTGGTACGAACCATTGTCATTACCATTGTCATGTTACACACCTCTAAAGAAATTGAAGATCAAGATTTGAGATTCAAAATTGCAATCATCCAAAAAGAAGCCATTGAATGGTGTAAAAATGTATTACCTCAATACTTACCAGAACTTTCCAATCGTCAAGAAGAATATTTTAATTATGTGAGAGGTTTTCTTTTCTTTGATTATCAATCCTTTAGTGATGCTAACGTTCTACAAAGTGTATTGGGAGAAGTTCCACCCAATCCAACAGCTGCATTTGAACAAGTACGATATTGGTTAGATGAATTACCATGTGAAGAAATGACCACCATTCATGTTCAACAAATGGCTCTCTATGATAATTTACTCAAATATGCAGATGCTATTTTTGTTGTACAGAGTTGTGTGTTCCGAGCTGCCAAGTTGAGAAATCGATTAATTTCTCTCAAGCAACAACAACAAGTCTCTCAACAACAGCAGTTACAACAAGTCTCTCAACAATTACCAACAATGACAACTACATCCATGATGATGGGAAAACATGTTTCTCAACAACAACAACAACACCTCTCTCTACAACAACCACTCACAATATCACCCATTCTCTTAAAACATTGCCTTCCAGTCTCTACCTTTGATGTCATTCAAAATTTGTTAGATTTATGTAAATTTAATGCATTACCACAAGTGATGGATGAAAAGATACCTTTCCGAGATGAAATTGTATTGAGAATGTGGTATTGGAATGCAATTATCGTTGGTGTTATGATCATTGCACTCAATCCAAATACATTGGCTGAATATGCATTGAATGTGAACACTCCATATCCTACATTTCGAACCATTCTAGAATACATGTTAAAAAATCAATTACCATTAATGGAATATGAAGTGGAAAGTGAGCAATTACAGAGAGAAGAAAGAGATTGTATTGAAAGACATATTCGAAAGATTATTCAAATTCAAAACGATCGTTCGATTGAACCTAAACGATTTGAAAATGATTCAGTACAGACATGGATGGATACATTTATGATTCATGAGAAGGCTCAACTTGGTTCAAGAGAAAGAAGAGTCATGCCAATTTCACTTCAAAGAGAACTACGAAGATATGATAGTGAATATCAATTGGGAAGATCATTGAGAGCATGTCGACAACCTGATTTCTTGATGCAAATGATTCAAAGAGAACCTTCACCATCTCATGCTTTGAATTGGATTGATGGAATTATTCAAATGAGTCAAGAAGATGCCATTTGTACCATTCATGTACTTCCACCAAATGTGTTGTGTGAATATCTCATGTCAATTTTTAAAAGAAAGAATCAAAGCTATCATGGTGGTCATACAAGTGGTGGTATGAGTAGTCATATGAGTGGTATTATTGGTAGTATTGGTAGTATTGGTGGTCATACAAGTGGTCATATGGGTACTCTTAGCGATGGTACTACTAGTGGCACTGGTAGTACTACTTCTTCTTCTGGTCAACCTCACATTTCACAACAAGTCTTGATTCATCAAATCATTGATCGACTGAGATATTATTTGAAAGGTTCTTCTGAAAATGATAGTTTGGAGGTTTTCTATTTCTTTTTAAGAAAGTTGGCTCATGAAGATGTGACTGAAAGAAAATTAGCTCAATTCTCTCTCAAGAAATTATTTATGTCTCCAAATGACACTCAATGGAATATTGAATTTGATTGGATTGATGAAATTCGTTCATTGACATACTTTTCAAAATGTCACAAAATCATTTGGGAAACATTTAGCAAATTAATTCTATTAGAAACAGATATCAAATTTGTGAGCACTTTCACAGATTTTATTTACAGTAACGACATTGCACCTTGTATTGAAATTTCATACATTCTCTCCAATCTCTTAACTCAACGCACCTACTTTAGCGAAAAACTCTTCTCAACCAATTATAGAAATATCAGCGAAAAAACACAAGAAATTTTTTATCATGGATTTGAATGGATCAGAGAACATCAAGAATATTTAAAATCTTCAAAAGAACATCAAGAATATTTCAATAGAGAACAAGAAGAACCTCCTATCATCATCATTTATCAAAGTGATTATAATAATCAAAGCATCTTTGAAAGAAAGAATGATTCTGTTAACGAAGCTAATGTACAACATGGCACACCATTACGAATGAGATTATTATTTTTAGAAGGACTCATTTCATTCTTATCCATCATTTACTCGAGAAATAATACAACGACGAATATTCAATACATTCAAGAATGGGAGAATATCATGACTTTATTCTCTCAACATGCCTATTATGTGCCAATATTAACACCTGAAAGAAAATATCCTCTGATCTCTAGAGAGTTGGCTTTCAAATGGATTGTTTCTAATTTATGTAATCTTGTAGACATTAGTGTTCAGGTATTACCCAATGAAGATTTATTACAATTATTAGAGAGTGAATACATTCTCACGGATTATGCGATGGGATGTATTTATGAAAGATTCTCCAAATGTTCTCAAGATGATCTATTGGAAGCATTCAAGAGATTGCAATCCTCGATTGGAACTACTACTGCTCTTAATACTGCTATTCCTACGACTACTACTTTCGATAGTACTACTACAAGTAGTAGTACCATCACCACTAATACCACCAATACCAATACCACCACCACCACCACTCGTACTACCACCACCACCACTTGTACTACGATTCATTCATTTTTAATGAATATTGAAAATTTCTTACAAATGTCCATCTATGCAAACAAAAATAAGGATTATCATCATGTGCAACAGAAACTTTTGAAATGCATTCAATCGTACTATCAAGTATTAGGTATTGAAAATTCATCCATGAGAGAGTATTCTCAAGAAGAGGATGATGATTTTGATGCCTATGCCAATATGGAACAAGTGGAAAAGGTACAAAATTCAATGCTCACCCAAGAGGATGAGATGAGTATTGAACAAATTAGAGGATACTCTGATGAGGCTACCAAATCATTCCTTTATTCGAATCATTTACGAGATATTATTCATCCAAATCAAGAAAGAGAAGAAATGATCACTTTTGTATTGAATTTTGTGAATTGTGTTGAGAATGTGGAGGATGACTCTCGAAATGATCATATTCACTTGTTGTCTTCATTGACCGAAGAGATTTTATTGTATTTGGTGGAAGATGATTCATGCATGAATGAAAAGTTGCAACCACATGCACCCTATGGCTTTGTATTGTTTTGTGTATTGACTCTTTCATTGAACTATTCACTTCTCAATGATAGTGGAAGGGAGAATCTTTTGAATATCATCCTTTTATGTCGAGAACGATTTGCAATGGAGAATGATGAGAATCTATCAACGACTTCCATACTACATTCTATTATTTATTCATATACTCACATTCTGTTTCCAGTCTCATTGGATATTTACATTGACAATCAATTATTGACACAATTTGTGATGGAAAATTCAAATAGGAATGATATTTCTCTCTATCAGTACTGTCAAGAAATGAATAAGAATTTCAATGCCTTTGACGAGAATTGGAATCGACCAAATGATGATGAAAATGATGATAACGAACGCACTCTTTCCACAATGACATTATTCTTGTGTCGATTATTGGATTTGGGATCTTCAGTCACTGAATTTGTGATTAATTATATTGCACAAGACGAAAATTTCATTCCTAATCATCGATCGATCACTACGACCACCAACACTTCTACTACTACCACTTCTACTACTACCACTTCTATTACTACCACTTCTATTACTACCACTTCTATTACTACAAGAAATACTAGTTGGATCAACAATAACAAGAATGGAATGAAAAGATTATTGAGAATATTTTCAAATATCATTCATGAGAGAACAACAAGACAAAACCTTCTGATCGGTCAGAATGGAGCAACAGCAGCAGCAGCAACTCACAATCATGATGATGGCAGTGTGAACACTCTACCCATCGATTCAATGCAACTCAATTTATTGAGTGGACTTGTATTGGATTGTATTTCTCAAAAAGATCCATCCATATTTGATGATGTGACTAGTTCATTGGTATTTGTGAGAGGTGAACATGTTGAGACTAGAAATTATTTATCGACCTGTTTGATGAGTTCAATGATTCATTATAGTTCGAGAAGAGAATTAACAAACATTTTGGAGAAGGTTTACAATTTATTCAAAGAAAATCAATCAATTCCATTCTCTCATCAAACGAATTCATTGTTGGAACAACAGCATGAAATTCCTCTCTTTTCACAATCCTTGTTGAGTTTCGTACAGGCCTATCGATCCACCGTTCAAGTCAATGATGACATTTACACCAACAGTCGACTCAAATTACCCATTGTGTTGAATTCTGAAATTTATTCATTGGTGATTTATTGTGTGTTGGATTTGATGGAACAACTCTTCAGATGCTCCTTCTCACAACAACAACCTCAACTGTTACTAGTAGAAGAAGAACCACCACTCGATTCATCATCATCATTGAAATATCCACAATCCAATGACAATACCAAATGTTGGACCACTAGCACTTGTACCACCAACACCAACACCAACACTCTGACCACTCTGACCACTAGCACCACTAGCACCACCACTCACATTCCTTCATTCTTCAGAAATGAAAACACCTATGATGTGGTTCTATTGACCATGCTCAGTCAAAATCCATATTCCGATTACTTGAGTTTATTCCTCGATCTCATGTCCAGTCAAAGTGATCGTGTTGGAGATTTATTTGTCCATTTCATTCTGGACAAGTATGGATTACAACCAAAAACAAAGAGTCTCTTGCGATGGATGTACTGTTGTTTCCCAACACAAATTTCAAATGAATTGCAAAGGAGAGGAATCTCTGAGAGTGAAATGAATGCAATTCTCTCTTGTTTAGTTTCAAACAAAGTATTGAGAAAGAATATGACTACAAGTTTAGATGCCATGCTTCACCGATTAGGACATTTATTATCATTTTACTCCTATTCGGATAGTAATATGGAAATATCTAATTTTGCATTTTCAATCTTCAGACAAATTGCATTTCTATATCCTTATCTAGTGATTCGATATTTAGATAATATTCTCGCATTGATTGAAACGAATTTCACATCAAATTCAAGTCAAGAAGAAATGAAACCAGTGCTTCGAATTAGTACTCAAATCCTTGCGATTTTAGATGCATTGAGACCTCACATTTTCAATTTTAGAGAAATTCTTTTAGATGAAGTGTTAGATGTTTATTTTGTGATTTTAAATCAATCACTTCTTGTTGCTCGAAATGATCAACATACCCATGTTGAATTTGTTTCAAAATTCATTGATTTTATTTGCAATTATATTTTATATTTGATGGATGAATCAAAGAGCCAAACGATGCAACCCGTGGTGGAACAATTGAACTTTTTACTTTCACAGAAAGATGTATTCAGTAAGGTTCAAGAAATATTTCCAGAAATATCTAAAATCAAACTTTTACTCTCCATTATTCAACAATTGAGCGCTTTACGAGAGATTGCACCAACAATAGAATATCATCAGGAGTCATTGAGTGGTGTTCTTGTTGCAACTGGTGGTGCTGATGGTGATAGGAATACTATTAATAATACTATGAATAGCATTACTATGACGAATAACACGATGAATACTAGGAATACAACAACAACAACTCATTATTCAAGTGTACGACATGGAACTGACACTCATGCACTACTTCTTGTGAATAAGAAACATTTTACCATGTTACCTTTGAGTGATGAAGAAATATTTGAAATGAGATTGAGATTGCATTATACACAATTCTTAACTAGTAGTAGTAGTAGTAGTTTTGATTCCTCTTCACTTCATCATCACAGTGGTGGTCTATTTGCTTCTCATTTAACCTTTTTGAATCATGATCATGATCATCACTACCAACAACTGAGTCGACACATGCCTAATATAATCACCACTACTGTCAACACCAGCAGCAGTATCCCCACCACTACTGTCAACACTACCAACAACAGAGAGGATCATTCAACATCATCTCATCCAATATTCTTTGCAGAATATTCTTCAAATGTTCACTACAATGCTTCTCAATTGAAAACTAAAAACAGAACACTTATGGATACATTGGCAGAAATTGATAGCATTTCTCAATATGAACCTGGTGTCATTATTCATTTCGTTCCACAATTATTAGATCTTTCCATTCAAGCTAAGAACAATCGACAAGTTATGGAAATTGCATATCAATTACTTGTAAGAGTATTACAACATGATTCTAAACAATACTCTAAAATTATTCCATTCTATTTGGATTCTCTGTTGCATGATAATTCCAATGTTCGAGAAATGGCAATCAAATATGCCTATGATTTATATCCATTTTGTAACACGAGTGAATCCAAACAATTGTTACTGGAAAGATTATTTGTCATTGCTGAGAAGGAACCACCACGTGTGTTGCATTCGAACCTAAGTCCAACTCTCTCTCAGACGGCTATGAGAACTCTCACTAAGATTATTGACATGTTGATTAAGATTAACTAGTGTGTTGAATTCTGTAAAGTCTAGTAAAATAATGTTCATTAATAAATATAATATTTATTAATTTTACATATTCGAATGATGATTCATCTCTCAAACCTTCATTTTAATCACTCTTTTGAAACTGTGTATCCATTTTATGCAATATACCACGAGGTATTCGAGATGTCATAATTTCGAAGAGAGAAGACAAAAACTGTTCCACATGGCAACAGACCACAAAGTCCACAATAACATAAGATGCAATCATGCACATGATTGTAAAACGTAGGTTTGGCGACCAACAAGAAGAGTTGAAAGAAAGAAAAAGTCCTGAAAAACAAATCATCAACAACAACACTCTGTTCATTCCAGTACCAACAAGGGTAATACTGAAATTCTCATTCGCTTGCCTAAAAGTTGTTCCTCTAAAAAGACCAGAGTGTCTACCACGAATCGTAACATTTCCCCATGGATTGATCAATAAAAGCCTTCCTATTCTTAAATTCCTGTGCAAGTCCTTTGCTAACTCCAAAACTTCTTCATGTTATTCCTGCAAGTTCCATTGAACAGACTGTATTGGAGATTCAGTTGAAGAAGTGATGATTTGGAATCTCTATTTCTCTAAATCTTTATGCTGTACATGACTCAAATAAGCATTCCATAAGATTGCAACGCTATTCACAAACAATACTCTATATTGCAACGGTACCAAAGTGAAATTCAACATTTGAGCAGCTGGCCAAATATACCAATTTACCACCAATGTTGGCCACATATCATGTTTCATCTTTTCAGCAATGGAATCAAAGCTTTTACCTTCAATAGCACCCATATAAGCTAAAAACTGAAATAAGGCAAAAGGAGCAAATAATGTTTGATCCACCAGCATTTGTCTTGCTGCATTGAGAGTTCTTTCCGTGTTGGAGAGAACATATCCGACAGGATACTTTTTAGCCACAAAACGATCCAAGAATTTGTACCACAAGTGAAGAGTTGGCCCAATCATAATGATACCAAAACTGGCCATTTTCAATGTTCTCACCCAATCCAAGGTGAAACCTGTTGTGGATGATGATGAAGAAGAAGAAGGATGATGATGCTGGTGGTTGTGTTCGAGGGTTTGAGTGAGTACATCTCCCAATCCGACCAGTATGGACGAGGAGATGGATTTGGTGAGAATGGGTCTCGTCTCTAACATGTTCAGATACCATCGGGAGAATCGACCAAACATTATGTTTTTTAAAAAGAGGAATCTTTGTTGATTAATAATTCAAATATGAATGTGGTTGAAGCGAGTCAAAGCCTTTGAGAGTAAAAGGAGAAGGCTTTTAGGAGGATGAAGATTGTAATTTTTTGATTTGGAAATTAAAAAAAATTGAAACCCCTGTTCGGATAAGGCTACTTACTAGGGTTTGGTAATTACATTTTCAATACTCAATTATAGTTGAATGATTGAAAACACCACTCGGAATTTGTTGTGAAATTGAACCAAATTCGTAAAAATACCATTTATATAAAATGTCAATTCCAAACTCTCTTGATTTTTATAAATTTGAAGGAGATGAAGAATTACTTTTGAAAATGATACAAAAAGAAATTTATTCCAAGAAGGAGAGAGAACAGGCAGAACAAGAATTTTACAATCACGTTGAAAATAATTTATTTAATATTTTAAATTTAATCACTCAAAATATGAACATTTCGGATTTGGGAAAATTGGATTCTCATGCCTTGTTGCAACTCATTGAGAAATATATTTCGGAAGATGATAGGGATTCAAGATTGAATATTTCATGATGATTAATTGGATGATTTCTTATTGGAGAATTCAATTTATCTCTTGTTGTGGTGCTCGTGCTTGCGATCATGGGATTGACAGCAAATATTTTCAAAAGTAGATTCAGTACTCAACCGTTGAGTTTGATTCAATTGAGTTTGATTTGATGTCCTTTATTAAATTCACAACCAACCACCACATCGTTCAATTGCAGTTGAAATAAATGGTTGAATTGAGCCTCAACCATCCTTGATTTCATCTTTGCATATGAGTCGATGACAAAAACATTCAAGCAAATAAATCCTCGAGAAATTGCACTATGAAATACAACAACAAAAAATGAAAAAACAAGCCTCTCCATCATCAACACAAGAAGACAACACTTATCAAGTCACCTGGGAGGATCAAAAGAAGATTAATACATTCAGTAGAATCATCATACGATTCAATGAATTGGAAAAGGAGATTTCCGATTTAAAAGAAGAAATGAACAAATTGAATGATGCTTCTGATGAAATTTTCATTTCTGATAATATTAGTTATGTGGTGGGAGAATTGTTTGTAGAAGTAACGAGTGATCAGGCCGAAAAACTGTTAGAAGCTCGGAAAGAACAAGTAAAAAGAGATTTGAAAGAGAAACAAAGAGAACATAAAGAAATTGAAACCAAGATGAAGGAATTGAAAGCCAATCTCTATGCAAAGTTTGGTTCAAACATTAATTTAGAAGAAAAAGACAAGTAATTCGAGTATGGTTGTTGTTGTCGTTTCGTATGTTTTATTCAGTCTAGACTTTTCCGATGTTTAATTTAACACCGAACTGTAGTAAAAATCTTTTCTGTCTCACCCTGATAGTAAACATGAACCTCACACAAGAATTCATGCTGTTGTCATCAACATGTTGTAACGATGTGGATGTGGTTGTCATGATGATTCTGGAAAGTTGGGAAGTCTCAAATCAGCACAAAAAAACACGTCCATCGACAACCATGCCACCATCCATGAGTACTTCTCACCACCGTCGTTTTCTCATACTAACCTATCACCACCACAGGTCAATAATTTCATTCAAGAAGATGATTCAACACAAGCATTGAGCTCAATCCAACCCATCACCATGATTCAAGCCACTACAACAACACCCAATGCTTCTCCTTCTTCAAACAAAGATGTTGTTGCACAAAAGAAAAGGCGCAAACGTCCCAACAAGAAGAAGCAACCGATGACCGTTCAGATGGACCATCGTGCCAATCCTCCTCTCCATCTTGACAAGAAGAAGGATATTGCTGATGATAAAAACATGCATGCAAACTCCCAAAACAAAGACTCAACCAAAAGTGTTCATGGAAGATCTTCCACACGTTTTAATAAGAAGAAGAAGAAGAAGAAGAAGAATAACAAACAATGTCCATCTTCAGCGTTTTCGCAAGTCGATGCGCATGACTACATTCATCACGTCAACGAAACAACAATAATCAACCACACGTCCACCAACAACCACACAACTACTGACAACAACAAACATGGTTCACAAGAGGAGTTTAAAACCACCACTTGTACCTCCTTCTCCTCTTCCTGTGCCTCCTCATTGAATCAATTAACTGCTTCTGGACGAGACATGTCATTGATACATCATGATGGACAAGTCAAAATGTTGCAACTTGTCAGTGAAACCAAAAATCGAGTCCTTTCACTATTGAAACAACAAGAATGTGATAAACGGGAAGAAAAATATCAAATGCTCTGTGAAGAAACCTGTGATCATTTGAAAAAGGTGAATTCAGAAATTGAATTACTGATTGGATTTCGAAAAAGTTTCGAATTGGAAATGAAAAAACTTGAATCCATGATTCATCATCTCTCACAGACCAATCTCAACACCTTGAAAGAAAAATTTGACAAAGAAGAATATCGAGTATTGATTCATGCACTTCCAATTTATTCCAAAAGACATGAAATTTTGCAACAACTTGAACAGAATGATGTCATTATTTGCTCTTGTTCGACTGCCACTGGAAAATCTACTCAAATTCCTCAATACCTCTATGAAGCAGGATATACTAACATTGTTTGTACTCAACCTAGAAAAGTGAGTGCATTCAGTTTGGCTCAACGAGTGTCTGAAGAGATGAATCCCACGATGATTGATCACCACACCACAACCCATATAAGGAATATTCCACAACAAGAACAATCTTACCACCACTCTCGAAAGGATGTTTGGATTGGATATCAAACAAGTCCTGTGAACAAAACAAACAAACACATCTCCTCCAAGTGGACGTCTCACTCGATGAGTAGCATTGTATTCGTAACGGATCGAATTCTACTCAATGAATATCAGAAAGATTCTCTTCTTAGTTCGTATGAAGTCGTGATGATAGATGAAATCCATGAACGATCCACTTACACCGATATTTTAATATCCTTATTGAAACTATGTGTAAAAAAGAGAAAACTTTTACAGAGACCTTTGAAAGTGATTTTAAGCTCTGCGACTCTTCAAGTGGAACTTTTTTCGAAAAGTGTCCAGTGGTGAAATTGACATGTGAATTGTATCCTGTGCTTGAATTCTATCAATCACACAGACCTAAAAATTATGAACAAGCAGTTGTTGACTTGGTGTCAGACATTGTTCTCAATAATCGACATGAAGGAGATATTTTAGTATTTTTAGCAAGTCGTGAAGAAATTGACAAGTGTTGCAAAAAAACAAGACAGTTCATCCTATCAAAATCAAAGGATCATCCATGTGTCATTCTTCCACTCCATGGAAAGATGAATGACAACGATATACAAGCTGTATTTGAAACGACCAATGAAAAAAGAAAAATCATTTTTTCGACCAATGTTGCAGAAACAGCCATAACCATTCATGGAGTGAGAATTGTCATTGATTCAGGAGTGGTGAAGGAACGAATTTATGATCACGAAAAGGATATGAGTATTCTTAAAATATCTCCAATTAGTCAAAGTAGTGCCATTCAAAGAAAAGGTCGTGCAGGTCGATGTAATTATGGAGTTTGTTATCGTTTATATTCAAAAAGTGATTATTATCAAATGAAACTTTTCACAGAACCAGAAATGTCTCGATCTCATTTGGGAAATTCCATTTTACAAATTCTATCGAGTGGAGTGAATGATTTACAAAACTTTGAACTCATTGAAAAACCCTCAAAGGACGTCATTCAAAGAGAATTGAATCGTTTACATCGATTTGGTTTTGTTGAGTGTTCACATTCGAAAGGACAGGACATGAATGAATCATATTTTATGAATTCTTCTTCCACCCTATCGATTACCAAAGAAGGTAAAATTGCTTCTGAACCACAGTTAGAACCTTCTCATTCACGAATGATGATTGAATCTCTAAAATTGAACATTGAGAAAGAAATGGCCATGGTGATCTCCATGTTGAGTGAGAGTGATTTTGTCTTTGTGAAAAAACAGAATCCATCATCCAACGATGCAACTTGGAAGCATTGGAATGAGCGTGGAGATTTATTCACCTTGTATCACCTATTATCAGAATATATGCGTATTCAAGATAAGAAGAAGAAGAAGCTCAGGAAGAGGAGTAGCCCCGAGAAGGAACAGTGGTGTGAGGAGAATCACCTTTCAATCAAGGCCATGAAAATTGCAGCAGATTTCAAATATACGGATGTCATGAAACGAATCTCTTGGATTCGATCCACTTTTGAAAGAACAGCCCACTCTCAACCACCCATGGGTCATCATTCTAGTAGTAATAGCAGCAGTAGTAGTATCAGTTGTAACAGTAGCAGTAGCAGTATCAGTTCCAACAACAACCACAACCACAACAACAACTTCATGAACACCAAGAAGGTTACTTCGAGTAACAACCCGAGCACTCGAAATTTCGTATTTTTAATGAAATTAGTGAGCAAACTTGCATTCGAATTCAGTCAGAAAAAAAGCCAGTCGCAAAATCAGTAAATTCCACATTTTCGTACTGATTCCGAAAAAATCAAGACGAATTTTAAGGGAGAAAATGATTTTGTTTATTTATTTTATTACAAAGCAATCAAGTTCGGAGCCATTATTTGAATGAATCATCCCCTGATTTTGTTCTCTTTTCAGAGTTGGTGAGAGCCGATAAGTTATATATGAAGGGAATCACTTACGTCCAATAGTATGATTCGTTTCAAATGCTTGCTTGGAAGTGGTGATGGAAATTGCAAATCAAGATTTATCTCAATAGAGAAGTTGATATCCGGAAAAAAGCAACACACATTTTCGACTGCTTAAAAAGAAGATTGGGCGTCTCTGGGATTGCATTGTCGTATACAAAAAATGATTCTGAAATTATATTAAGCATCAAAAACTTGGATACCACATTGGATGAGATGTCTGTCAAACAGGCACTGGAGAAGGATAAAATCTATTTTAATTCTGTTAAGATCCAAAGATACGTGGAAGAGGACACAATTGAAACGACCTTAGCTTGCCTTTTATCTAAGATGAGACAGTATGGAGTTGTGGATTTCATTGAATGTAATCCAAATGGTATCCCTTATCAACTCGGCGGATTTATCAAATTTAGAGAATATCAAATTGCTTCACAAGTCGTTGAAGAACTTGATGGTACTCCATTCTTAAATGGTTATCTATGGATGAAACATCAACTCAGTGAAAGTTTTCAATTTCCGGCTAATATTTACACGGTGGCTTGTCTGAAAAGCGAAATTGATCGTCTGATCGAAAAGATTTCCTCTAATTCAGAATGTGAAGTTCAGATCAAAGATTTGGGAAGAAAACACAATCATGGAAACAATAAGAAAATATTCAAAATAAGAGCAACCAATCACAACTCCCTAAAACAAGCGAAAATTATGGCTGAAAAACTTTTACTGCCACAACAGGTGAAACTTGACTTTAAAACATTCAATTTTGCTCAAAATCATAGAAAAAAGTTTGAAATCATCGAAGTGGAAGAACGAGTGAAATTTTCTTTGGACAGCAGAGAAAAGACAGTTTTCATTTATGGTAAGAAAATTAATACTGAAAGAGCAAGACAGAAAATGATGTTCATAATTGGAGATAGATCAAAGTATCACACCATTCCTCTTAAATATGTGAAATCTATTGTAGGAGAAACATTTAAAGAATTACAGCAGAGATATAAGGGAGATATTACTTTTAGTTTTCTTACAAGATCAATAACGATCAATTCTACAGACTCTGAAATTGAAAAATTCAAAATTGAAATTCGAGAAATAACTGAAAAATATGAACAAACAGTATTAGGACTTGATCGTCAGAGCAATCTTATGGAAGAATGCTCGATTTGCATGGAGAACATCACATATCCATACATGATGATTCGTTGTGGACATAAAGTATGCCAACCATGCCTTAAATTCAAAATTCAAAATCACAGTTATGACTATCCTGTATGCAGCGAACCCTTGACCATGCCAGAAATTCAATTATTATTGGTAGACAGTTCTCAGTTTGACTCAATATGTATGCGATCATTAGAAAAGTACTTACAAAGCCTAATTGCAATGATATACTGAAAATTGTAAAGGACAAATCATTTTGATATTCATGCAATTTGGAATATTGCAGCAAATGTGACAAGGAATCACACTCGGAATCTTGTGCAGAGTTTGATGAAAACAAAAAGTGGATTGAAGAACATACAAAGCCATGTCCCAAGTGCTCCAAACCAGTAGAGAAATCTGCTGGTTGCAATCACATGACCTGTACCTGTGGTGCACATTTTTGTTGGATATGTTGCGCATGCTTTAAAACAGAGGATGATACTTATCGACATCTTGCTCGAGCGCATGGTGGTTTTTATGGTGATGTACCGATCCAACCTCGTCCTGAAGTGGTTCAGGGTCCTCCTCCTGTCATGAGACAACCTCCCCAGCCAATCATTCCTCCTCAAAGAATTCAACCTCCTCAAAGAATGGTGGCTCAACTAGTTCCTCCTGACATGAGACAGCCCTCTTGATAATGCAGCACGAAATCAACCACCCGATCAAGGCACTAACCAGGAAAGACAAGGCATTCTTCAAAATTGCTCAATTATGTAACAATATAAGAGCTTTATTTATTTCACATCAGGTATGCCATTTAGTTACACAACTTTTCTAACTTCAAGTGGTAGATTTGTGGATTCGACTCTAAATTCAAAATCTCCCAAAGACCCAGAGAAGTTAGACAACACAACTGTGAGAGGGAATAAGGCATCTGTCTTTTGTATGTGTGTCAATTCTTGGCTACTTAATTTACACATTGCAAAACATCTTCTGTAATTGCCGCTACTGGCAACCATAATCTCTTTTGCAGGTAAATGAATTGGTTGGCCTTGATTTGCAAATACCATAATATTAATATCTAAAGGATGAGCTGTGGAGCAGCTAAATCTGAGATTGGTCTTGTCAGCTCCTGTAATATTCACTGGGCTTGTTCGTGAAGTAGGAGACAAGTTAAGTGAGGACGAAGAGGGTGCTGAGATGACATACTGAGGATTGAGACGATAGGTAGAAATTTGATTACAACTTCCACCACAAGTTGTGGGTGTCCATTGATCTCTGTATGCCTTGTAGTATCTGTAGGTGCTTGGAATGGGTTCTAATGTACATGGAACTGTGGAATAACAGAAAAGTGAATATCTAATGGTTTGAATTTTCTCATGTTGAGACAACACAATTCGGAAAATAGCTTCTTGATCCTTGTTAACAAGTGATTCCGAATTTGAAAGACTTGATGATGGTCTTCTCTTTTTGTCATTTGTGACCTTTTTCACAGCATCTTCAGAATTCAAACAAATTCTGTAATGTGGATCATTACTATATCGTCCTTTGTGAATGAGTGTATTTTCATTATAGAAAACTCTGTCAATTCCTTGCTTGTATACAGTTTCACCGGATGCACTACTTCCTCGATGAACATGAAAAGTCAGATAATCTCGATCCCGTTCATCCAGTGACGTAAAGTGTTTTGTTAACATGATCCATACACTTCCTTTTCCTTGAAGTTTAAGACGAAATTGAGGATTACCATTCATTGTGTGATGATCTGTTCCATCGAGACTGATTGGACCTACTCGATGATCCCAGCAACTATGTCGAATTTCAGTATAAGGGAATAAATCAGGGCTCCATGAAAAGTGTAAGGTTTGAAAATACTTCAATAAACTCTCATAATTCATCCAAAATACGCCATTGTCATGCTGACCAGCAACAGTATTGTCATAATCGAGCTCCTTTTTAAGTTGTGTCGTCCAAGATGCATAATCATTGGGAGAGTAAGGACCTTTCCATCTTTTACGAGTCCAAGGATTCTTCACCTTGATAAGTTTCTTGACACCACCACTGTTTGGAGTTGTAGGGGACATTCCATTAAACACATTTTGAGACATGTTAAAGGTTGGACTTGTTCCATTATTGGAAGATGTTACTTTTACCTCTCTCACATCCAGAACAGCATAGGCATGATTGGCATAAAGACCAAGCTGTTCCTCTGTTTGTTTTTCAAGATGACCAGTAGAGATGGTAATTAGACATTTTCCAAGTTGAAAACCATCGTACATTCTTTTCCAAAGTAAATCCTTGTCAAAATTATTTCCGTTAGAAATTTTAACCTCTTCAGGTATCCATCCAGTCAATGCATAGAGATCAATTCCTGAATTAGATCCTGGAAATTGATATCCACCATTCACTTTCATGTATGCCTTTTCCATTAAACTCACCCAAAATTCTTCAGAATTTAATGATAGAGAACATAATAAATTTCCTTGTGAATCCACTGGTAATCGATCATCAATAATCACTTTTCGAGCGACTCCATTGAAAAATATTTTGATGGAATACTTTCCAGAAGGATTGTAATAGGGTTTGTTCGTTCTTGGATTTTGTGGAAAGATACTATTTGTAATTAATTTCTTATTGTACTTTCTTTCATACAGAGCGGCAACGCATAGACTTGCAACAAAGGAACAATCCGTAACGACATGAGACTGGACAATATTATCTTCATTCACTTGGTCCTTGTAAATTAATTGAGGAGAATTCTTACAAGATCGTAAGGAAAGAATTTCATGAGGCCTCAACCATCCATATAATTTGCTTCTCTGTTCTTTTGAAAGAGGTAAAACATGTTTGTTCGAACCATCATGAAAATTAAGTTGAGTATCTACAAAAGGAATGGGCAAGTTGAAATTTTCATTCAAATCTAATTCATCATTCCAAGGATATAAAAGTAATCCCGAGGCCATAACACTCGTGTACTTGAGAACCTCAATTTCTTCATCAGTGAGAGGTTTTATAGGTGTTGGTTTTGGTGTTGATCCATTAACGGTGGTGCTTACGATGGAACGCTCTGATATATTTGTTGAATTTACAGAAAGTGATGAATAATTAGTGGTAATAGTTGAATTTGTTGTTGAAGTTGTTGGTGTTGAGGTTGTACTATTGGGTGAAATTCTAGGAGATGGAGTCCACGAACTTGAAGAAGGTATTGAAGAATAGGTTTGTGCAGTTAAAACGGAAAGGTGGCAAGTGGGTTTGGCTTGATTGAAAATATCAGAAGAATTATTTCGTTTGGGAGAAATTAATTCTGATTTGTTGCTCTTCTTCAGTGATTCAGCTTTTGAGAGGGCTGTTTTAACTTCTGATTGAAACGGAATTTTGTCTGGAATGTTCATGAAAATTCGTTAATGATCGTTGTTTGAAATTTAAATTCCGAACCACTTGAATAATGTCACTTACAATTTCTGATTAATTCCAATCCATATTCAGCAGCTAGTGTATAATACTTTATAGCATCCTCAGTGTTTCCTTGTTGAACACCAACCTCTGCAATTTTATCGCACAAATAAAACAGATAATGCAAGGCAATGGGTTTAGAGAGAGCAGAATTATTGTTGTTGGAAGAATTCACTGTATTGTTTGGATTTGATTTCAATCGTTTTTCCAAAAGTTCCGCCTTGTTGATGGCAAAAGTTAAGAGTTGAGTAATTTGGAAATGAATCTCTTTTTGATGTTGAGTGCTGAGAGATGGATTATTTTGTACTATTCATCATCACGTTATTGTTGTTGTTGTTGTTGTTGTTGTATCCGATTTGAATATTATATTCGTGATTCATCATGGTGGTGGTGGTGAGGATTCGGCTTTCAACGAAAAATCATGACCACAAGCACATACCTTGACTCCTCAGGTTCATAAACTTAGAAGCAAATGCAATGTAGAGATCACATGCTTGTTTCAGATTTTCTTCATCCTCACACTTGGACGCATTGAGTACCAACAGCAAATCACTCTCCGACACGAAAATCTCCATTTCCAAATGATGAAGAAGAGAAAACTAAAATTCAGCAGTGGTTTCAATGTGCTATAGTAGTAAATAAATACGTGTGATTTGCTCTTTAGACCCAACCAATCCTCTCTCCGATGCTCCAGCAACAAGAACCGTTGTTGTTAACCACACTCTCTCCCTGAAAAAAATATAATTTTTTGTGTTGTTCCTTGTTCAGAAAAATGTGTTTAGTTCATGGATCGTCTTACAAAAAAAAGACACAACATGAACTCTCCACCTCCTCCTTCAGCCTCTTGCATCATCCGCGTGGATCGACCAAGTTCAACAACAACTCGGAGTGTGGTTGATCCGAAAGACCTCACCCAAGCCATGTCTAAACTAAAAAAACCATCCTCTCAACATATTGTTGAGTTTGAGGAACGATACCAACAAGCCTTGCGAATGCAACAAAATGAAGATGAATGCGCTGCTCATTTCAATAGAAGATTCTTTTTTGATGAGGAAGCTCACAAATGGACTCGATTTGAAATGATACATTACACCAAGATGATGAAAGAGATGAAGCCTTTTCCTAATCAATTAAAGATCCTCTCACTCAATGTTTGGTTTGCAAACATTTTACAACACAAACGATATGAAGCTCAATTAGACTTTTTCGAGCAGATAAATCCCGATGTAATTTGCCTTCAAGAAGTGATTCCTAATTATATTGAAAACAACATTACAATAAGAGACTTTACTCGAAATAATTATGTCATTTCTGACATGGATGGAACCACCGTAGATCCATACGGAGTGATGATTTTAGTGAAGAAAACACTTCCAATTCTTGACATTAGAATTACATCCTTGACCACTAGAATGGGAAGAAAGCTTATTCATGTCTCATTTACCAAAGAACCCATTCGTGATGAAACCTTAATGGAAAAATACATTGCAGATGCCTCCAGAGGATCAAGCATTACTCAATTAGAGACAATAATTCCAGCATATGCAGTCATAGGAACTGTTCATTTAGAATCTTTAGCTTCTAAGGCAGCAAGAAAAACACAATTAGAACAAATTCATCCCGTGTTTAGTCAATACGCTTCATCCTCTTTAAGAATGCTCACGGGAGATTTTAATTTTGACAGTGAATCGATCGAAAATCAAAACTTAACAAGTGGAATATTTAAGGACTACACCGATATTTGGCCTTCCTTGTATCCACAACAGGTTTTAGAAGGAAAAACATTTCCATATGGTCCCCACAGAAAAGGAGATCGGTTAGATCGAATGGTCATCAAGTCCACCTCGTACAAACCCCACAAAATGGAAGTTTTCGGAAAAGTGCCACTCCCTTTATCAAGCGAAGAACAAACAACACTAAGAGAAAAATTCAATATGGAGAAGGTGTGTTTGAGTGATCACTATGGTATTTATTGTGAACTTCACAGCTATTAAGGTTTGACAAACCAGCTGAAATAACACTATGAACGATCGACAATGAAACATACACAGTTTTCATTTTAATATTAAATATTAAACATAACAATACTGGAGTAAGCTATATGGCAAATAGTGTGTTTTGGAAGGATTTTACATCTTTAGAACTGAGTAATACCGAGGTTGGTGATGAAGGAGCAAAATATATTGCTAGTGTTTGGAAGAATTTGACTTCTCTAGATCTCTGGGCTGCAACTATTAAGGTGATGAAGGAGTGAAATATATTGCCACAAGTGAAAATATGAAGAATTTAACTTCTTTAAACCTTGAGAACAACAAAATTGACAATGAGGGCGTCAAACATATTACCACCAGCAAATATATGGAGAATTTGAAACATTTGAACATCAGTGGTAACAAGGAGGTCATGTTGTTTTACCACAAAATCCCTCATGTTCACTGTCCTGATAAGCACCTCCATGAAATACAAGATAGATTTTATTTTCACACCTATTATTGGTCCTCATCTTCATATTCGTCTTCCTCTTCCAAATACTTGACTGCTTCCTTCTTTGAAAGTTTTTGCAATTTAGAAATTATTTGTTTGGGAGAAATTCTCTCAGATGCATTCAGTTTCAACATGTTTGCAACGAGTTCAATAAATTCTTGAGAATATGAATTGGAGGGTTGTGCAATTTTCATATTAACCAAAAGAGAATAATTTATGCTCAGATTGTTGGTGAGTTCTATTCAGCAGTTCTAGAAATTGTCACCAACAAGCAAATCCACCATTCTCACTTCTCTTCGTTCACAACGTGGTGAAACACTCAAATATGATGCAGAAGAATTGAAAAAAGACAAACAATTTATTCTTGAAGCAGTGAAACAAAATGGTAATGCATTCGAACATGCTGCACATGTTTCTTTTACCGCCAAAACTAACCGTTACTCAAGCTCAGTTTCTTTATTTTTAACTGCCGCTCATCCTTGCGCAAAAAAAATGATAATAATAGACCTAACCAAAGATCGTGTTGGCAATTCAAGATACCGCCCAAAACAACATCCAAAAAGTGCAACCCAACGAACTAACAATAAGCAATGTACAAAGTTTGGGTAAAGATGTAGAAAAAACGCTCAAAGAAGACACACAAACAGAGATTGATCGGTGGCATTCTAACGATGTTGAAGACAATTCAACACTTGAATATTAGGACACGTGCGATTAAAACATGTTTTTCATAAGTATTTTTAAAATCAAACAAACCTTTTTGATTTTCTTCATTAATACAACACCTTGGAACTTCATCTCTCAAATTTTTGTATGCAAACACTACTATGTAGTAGTATTTAATACGAGAAGGTTTGAAAATCTTTCATTTGCTTAATAATATCGTATTGTTAACATCTTGTTGATCATGCAAAGTCTTTAAAGCCGACATAAAAAATTTTTTTTTGAAGGTGACCCATTGATATCGGTCATCAAAAACGTTCAGTTGTCGAATCTTAGAAACGTGTCTGTTTACGGCTATAAATGTTCGAATATCTCGATTGGATCATGGCCGTGTGAACATGGTTTCCTTTCTTTGTGGTTATTCATAAAATCACGAGATTCTGACAAGGGTTGGGACAGAGGTTGCCTGGACATATCATCAAGCTTTCTCATAATACGCGTCAACTGTTTTTGAATCAGATTAAAACGTTTTTCGTGCTCAACTAAAACTTCTTTAAATTCGTTCATAAAATTGGTATTATCATCTTGTATCTTTGTTGGAACGGAATGGGACTTGTATTTTTGCTAAGAAATTCAGCTGTTGATGTAAATTGGATTCTTGCTGGTTTTGGATAGGACTTTGAACCAATGACTTAAATATTAAGTTAATAATAATTCCCGAATGGCGAAATGAGCATGGCGGTCTGGGCACTACTTTGTTTTTGAGAAGCGACAGGGTGAATCAACTTTTTGAAATGAGGACCTTCAATTTAAACAAACGCCCTGGCACTTTACCTGGTTCTTTTCATAAATGATAAGATCGCCGGGCAGCACTTTAACCAAAAAAAATTAATGTTCAGCCCCTTTTTTGGGGCTTTATTGTGAAAGAACGGGGTTGAAGTGAAGACACTCAATTTACAAATATAAGGGCATTATTAGACCGCAATTTAAAAAAAATGCAAGAGTCACACAATCAGAAAGAATCTACTCCCGATCGACCAACAACCAATGAAGATGACGATCAGGACAACGATGATGACGAAGAGTTAGAACTTCTCACTGATGAATATTATGATCGGATGTACAAGGAAAATGTGTACAAGTATCTCAAAGAGCGTGAAGAATTTTTGAAAGCAAAAAAACAACAACCACCCACTGAAGATAATTACGAACCTTCCGAAAAGAAAACAAAAGAAAATTAAGCAACCTGTTTAATCATTAAGAGTGTTATGAACATTGTAGTGGAGTGAATTTGAATATTCATTCAAGAAAATAATTACTGCAAAAAACACTTCTTGTGTTCATTGGATCGAAGTGGTATTGCCATTGATTTCACTATCAACTCATCCAAACGATCAAAACCAATACCATCCTGAGCACTGGTTTCAATATAGGTCATACATCCCATCTTTTGTGCCATTAATTCACCTTGTTCAAATTGGATTGGTCTAATTCCTCTTCGAAATAACATTTCCTTCTTGAATTTCGTATTATTTCTTAAATCACATCGAGTTGCAACGAGAATCATTCTACCTTGTGGAGCGAAGTGGCGATACTCTGGAACCCATTTGTGTGCAACATTGATAAAAGATTGAGCATTGCAAAAGGTATCCAAACAAGTAAATGCAATGAAACAGAGGTTTGAAATTAAAAATGCTAATGGTCTAATCATCAAGGAGTGTTCGTTCGTTCGTTCGTGAAGATGTTGTTGTTCATAATGAAATTAAAACGAAAATTAAATCCTTCACAACAACATTACAAACCTTAAACGATCTATTCATATATAGATTGATCCACTATAATGCTGCTCATTATTTAGCACTTACCATACTCCTGGCCTGCAGTGTCATATAAATCCAAGTAATATTTTGAATTCCATTTCGATTGAATGTCCTTTTGATCAAAAACGGTTGGTATATATTCATTTGGAAACTTTCCCATTGCAAATCTTATGAACATGGATGTTTTTCCAATACATCCATCTCCAGAGATTGCAACATTAAAACGTTCTTGTTGGAAATCTTGCGGTGGTTCATAATTCAATATTTCATCTTTTGTATAGTAAGTGTTTTTGTATTTAGTTTTGGGAAGATTTGAGATTTCCTCTTTGAATTTCTTGTCAATTTGCGAAATTGTTTTTTCATAAATTTGTTTTAAATGTTGTTTAAAGTTTGATTGGACAGGCTTCTCGACGTCGAGAACATCGAATGTGTGTAATAGAGCAAGTTCCTGCTTGTAAAATTGTCTCCATAATTCATCGTGTTCCGAAATCTTTGAAAATGTTTTGTTTACTGTCTGAATGCGGAAGAGTTGATTTGTAGGAATGTAGGAAAGAATTTTGATCCAAATATCTTCGTTTAGGTCGACAAACGAAATGTCATCTTGATGTTGTGACATTTTTTTAGCATGAAGGATCTCATGATCAGTGAGACCATAGTCTTTCCAACTTCAAATGAGTCACATCAAGGAGAGTTGTAAAGTATGCAAGAGATATCAAGTGGAACAATTATAGTTGATTTAAAGGAGTTAAATTACATATTTGTTTGGACTTTCTTTTTCATTTCTCACATAGAGATCATTAGAATTTTCTTGCGACCAACCAAAAACACCACTAGCTTTGGTGGGCAATATCAACCCTTCAATGTTTGTGTCAATCGCAACATTCAACCCAAGAATTTCACGTGCTTGTTGGGGAGTTGCGATTGGTCTTTCAAATTCTTCACAAATTTCAGCTAAATGTTGAACCAGCTGTTTGTTACTCTTTGCAATCACTCTTCTCTTAATGAGAAACGAATCTTCAAAACCAGTTCTGGGATGTCCTCCATTCAGTAAGGTCATTCGTTGTAGTTGTGAATGATTCCATCCAATTCCAACTCCACACCAAGTGTAATTTTCTCTGCCAAATAATTCGTCACATTCAGAAACGAAGAATTTGATTAAAGATTCCCTTGGAGGAAGAGCCATATAACCACCAAAAACAAACATTAATCGAACAGGAGCTGTTATCCATCCTAATTTCATTAACATGTGTGTTCTATAAAGCATAGAGGCATCAAAAATTGCTACATCAGGTCTAATTCCATTTTCTTTCATAACCTTAAGTATTTCTTCCACATCTTCATTGGTATTCCAATAAATATCACTTCCTTTACGTGCAGGTAACTATTCAACAAGATCAAATTTGAAACTTTCAAATCTTCTCTGAATACTTACAAAATTTGTAGATCCAGGTGTCCAACTACCCATATCAGGTTTTTGTTCTAATTGAAAACATTTCACTCGTTCTTCAACATTTGGAGCATAATTGCCAGTGCTAAATTGTACAATCATCTCTGGACAATTCTTACGAACTCCTTCTAATACTCTTTCATAATATTCATACTTGTAGGTTGGCTTTCCTTCATCATCACGAACATGAACATGAATCATCCGAGCACCAGCCTCAAACACCTCGCAGGTGTCTTGAATAATTTCTTCTGGAGTGAGTGGTACACGCATATGTCTGTTTTTAGAAGGAACATCTCCGGTGAGAGCAGCGGTAATAAGAACAGGTTTTTCATGATGGTGCTGCTCCTGTTTTGATCGAGTTGTTACCGATTGAGAATAATGTCCATAAGATGAATGATCTCTCTCATTGATCCATGACCTATTATTGGAATACAAAAAGGCTTTATGCAATCTCTTCAAAGGCTTTTCATATTTCCATCCAAAAGAACTCGTGCAAGGATGAGAAGAGGAGATCAAAGAAATCCTATATGAAGTAGTAGTAGTGCGTCGACAAGTTTCACTACTAGCGCAACTACGGATGCACTTGAACATTTTTTTGTAAGAATAAAGTTCTGATTGTTCTCGAGAGAACTTGCGCCGCCTCATTCTCTCGAAATAAAGTCGATGAAAAAATTGCATTCATCAACTGCATGATTGAATTGGTGGTGTATTATTATTATCGTTAAATATTGATTGTAAAAATGATTGGAAGAAAATCAGTGTTGATAGAGCCAGCAACCCGATCCTCTTTCGGTGCAGTCCTATCATCCTATCATCTCTCATGTTTTCATTTTGGTCATTTGATGATTGGAAATAATCTTCGACTCATGTCCGAGAGGCAACGATTCATCATGAAGAACAATGTTTCCTCTCTACAAAGTTTCTCTCTTGGTTTGAAACATTTTTCAAACACCATCACTGGTCGCCGAGAGGTTGGCAGTGATTTTGAGATGCAAGATGTCAAGGCTAAACAGATCATTGAAAAGAAAATTAAATTTGGATTGAATAAACATTTGGGTGTGCGTGTGTCTCGAGTGAAATTAAGTAATATGGAAAATGATAGAGAAAATTCTTTTATTGAAATGACAATGCCAATCACTGAAATTCATATGAATGCAATGGGATTAGTACATGGAGGATCAATAATTACCATGTGTGATACTGCAATTGGAACTGGAGCATATTTTTATGCAAACAAGTTTTTAGATGGAGCTGGTATGGTTGTTCTCGACTCTTTCACACAATTTACAAGACATGCGAATATTAATGATGTGTTGCGTGTTGTTGCAAAACCACGTCACTTGGGAAGAAAAACTCAAACATGGGAAGCTACCATCTATCTTGGTGATCCAAAAGAAAACATCAAAGTAGCTCATACTGTTTCAACAGTATTAAATATTCCTAATGAAGATGGTGACTTATTAAGCGAAAAGTTGAAAAAGCTTGGTAAAAACTTTAATATCAACACAATGAGTAAGGAAGAGATTGCTGCAAGATTTGACAAGTACAGCGAACAATGGGAGTTTTTAACAAAGATTTCAGAATATCAAAAGAATGTAATTGCATGGGTTGCCAAACAAGCAAATACTCTAAAGCAGCAGATATCATGTAACAACACTTCTAACAAATTCAAAGTATTGGATTTGGCAACAGGTAGCGGCCTCGTCGGAAAAGCACTATACAACGTTTTGGGAGAGTCCTCCAATATTGAGTTGACAGGTTTGGACATTTCACAGGGAATGATAAGTAAGGCTGAGCAACTGGGTATTTACCGAAACTTGTTCGTTCATGATTTGGACAAGAAAATTTCTCAATTTCAAGACAACTCGTTCGATCTCATCACATGCTTTGGTGTGACAGAAATGCTTCACAATTTGGAAACAGTATTACTTCCAGAAATTAAGAGACTGTTGAAAAAGTCTAGTCGCTCTCAATGTTGGATCTCATTTCAATACAATGATGGTAAACAAGCTGCAGCTCACCAAGGTATGAAAACATTCAAAGAGGATGAAATTGTAGAATTATTGAAGAAGAATAATATGAAGGTGATTCAACTCGAAATATTGAAGAATGCATATTTGTTACCAGATCCATCTGGCTCAGTCAAACCTGTTCCTTTTTGCATGGTGACCTGTTGTCTTGACGAATAAAACATTACAAATTCAACACAATAGTTGCTTTTATAGTCCAAGTGACTCTCTAAGAGTGTCGAAAGAGAAAGGGTTATCGCTTCTTGGCTTTACATTTCCTTGTACTTTTTGGTACATCAGAGAGGTATGCTCTGATTCAATATTGGAAAGATGGGGTATTTGATTGTTGGATAATTCGGAAATTTCCGAAGCAGTTTGATTAACAATGCTTCCCAATCTAGAAAATTGAGTCTTCATATTAGATATATGTTCCATTAGATCATACATTTCAGTACACAATGATTGTAAAATTTGATCACTCTTGTCCAAGCAAGCTGCAATTTCATTACCATTTTCCAACCCAGATCTGGAGTGTTCAGGAGTAGATACATCAATATCATCAGATAGGGCAATGCAATTCAAAGATTGTCTCAACTCAGAATTCATTATTCCATAAACTTCAAAATAATGATCCAAACTAGGTAGAAGCTCGTCAATGGAATTTTGATTGAAACTGAAATTCAAAAGTTCATGCAATTTAGCACTTGATTGCTTCTTATAAAGACATTCTTTTCTGTCGTGAAGTGTTTTCTTTCGCTCTTGAATGAGACACCAAGCACTATAGAGCTGTTGTTCCATCTTTTCTTTTTGTTTTTCAAAGCTATCTATGACCTTAGCAACTATATAGTGAATTTGATAAAAAACAGTTTGAAACAAAATTAATTCCTCCTTATTCTTTCGAATTTGTTGAAATTGCTTTCCAGATGCAACAAGCTTTTCTGAAAATTTTCCAGATGAAGTAGTATTGAGCTTACTAACTTTTGAAGATTTTGTAGATTGAATGTTGGCTAAAATATTTGAAGAATTTAAAGTTGAATTCTCAATGCCAGATACTTCAAAGGCTTCGTCGGATTCAAGTTGTCCAGTATTGTCCAAAATACTGCTATTTAGATTTGTAGAGATGTTTAAAACATCTGCTGGAATATGCTGGGATGCCAAGGGTTGAATGTTGTACATGGATTCACGGGTGGGAATGTTCATTTTTGCTGGTGAAGGTAAAATGGTTGAGATCTTTACAGGTTGTGAAAAAGGAATGGAAGGAACTATAGAAGACTGATTTAACATGCTAGACGAGGTTAATGAAGAAATATTCGAATTATTCTCAGTATTGGATCGAAAAGAATTGTTCAATAGGTTTGAATTGTTACCATTATTTTGAAATAAGGATTTGGTGACTAGCAACGAATTTCCTGTTTTTGATGTTGTAGAAATAGAGGAAGTATTGTGTCTAGTTTGGAGGGATGAAGGATCTGTACTCGTACTGTTGGACGATTGATTCTTTGGATAATTACCATAATATTGTTGCCATTTAGCTGCTATTGAATCCACAGTTGGTTTTGAAGACTCTTTAGTAAATGAAGTATTTGTAGAGCCGGTTTCAATTGTTTCCAATACTGGTTTTCGTGTGTTTTGTAAAAGCAAAGAAACTCGCTCTGGAAGTGTTGTTGTGGAAGCAACCTTATTCAAATTAATGGACAAATTATTCGTCGAGTGTGATACACTAAATCGCGAATTAGAGACTTCATTTTGTAAAGACACGTTATTATTTGAAAATATTGAATTGGTGGTGATTGGCTTAAATTGGAAATCATTTGTCGGTCGTGTTAAGTGATTCATTTTCAGCCTCTTTCGTGAGGCCATAAAATTAGAAATATCAACAACACCTGAATTTGTTGTTGATAGATTTTCGTTTAAGGTTTGTTGAGAATTCTCCTCTTCCACTGAGTCCTTGTTGGACACATTCTTTGTAAGGGCTTCCTTTTCTTCCTGAGACAAGGGCTTCCAAGCTATGATAGGCTTTCTATGTGCGTAACAAGAAGTTCTTGAAGATTGAATCAGGCTCTCTGTATTAGGTGTAATAGATTCAATTCCAAGAGTCAAAGGTTGTTTTGGTAACCCTTGTGTTAGGGAGCTACTATTAAATTGATGAATATTATTGATGGAAGATAAATTTGAATGTTTAGATCGGGTGATATCAAACAATGGATGGTCATCGCCTCCGTTGAAAGGCAGCGATGATGATGATGCTTGAGCATTGATATGAAAAACGTCCAAATTCTTTTTATACGAAGAAGGAGATAGCTCTCGTTTTGTAGCAGCATTTTTCATCAAAGGATTGTTCTGGATTGAGTGAATAGAATGATGGTGTTTCTGTTGTGGGGATGATGAAACATCATTTCCGAAAGTATTGCCCTTTGATGATGAATTCAGAAAAGACATTTTTTTTTCAGTTAAAAAAATTAAAAAATTTGGCGGGCTTAATGCAAGATTGTTGGGTTCTGAAAGAATTAAAAAGCTCGAAACGACACAATGTCAATATCTGAAAAGTAAGAGTAAAAGATGGTTCGTTCCATCTTGTCAAAGAAAATCATATCTTCTTCATACACTTGAAACAGCTCGATGGATTTTTGTATCCACCATTCCTTTTCCAAAATTAGAAAATACTCGACCGTATCCAACACAACCAAAGGAGGTACCATTTGAAGCATTGGAACAGTCTCCACAAGATCCAATGCATCATCCTTCAATAACTTTCGCATTAAATACACCATTGGTTGGTCAATATTAAAATTAGCAAGTGCCGATACTTCAAAATATTTCATACCAAGAAGTCCTTGATCCATATTCACATGATACGATTTCACTTTTCTTTCTTTCAATAAATCCACCTTATTACCACACAAAACCATTGGAATATGTTCTCCACAATTTTTCATGATATCTTTAATCCAGTAACGAACATTTTTGAAAGAGTTTCGATGTGTGACATCAAACATAATGATGGCCGCATGTTTTCGAATATAAAATGTGTCTCTCAATCTTCCGAATTTTCTGAAAGAATCGAAAATTCGTAAATGAATTTCTCCTTTCGTTGTTTTAAAGAATAGAGTAAAAGTATTAAAGGTACTCCTCGGACAAACATTTTGAGGATCAATTAAAAAGCGATCCATAAATGATGACTTTCCAGTCGAATCATCTCTCACAAGCACAACATCAAAGGAAGCGATCGGTCGCATTGTTGTCGTTAAAGTCATTAATTTTTTCAATTGATTATTTTTAGTATCAATATTTGCAAATCCAGCTTGTGTGACATTTCCTCCATAACAAAGAATTACATTTCTGACTCAAAGTGTGATTCATAAATGAAGTAATTACAACAAGTTTATATCATCATGAGAATCTCCATTTCAATGATGTCATTCACCAATTCCAAATAGAGTGTCGTGTTTAAATGTTGGCAATGTTTCAAATTAAAAAATGAATACATTGAAATCTTTTTCAAGGTTGTTGATGAGTAAAAGCCAATACAATACATCATCCTCTGCTCATCATCATCTACACTGGTTGTTAGGATTGGAATGTAAAGGACAATACATGATGAAATTTCATAAAAGAACACTGGCAACGTATTCAAAGGAGAGTGTTGGACATCATCATCACGGAACCTCTTGCTCAAATGTACATCGTGAAGAAAGCTCCGAAGTTGAAGAAGAAGCACCCATTATTAAATTACAAAAACTTCAACAAGAACAGACAAGTCCAAAATCAAAACCAACTCCCATCGACAATATTGCCAATAAGGTGATTTATGATACGGTTGATGTTTCAAAAATTACTAAAGAAGAATTTGATGTGACCATGTCCAATCTACGAGAACAATTACGAAAAATTAATCCTGAACAATATTCTCTTGCACTTCTTCAAAAAGATGTGGATAGTGTAAACATTTGCACTATATTATACTGCTTGAATGCAGAATGGGCCACTATTAAGGATCACACAAAGTCACAAACAACAGGAAGTCTTCGACTTGCATGGTGGAAAGATCAGCTAAAGAATACTCTGGTTGGACATCCACCACGAGTGCCGGCATTGATAGCTCTTGCCTACATGCAATCACAGGCAAAGCCTGAAAACAAACTAAAATTTTCACAATTCAGAAACATTTTTAAGTGGAGAGAAATAGACCTCCGCTGGAAACAACCAGCGACATTGGCAGATATCGAAAATTATTCTGATGGAGTGTATGGATCTTTGATTATGGCACACTTACAGGCTGTAGGCAAAAGAGACATTCACACAGACCATGTCGCCTCACATATAGGACGATCATATGGAATCTGTACATTGCTAAGAGCTGTACCTCATTTGATTGAACAAGGTTCCACGTATCTACCTGCTCAGTTATGCGCTAAATTTGGTGTCACAGAAGATGATATCTACTCCAAACATGTATCACCAGCCCTTGAGGAAGTTGTTTTTAAAGTAGCTGACCTGGCCCACTCACATTTAGATTTGGCAAGAGAATTGGCAGCTCTCAAAGATGAAAAATCTCAAAAACTACTTGTTGATCCAAAATCATATCCATTATTTATGCATTCAATCATTTGTGAGGTATTTCTAGAACGTCTCCAAAAAGTGAATTTCAATATTTTTGATGATCGACTATCGGCTCAAAGTATGCGGTTTCCAATTCTGTTTAGACTTGGAAAGACCAAGTGGTTCGGAAAATATTAAATTTAAACAGTAAATTATCTTTTTGATTATTGTTGTTTTGCATTGTTGTCATCCTCCATGTCATGATCTTCTACGAGATATGAATATCGTTTTGGAAGTCTGTCTTGTTCCTTTAAATATTGTAGATAATGGTCTTTCCATATCCAAGGCATTTTGTCCATGTTCACATACACATTTCTCATTCTTGTTTTCAACCTCTCTTTCGATTCTTCATCAAATAAAAACTTGGCTTTGAAACACCATCGGAATGTTTCCCATTCTTCCAAGCATGGTCTTATTTGTCCCAATTCATAAAAATTGGATAAATTACTTCTCCTACACTCTTGATATTTATCAAAATGACTCAAACAATTCATCATGGTTTTATCCCGATATTCTCGTGATGGTGGGATCGCCTTGAGTCGACTATCAAAAACGTTCATTTTTTTGCAGAAGTCCAACTCAACTGGGTGTTCAGCTGAGAGATTCGCTTGGATATTAGAATAATGGTCTGATCAATTAATGGAATTAGTACAACGAAAGTCCTTCTCCCAACGAATGAAGTATCTTGTCGTTGGACATGCCTTATGAGAGAAAGGTGGTTCGGAAAACATCAAACACATAATCGCGCCGAAAAATAGTTCAAATTTACAACAACAAAAAAAAATCAATTAGAAAACTTGAATTTGTGGCTCTCGGAGCAACAACCGAAATACAGATCCCCTCAATTCCTGTACAAATATTCATCATCAATATACACTCAAATAATATGGGAGGATTCAGTTCAAAAAAAAAAGAATCTGTAAAGATTGTTTGTTGTGGTTTAGACAACAGCGGAAAATCAACAATAATTAATTATTTAAAACCAAAGAAGGAACGCGAATCGAATGTTGTTCCGACGATAGGATACAGTCAAGAATCTTTTGATTTTGACAAACTAAACTTTACAGTATTTGATATGAGCGGTCAAGGAAAATACCGAAATCTCTGGGAAAGTTTTTATGGCGAGGTGGATGGTGTGATATTTGTTATTGACAGTGCCGACAGAGTTAGAATTGCTGTGGCAGAAGATGAGATGAAAATTCTATTGAAGGAAATTAAGGATCGACCAATTCCAATTCTGTTTTTTGCAAACAAACAAGATTTGGCAAACTCCTTATCGGCTTCAGAGGTTTCTGAATCTCTCAAATTGCATGAAATTCAAAATAAGAGTTGGACAATTATTGCATCAAATGCTTTGGTAGGAGATGGTATTTCTGATGGAGTGAAATGGCTGAGTGAAGAAATACGAAAAAAGCTTTCTAAATAGACATATCCTTTATATGTACATAAAAAATCGAATTCAATAGTTGTTGTCGTGAAGATCTCTTCTTTGCAACAAACTGGCAAAATTCATTGGGCAGAGTGTATGAATAGTGACGATTCCACCAATTCAAGGCTAGAAAATATAAATTTCTATTGGTGATGATGAAAATGATTCAGCCAGGCTCAAGTTACTTTTATGAAAGTAAATTTATTGATAATTTTCTTTTTTCAGGAACTAGAGCTCTACCACATAATTACCGGGGAAGAGACCTCTCTTTCCGTTCTTTTCTCCTTCCCACCAGCCTGATGGATCCTTGTCGAGAAGAGTAATAATGTCACCTTCACGGAGAGTTAATTCATCATCGGCTGATGCTTGATAATTGTACAATGCCTTAACCTTTGGCTTCTCGTTGGCCTTTGGTGGAGGTTGAGGAGGTCTCTTCTTTGGTCCGCCAGTATTTTGTTCTTGTTGAGTCAAATAAGTAGATTCTTGAATTGGAGCTTGCTCAAGGAGTGACATACGGTGACCAACTCTTTGTTGTCCACTACTGGAAGGTTGTGAATAAGATGGTGCATTGCTCATCTTGATTTCAACCTTCTTTGGTTGAGTACCAGCTGGCAAACCTTCACAAATTCCAACCTTGAAACCAGAACCACCTCCTGAAACGTTTGCTAATTTGGCCTTTGGATCCAAGTAGAATTCAACCTTCTTGACTGTCTTCTTCTTCTTATTTTCAGTGTAAGAAAGAGTATTCTCAAATGTACGAGGAATGTCACGATTCATCTTGGCTCTGTATTGATCGTTCAAAATGGCCAAGAATTCAGTCTTATTTTCACATTCAAGGAACAAGTCATCAATCAGTGGATCATTCACTTGAATGACCAACCAATTGTCAGAAAGTTGACTCATACAAATGCATTGAATTTGATTCATTGCAATTCTGCACAACATCTCCATAATGAATTGCTTCTTGACCTTTTCTCTGTGAATGAAATAGAGAGCTTCATTGGTCAATAATCCCCAAATCTTATCAAAAGTGACACCCTTCAACAACTTCTTCTTGGGTCTCATAAAGATATCACCAAAGACAACGCCACCGTCATCTTTACGTCCTTGTTTCTTCATCACTTCTTGTAATTGAGCATTATCCAAATAATTCACATGATCTCCAAGGAATGTTCTATTAATGGACAATCTACGTCTTTGTTTTCTATTATCCAACAAATCAGCAGATGAATTTCTAAGTTTGATAAAGTAACGTTTCAACTTGTAATTACGCCACAATCTTTGCATTCGAGTGGCATTGTCATGGAAGAGGCGTTCCTTATTTTCTTCCAAACTAAACAAAGTATCAGGTTTTCTCAAAAAGATTTTAGTACGACCCATTTGATATTCTCCTGGTTCAATTCCAATATCCTTTAAAAGGATTTCACATCCTTCACGAGCATCTCCCCTCCAAACTGGCCATGTCTTCTTTGAAAGCACTGAGAAGGAATGTAAAAACTTTTGGAATGGAGCACGAAAGGCAAAACCAGCACGACGAACACGAATATTCTCCAACAAACCCAAATATTTGACTTGGTGAAGGACACGCTTAGTATCAAAGTCACGAGGTTGTTTGGTTTCATTGGGTTTGATACAACGAATGTAGTGAGGTTCACACTTCTTTAGAGAAGCAACCAATTCAATGGCACTTGTTTTGATCTTGATACCAGCACTGTCAGGTCTCTTCTTGTCGTTTTCATTCACATTCTCAGGGAAGAATTTTCTAATGAATGGATTGGTGGTGGATTGCATACATTGAATCAATGTCTTGTAAAGTACATCCTTATTCTTATCAGTGAAACCATCAATATTGTAATCGACATTACCAGCATAATGTTTAACAGAGAATTCATTGGTACGTCCAACAAAGTGAGGATTGTTCACAACTTCACGCAAACGAGTTAAAAACTTTTCATCAGCAGCTCGAGCTTCCATGGAGTGAGTGGTGTTACAAGTGTCATCGAGAATGGAGAAAATTCCAGGTGGGTTCTTTTCTTCAATCAAATCACACACAATCTTGTTGTTGAAAAATTGAATAGGTTCCCATTTGATACCTTCTTGTTGATATTCATCTTGTTCTGCTTTGAGAGTCAAATCAATAAAGATTTGTTGCAACTTCTCATTCACATAATTGATACAAAATTGTTCAAAACCATTCTTATCAAAAATTTCAAATCCATAAATATCCAAAACAGCCAAAATCAATTGATTCTTCTTGGTATCCATGGCATCATTGATACGTTTCACAAGCCAATCGAACATTCTCGAATACAATGCCTTAGCTAAAGCGTCTCGAATATTTGCAGCTTGAGCAGGAGATTGAGACACAGTAATCTCTTCAGATCCAGATTTGATAATTCTGTTCAATAGAGCAAATTGTAACTTGTCAGGAGCAACATTTAACAAGTAAGCAGCATAGTTTAAAGTATTTTCATCTGAAACGACTGAACCTCTTCCAGTTTCTTCAAAGGTAATGTTACCAAGCCACAAAATACCAGCAACTAATCTCATGAGATTGGTTTGTTCTTCTTTAGAAATACCAATGACATCCATGGCCTTTCTTGTCAATTGATATTCCTCAGCATCATCGACGCCATCGACAGTGTAACAACCAGATTGTGACAAGTAATAAAAGTCATGAGCATTGGTGGTTGCGAATTCTTCCTTTTCTTCTGGAGTGGCACCTGCACACAATTGATAGAAAATGTGGAAATTACGTTCACCTGCTTGTTGATACACCACACGGGATTTCTCAAGCAAGTAATTGGTAATTTTACCACCGATAGGATCACCTCTGTCATCGAATTGAATCTCAAAGAATTTACCGAAACGAGATGAGTTGTTGTTACGAACAGTCTTGGCGTTACCAAATGCTTCCAACAGAGGGTTACTTTCGAGAATGATTCTCTTGACACGATCCACTCCATGGCCATCACCAGAAACAGCTGCAATGTATTGCATGATCAATTTAGAGGCTTCAGTCTGTATATGTGGTGTATGGTGTGAGTGTATTCAGGACAGGTGTATATATATTCAGAGTGTATATATAATTATTCAGTGTGTGTGTCAGTGTGAATCATCATTTCATACAACAACAACAACTTACCTTACCAGCACCACTCTCTCCGGAGATAATCACACACTGAGAATCTCCGTTATTCTTCAAGTTTTTATAAGCTGTTTCAGCCAATGCATAGATATGAGGTGGTTCCTCATAGGGATACTTTCCATTGTACTGATCGATAAAATTCTGATCAAAGATTGGAATTTGTTTGAAAGGGTTCACAGAAATCAGCACATTTCCAATATATGTGTAAATGACATCAGTGGCATGACGTTTTTTGAGGTTTTCCATGATTTCATTTTCTGAAAGTTTTGGCAGGAGAACCATGTCATCGATACCAGCTTGTTTTTGTTTTCGTTGTTTTATGTTGAATGCCATTCTTGTTGTTGAGGTCTGTACATGAAAAGGGTTTCATAAAAGTGAGAGAGAGGTTATGTGAGGAGGAGAAAAGATATGTGCAAAAGAAGAAGCAGTAGTAGGAAGTTTTGTGAAATTACGTAGTTGTCGTGTGGTGGTTATTGAGATAAGTGTGAGGATGAGGCGGTGATATTGGTTATGGTTGTTGTTGTTCGTGTGAATATAAATATAACAACAAAAACAACCACGGCAATAAAATTACCAAAGATATCATTAATCACACATCATCATCATAACACGAATCATTGAATCACATAATTGAATCATTCATCATCAATACCACAAATCAAGCCGTCATCATCAATTAACACACGTGTTGGTGAACTCAAACAATATACTAGTGACAACTCACCTTTTTTCAAAAGAGAGATTTAAACGTGATGATGAGTTACAATCAACACACACAAAATCGGTCGACTCAGAACTATCGATATTGATTGGCACAAATACAATACTTTACACAACACAAATAATTCTTTGAGTTGTTGTTGTTGTTGTCTTTGTTGGAAAAAGCAGTGGATAATGTCGTCAACTAGAGATGAGCTTGTGTGAAGATGCTTGCGATATGGGGTTCTGTGTGGCACAAACTCAACTCGTCACACGTTTTTTTTTGATGGATGACGTCAAGTGCCTTGCGAAAGGTAAAAAGAATACGGAAAGGAAGAGAAGAGAATCATCAATCGTCGTTTTGATTCTTTCATTGAGTTTGAAAAAGGTGGGATATTAGAGAAGAATAAAAGAATGGACCACTCAAGTGATTAGCGAAAATAAAGAGGAGCAGAACATGAAGGACAATGTGTTGCTGAGAGAGTGATTGAGGCTCACACAAAACAAATACATTCCTTTTGTAAATAGTCGCATGTCAATCAGAAATTTGACGTTCAAGTCCATTGATTTGTGACATCGCTTTTTGACATGCGTTATCCAATTTTTGATCAAAGCAACAACTCACTTACTCTTTGCACATCCATTGAGAGTAACTGATCTCTCTTTTGCCTCTTCCACATGGTGATACAGTGCGTAGTGGATTTGGGAAAGAGTTGTACCAATGCAGAATGACATCAAAGAACACAGAGTCACAAAATTTTCACAAATCCACCCATCCATTTTCATTAAAAAAAATTTCTTGTCCATTCCAGGGAGATCTCATCCACGCGCTCTGTGTGCCGTCATTGTCATCATCATCGTCACCTCATCGCCACTAAAATTTTGAGAGAGATCTCTGTTTTCAAAATTCACACACCACCTTCTTCCTTTACACACTCACTCTCATCATACAACAAAAAATGTCGTCTGATCAAGCAGTCTATGATGATTCTCTCACTCCTGAACAAACCAGAACATTACGTTTCTTTTCTGCTTCAAAGAGAGGTCAAGTGTTGGAAATTCAAGAATTGTTGAACGAAGATTCCAAGTTTGATGTTTTACAATTGGACGAATTTGGAAATAATGCACTGGTAAGTGATTTGATGATGTTTGTATGTTTTGATGTGAGCCATCCAACAACATGTTGATGATGATGATGAATTTCTTGTTGTGGTACCCTTGTGATGATGACCCTTTCAAATGAATACTAACAACAATATTAATACAATGATACTATAATCCGAAATATAATTTCTGTGCATCCGTGATTGAATGGCATTTCACCCGCTTTGTCGTTGGATTCCTCTTGTGAAATCATTTTTCAATTCCGATCATATGATGGGAATTTTTTTGAATCTTTGTGTCTCATTGTGCATTTTCACCCAACATTTACTGCATCTCATGATTATTACGTTCATAACCATAACACATCCATTTAGCATTGGGCTGCTGGTGCTGGTCACCTTGAATGCGTCAAGTATTTGGTAGAAACTCTTAAATTGCCACTCGATAATACAAACAAATTTGGAGATACTCCACTTCACAAAGCTACATGGAGGTATGTTCAAGATCTTGGCTTATTGTGTCATTGATCATTCATTATTAATACTTTCATAGAGGTGCTTTGGATGTTGTGAAATATCTTGTTGAAAAGGATGCTAAATTGGATATTGCAAACTCACAAAATAAGAGACCTGTAGACTTGGCCCATCACTTGGAAGTTAAGTCATATTTACAAAGTTATGAAGGAGATGATGAAGATTATGACGAAGAGGAAGATGAGGAAGAGGACTAAACGTCTTATTAAATTCAATGTAAAATAAAAGACAATCAAGTATTGTAGAAAAACTTAATCCATGTTCGTTTGTCAACATGTTGGAAGTGATTTCAAACCTTTTTTCAATGGCTTTCAATGGAACAGTGCCATTCGTCTTGTAAAGGCTTGACTTGGAAACCATGGTTGCCGTCAGCAGGAGAAGAACGCTCTGAAGTTTTGTTTGAAATTTTTTTTAAGGCTTTTTTTGTTGAACGATAAGTTGTTTTCGTGGTTGTCATTGAAATTAGCACGCTGTGGTAGAATTGGTCCATAGAGATCAGTACCACCACATCTCGTTCAATTCACCTACATTCATCAATTCTGGAAGTGTACATGAAAACCCAATATTATTGGTCAGACGACAGTTACCCTCCTTTTGATCCCCAAACAGAGTTCACCACCACCACTGACTTCCCAACGCATGCCTATTCACGCCTATTTGCTTCTTCCTCTTCTTCTCTTTGCATAGAGAATCACGCCAAAAACAAAATAGAACAACCATGTCTTCGCTCGAGTCATCCTCTGAAGGATCCATACTTTCTCTCTTCAATGGCCATTTCGGAAAGGGATGGTTGATCTTTGGATTCATTGGTTCTTTCCTCTTGTGGTATCTTCATGCTTTGATGCGATTCCTTTTGAATCGAATGTTGTTTTTTCAATTAACTCTGAATGATTCGGATGAAGAATTTCGATGGTTTACTGGATGGTTTGCCTTTCATCCCTACACGTTATATGGATCTAAACGAATTAAACCTAAAAAGAATCATTACAATGTTGGAAGAAATTCATTCTTTGAGAGAGGAATTTCAGACACAATGACAGACACCACGACGAGTAATAATCATCACTCCACAGGTGATGAATCTTCCAAGATGAGTCGTGTGAAGTTTGTACCTGGTTTGGGAATTCATCTATTCTATGTCAAATCTAAATTGTTTATATTGAAATTGGGGGGTTCTCAAAGCTCATCATCCACTTCAACACCCACAGGAGAGGAACGAGAGAATGTGACCATCTACAGACCTTGCTACTCATGGATTTCAATGTTGGTTCAATTCTTTTATCCCTGTGTGGATAATTATAATAATGCGACATCTGTGAGGGATATGTTAGAAAATGCAGGTTTTCCCAAATCTTTAATTCCTCCTTCTTCATCGGTCCAGGTTTCCTCATCATCAACTTCATCGACTTTGAAGAAGAATGACAATAAGCATTGTGAGCCTACCAATACTGCATATTTTACATTTCGTGAGCTTTTGGATGAGTGTTATTATGTCCATGATTTGTTGTCACGTGAAAAGACAACTATTTATTCATCGTCGATTCATTCATGGAAAGTTTCAAGTGTGATGGAGAAGAGAGAAAAAAAGACAGTCGTATTGGATGAAGGAGTTTGGGAAGAGTTGTATAATGATGTTTTAAATTTTCTAAATTCTAAAAGGTGGTACAAGGACAGAGGAATTCCTTATCGTCGAGGATATTTATTGTATGGACCTCCTGGAAATGGAAAGGTGAGTATCGTCCATGTAAATAAGGTAGTTTTAAGGTTAAAATTTACACACAATTGTGAAATGGATGATTGACATTTTGACATACGAATTCGATAAGACATCAACCATCACATCGATTGCAGCTTGCTTTAATCTCAATATTTGTGTCATTAATATGGGATCACAGAACATGACGGACGATCGATTACAATACATGTTTTCGACTGTTCCAAAGAATTGCATGATTGTTTTAGAGGTATGGTTATTTATAGTATTGGTATAATCTATATTTAAAAATTATATTCATAATATTTGATATTCTTCAATATCATTAGGATATTGATTCGAGTTTTTCAAAAGATGATCTCAACGAACCTTCAGAACCTACAAATGAAATTGAGTTAAGAGGAATGAGAAGTGTGATAAAAACCACTGGAAAGGCAACCTTCTCATGTCTGTTAAACTGTTTGGATGGAATTAGTTCCCAAGAATCAAGAATTGTATTCATGACCACTAATTTCAAAGATAAGCTTCCTCCTGCTCTTCTTAGAAATGGACGAGTGGATCGTAAAATCTATCTTGGAAATACCACCAAGAGTCAATTGAAACGAATGGCTCAAAATTTTTATGAAGACTACAGCGAGGAGTTGTGTGAAAAATTATGGGATCAAGTGGGCACGTTTTCGTTTTGCATGGCTCAGTTGCAGGGTTTCTTTTGAGAAATCCATCTTCATTTCAAGTTGCTGTGGAGGCCAGTAAGAATTTTGAAACTTTTTTGAAAGAAGAAGGAACTTTGAATCCATAACAGTATGTTGTGGCGATTTCAACCCATGTTTATATTAAGGCCTTTCTCTTACATTAAGGAACATGAAGGAGACAAATTTTCCGTTTGAAAATCATTGTACACTTTGATATCCTTCTTAATAATAATATTACAAATAACTTCATATAATCCAATGGAATTAAAAATACTGAGGTTGTCACAAGATCCATTATGTGAATCATGTAAATTAATGGATTATTGGAGGGGGCCCAGTCATTTCTTTACAACGACAATTCTGCACTGATCTACCAAAAACACGAATCAATGATGTGAGGTCATATTTAAGCAATTGCTTTATATATCCATGAAAATTATAATAACATGATGAATTAAATATATGAAATTAAAATAATAAAAATATATGGTTAGCTCAATTAAATCCTTGCCTGAGATTATGATGACACATTTGTGAACAATTCGGTCGAGAAATTGCAGCATTTCATCCTAATTGCTGTAACAATATCATCATTCCATTATCTTTTCACAAGAACTTTCCAAAAATTAACTTCTAAATAGTTTTTAATTTCTTTACGTTTTGAAATAGATGATGAAATCAACTTTCGAAACTATTAATAATTTCCATCTTCGTTTTTATACATGCATGTTCTTTGTTAAATTTCTCTGGTTGTATTATGATACCTCAACAAAAGAAAATGGGTTCAAGATGAAAGCAAACGTGGAAACTAGAAAAGTTGTTTCAGCAAATAGTGAAAGTATTTTAAGATAAATATGCCTCAAACCAGCAGCTTCAAGAAGGAGGACTTCTTTGCAGAATGGTGAGCTTAATGATCTTGATTTTTACATGCTAAACTTAAAGTAAGCAGCTCCATATTTGTGATAAAGCTCTCTCTTGTACGGATCTCCTAGTATTGAAAATGCATAATTAATTTGTTTAAATCTTTCAAGAATTTCTTCCTTTGTCCATTCCTCTTCTTCCTTTTTGGGAGCATCCAATTGCTCAGGTTTAATATTGTTTTCAATATCTTTTTCAACCTCTCCAGAGGTTTCACTTCCAGATATCAATCCATGTTGCTTGGATGCAAATAGATCTGGGTGATAAATCATTGCCATCTTTTTGTATTGAACTCTAATTTCTTCTTGTGTGTAAAGACCAAACTTTTTTGGATCTAACTCTAATAGAGAATACAAGTCACATCCTTTACTAATCTCGATACCAAGAGCAGTGTTTCCATCGGATGGATTTGCACACCACTTCCATGCATTTGCATATATTCTTTGAAGTGGCTGAAAAAAGAAAATTCATATAAATAAATGACGTTCAAAATAATTAACTCATCATTAACCTTTCTTTTAAATCAAGTACATACCTTGTTGGCAATGTATTTGTTATGGATCATGACTGCAAACTTTCGATGATGTTCCTTATGAAGCATTGGTTTGTAATATTGCTCAGTGGTGGCACTTGCGGATGTAATGGTTGAGAACATTAAACCATATAATAGGAAATTTGAAAAGTTGGTAATCGGCAGTAAAAGGTACATCAAGTGCCACCCAATATAGGTTCCCACAAAGTATGACGAGAATAATTTAGCAAAGCTGTAAGGTACATATCCAGTGACATAGCTCGATGTAATACCATCAGTAAAGGAGTGGAAGGTATATTCACCATGTTCATACTTTTGCACCTTTTGTTTGAGATGGAATGGGCTTAACCATTTCAAATAATGTGGAAAATTAAGGACATCTTGCTTGACATAGAATGGGAAGTAAATTAAATCTTTTTTGTGCAATTTAAAATCTGTTTTCTCCAGATCGAAGCCACCAATCACTAATGATGGTGAATCGAAAAGAATGGCCTCTTCGGATGTTGAAATATTTCTCTCGATAATTTGATATAGCTGCTTTTGCATAGAATCTGGAATATAGCTATCTAATGCAAGAGACCAACTTGTCTCCCAATCGATGGTATAATAATCAACTTCGTAATCTCGTTTGAACGCGGATTTGGAGAAGAACAATTTAACCGAGTCCCACATATTTTCATACCATTTGAGTTTGTAATTAACTTTTGAAATTACTGAAGGATCTGTCAAATACTTTCTATCAATTCTTTCAATAATTCTTTTGATGTATCTTCGTTCAAATTGAGTGGATGCATAAACATATGTAATGTCATCGATCACGGGTTGTGATGAAGAGTCATCACTTGACAAATTATTTGATGATGTTTGATTATATTCAGCAAGTTTGATGTGATCAATAATACAAGTGATTGTAATTTCAGTGGATGACATGTTTTCCACTGTGAAATTGTGTTTTTGAATTTGAAATTTGTTGCTCAAAACATTTTTCAATACATTAACCAATTCTTGAAGTGTGTTTTCATCATCCAATTTCAATTCTTTTAAAATTTTCTTTTGAGCTCGTTGTTTTTCTTTTAAATCTCTAGTACAGGGATAAAGATGTCTCTATTACGTAACAACAAGCACCCACCTTTGCGAAAAGTCTTCTGGATTTTGTGTCAATACAAGAGGATCTTTTTCTAGTGGCACATCCACCAACTCGCCAAATATTTGTGTCAGCAACTCTCGTTGTTTTCTGGGATCAATCGTAGCTCGAAGTTTTACTTTGTATGCAATTGCATCTCCGTATTGAAAGATCCATAGTGGAACATACACTTGTTTAGGATCTTCTTTGGGTCTATACCACGATGAAGGTCCATAATATTTGTTCTTTTGAAGAGCATAGTTACGAAATGCCCGTTTAGCATCTTCGGGAGATGAAATAAATTCAGAGGCTACACGGAGCTTAATTTCTTTCGTGAGATCGTCTTCATACGATTGTTTTCTCCTTCGGAATGAAAAGGATAAATTACAATGTTGGAAATATTGATTCGTAGAACTAAAATTGAATTTAAATGAAGAAGAATTATTGTGGAGCAGTGGTGAAAAAGATGATGCCGTTCTTGATGATGATTCAAATACATGTTTGATGAGAACCGAACCGGTGTAATTTTTACACAACATTTTTTTTAATTAATTGAATCTAAAGGTTATTATTCTTCTTGTTTGTTTCGTTCAATTTTGGCAATGAGCTGATTGCAAATGTCTAACAGCTCCTTGTTTTCTTTTTCTTTGGCTTTTAACCTGGACTCAAGCTGTTGTCGCCGCTCTTCTTCTTTCTTTAACTTTTCCTCAAGTTCGATCGATGAAGAGGATGGGTTTAAAGGTTTGGAAGACGAAATCAGTGTTTTTAAGGCCTCAATCTCATTCGTTTTGTCATAAATTTTGGCCTTTAGCTTTTGGTTTTCTTCGTAAAAAACATGCAGTGATTGTTGTAACTCTTCATTTCGTGAGACAAGTCCTTGATTCTCTTCCTTTTGTTTTCTCAGCTCGGTCTCTGTGGTTAAGGCTCGCCTTTGGCATTCTCCAATATCTGAAACTAGCTGCTCGTTTGCCATTTCCAAGTTTTTAATTTTATCCTCCAATGCTTTAATTTGAGTTTTTGGAACCTGTGAAAGCTTTTTAACCTTTTCGTTCAAATTTTCAATTATGGCATCTTTCTCATCTTTCTCTTTTTTCACTTTTGACACCTCTTGTTCCAATGTCTAATGAATGTGATCGTGGTCCAATGATAATACTGTTTCAAAAATCTACTTACAGAAATAGTATGTTCATAGTGAGATTTTACAGCTGCCAATTCTTTCAACTTAATATTGGCATTGTTGAGCTGCTGTTCAGCATGTTCTTTAAGTTTCACATATTTAGCCTCATAGATTTTGCATTCTCTTACACTGGATTGCAGTTTTTCTTTCATAATGGCTTCATTTTGCTTATATTTCTCGTTAATATTTTTCATTTCATCATATCGTAATTTAAGCTCTTTAAACGATGATTCAATCTTTGAGTAATCGATTAATAGCTGGGTATATTGAACTTTGATACTTTCTTTCTCTTTTTCATCCCCATTTTTCAAGGATAAGTTCTTAAATTCCTTTTCATAGTTTTGAACAAACGATTCGAGCTCTCTTCTCTTTCGAATTTCATTGTTTAACCTCACTTCCATATCGTCGTAATCGGCGCTTAATATTGACATCTCCGTTAGAACTTTTTGAATACATTCATTCTTAATCTTCTCCACATCTTCTATTGTGAAAATAATTTTTTCTTTTGGTGAGGTTGAACCATCCTTTTTCTCTACATTATCCAGGTTTACTCTTGCTGCATCTAAGTAAAGAGGAGTAATATGGCGCATATAAGGTTCAATAGGGGAGAGTGACGAATCCACTCTGGGACTCGGTTGTTGTGTGAATGATGTATCAATTTCCTCTAAACTAGACCTCAATGATCGAGCTACATCTTCATTTACAATAATTGCTGTTTCAGTTTTTTCTGTGTTAAAAAGATTCTCTACATTGTCAACAGCAATTAGTACGTCCTTATTTTCGTCTCTCTTTAACTTCTTCAGAGATTTTAATATAGTTTCCTTATCAAAAATGTTTTCTCTCTCTTTGTGCAAGGATGTAATAATGTTCAAGGCGGTTAGCTTGGTGTTGGCGTTTCCTTGATAAACTACATCCTCCAAAAATTCCTCAAATAATTTGAAAGACTTTTCGTGAATTGCACCTGGGATATTTACAATGTCTTCTAGACATATTCGGCACGAAGTGGCAATGGATTCTATGATTGAGAAAGAACTTTTCATGAGAGGTCTAAGAACTTGGTCATTATGTGTTTGAAAATCTTCTTTCAGAAGCTTGGCAACCGAAAGAAGTACGTCACTTGACGCCTTAACAATCGATGATCGAAGATCTGATAGCTGTTAAAAATTAATATTTGAAATAAGAGATTTTTTACATCCGCCAACTTACCATTTGTGAGAGCGGCTCGACAATAGACGAGGATATTGAAATTGCTTTTTTCTTTGACAACTTTCCCGATGTAAGCACATCATCTATTTCTTGTAAACAATCAAGTTTTGTTGACCAATGAGTTTCCGAAGAAAGAAGATTATTAATACAGGTTTTCTCATGTTCCGATATTTCATCAGGATCAATCTCTTGAACTCTGCTTGAATTAATTTCATCAAAATCATGTTCACTTCCAATCAATGGGCTTTCCTGTATAGCATGCTTGATTTTCTAATTTTTCTTAAAGCATAAGTACTTACTTCCGAATCTTGTTCAAGAGTGGGAGTTGACCCGTCGTTGGATGTACTCTTCGTTACATGTTCCGTCATTGTGTTTTCAAGGGAATTTGCAAGTTACGATTTTTCTGGATGCCAGTGTTTTGGCGCGTTTTTTGAAATGGTGAATTTTTCGTATTTCTTTTGAGGGTTGTTGTTGTTGTTGTATGCAAGGAAGGTCGTCCAGAGAGAACTCAAATAAGAGGAATCTATTGAATCACTGTTCTTCTCAATCATGATGATTGCATATTGATAATTGGTTGATTCGTTTCATATTGTGGCTTCAATACAACAACAAGACTTGTTCATTAAAATGTCATTACTTTTAATTGCAAGAAATTGGATTGTTTCGAATCGCAATGTCCTTTTAACCATTGAAAAAACTTTCACTTTAAGGGAAACCTGTTCACGCTTGCTCAACGAAGCTTCTTTTTCATGTTCCTTCTTTCATTTTGTTAATTATTGTTCAATAAGGAAGTTGTCTGGATGTACTACAAGTCCATTCTTATTACTTTCAGCCTTTCATGAACAAGTTTTTCAACTTTGTTACTTTATTCAACAACCTTTACTATTCCGTTTCTGATCAAACATGAATCCAATGCTTTGGTGGCTTGTTCATTCGCCAAATTTCTAACAGCCTTCAGCTGTCACTTCAAAAAAAACTCTTGTGGTGCCAAATAAGCACTGAGCCATTAGCTGAAACAAACCTTCGAACGAGCTCTCACGGCCTTTTCATTCCGACTCTTTCAAAGGCTTTTTTGTTCTCGTCGTTGTGTGTGGTGTCGAAACAAATTTCAAAGATTAAAATTGATCAACAACAACCACCACACGTAATTAACAACTTTCTTGATTGGAATCATGTTCTTCGTCTTTTGACACTTCCACTCATTCAATAATCATCATCAAATATACATTCCTATCCTTCAACTTCAACAACACTCCAAAGAATCGCGTTTAAAATTTATTTAAAATTATATTAAACATTCACATCATCATAATATATTATTCAAGTATATCTAATATGGGACAAGTCGTAACTACAACAAGTGGTGGTGAAGATGAAGAAAGCAAACCACAATCATCATCAAGGCTCGCATCACCAACTACTCTTCATCAATTTTCCGTTCACAAAGCGGCCTCTTCCTCTTATCACTCTAAAAGTCCCAATGATAATAATAGTACATGTAATATTAGTCATAACACAAATATTCCTTCTTCAAGAAGACGATCATCACTTCCAACATCAAATTCTCAGTTAATTACCTCTCATCAAGTATTCCAACCGTTGTCACCACAAAATGGGAAACAGATGAAGGCATCGATGTCACATCACGTGTTACCAGTGACAGCTTCTCATTCGGCAACAGCAACAGAAGAACACCATGGTGAATCTTGGAATGAAAATATTGGAAAAAATTTATGGAATCAACAACAATCACTCGAATCTTTGAATGATCATTCACATACTTCTTGTTCTCCAAATCAACGTGAGTATGAGAATAATGGTAACAACAACTCTTCAAAACGAAGTGAATCATTGCCTATCCAAGGTGTCTCTAATTCCTCTTCAAATTTTCTACGATCCATGTCACATCCTCAAAACGTAAATCCCAACACTTCGAAAAAGAAAGTGGGCTTAAAATCTGTCATTGATATGAAAAAGAATGGATATCTTACGACCAAAAGTGGTGATGAACCATCTGTGAATGTGTCAGATTCAGAGCTTTCTGACGAGTTCAGTTCAACAAATCTCTCTCCTCAAGTTCATTCAAATCCATATCGATTGAGTGTAGTCTCTTCGAATAGTAGTTTGAGTGGCGGCTCCTCCTCCAATAACCAAACATCCTCCTCTTCTCCAATGCATAACCATCACACCAATAGCAGTAGTTCACTTATACACGCTTTATTTCCATCACTTCCTATTGATAGGTCTAAAATGAGTGATGAAGAGTTTAACATGTATAAAGAAGTTGTCAGTAGGCCAGTATTTGAAAAGATTTTGAAGAGCAAACCTCTGATAGCAAAGTGTGGCTACAATGAAGAATACATGAAAGAATTTGCATTTGAATTATCAGATGAGGAGGAATTAAAAAGGACCTATCTTACAACCGATTGGGTCGAGACAGCAAAATTACTGAAACGAACCAGAAGTGTCGAAGATGGATCAATACCACTCTCCGTGTTACAACAACATGCTTCGATGAATGAAGAATCTAATCAATCCAATGCTCCTCCTACTTCTGTCACACCATCAGATCCAACATCTCCTTCCTCTGCTGCAGAAAATAATGATGCCTCATCGAAAGAAGTAATTATGCTTCCTACCAAAAGTTTATTGGATCAACCACATTTATCAAAAAGAGATTCTATTGCATCGTTGGAGGAAGCTCTTGAAAAAATGGTTTCGGATAAGGAAGCTAATACAGATCTCTTAAAACAAGAGCTTAAAATTAAGCTAATTATTACTGAAATTGCAAGTAATTCGTCACAAAAAACTCTACGTCAATTTTTATCTCCTGTTCTTCACAAGATGAATGTATTACCTGAGATTGGATGGTTTCACTCTGCCATTCTTGTTGGAAAATGGAGATTAGATTTTAATGATAGCAGTGTGGTGATTCCAAGAAAATTGGTCAGTCAAGCTGCTGTCATAACGACAGATATTGAATCCATAACAACCATGCAAGATTTGAACAGAGTCATTGATGGAATGGCAAAATGTATTTGTAAATGGAATAGAAATATTACGTACAAACAAACTGGAGGCGACAGAGTGACAACAGGAAATTGCCAAGATTTTGTTGAAGATTTACTTGAACATATAGGAGTGAAAATGAATCTTTCTGGAAGCATGAAAAAGTTTGTAAAGCGATTACGTAGAACAGGAAAGTGTTCTCTCGTTTTTGAGATGGATAAAAAGTTTAGAGAATATTTCAAAATGGAAACGAAACGAGTGAAATTTAAATCGCACGAACAGCTCGACTTATTTGTAAGGAAATTACTCGAGACGTGCCCAACCTTTTCACAAACATTTCCAGATGAATGGATTTTGCTTCAAAGTTTTGATCGAACATATTGGCTCAAACACATGACATACAGTCACATTGATGAATACAAACCCTGTAAAGTCATAAGAGACAACAGAGGTGTTCAAGACTGTCCATTCCATGAACCAGAATTCATTCAAATTCTCAAAGACTAGGTATTTTTGAAGAGCATTTTGCCCTTAGCTCCATATTCTAAGCAATAATTTATTTTTCTCTCCTTTCTCTCTAATTTTGTAGAATTGAATTCAATAATATTGAATCCTCATGTATATAGAAATTTCCAATTCAAATTGAATTGTATTATTGAACTGTATTCACAGTTAACAAATGCTGTTTCTCTTCATGTTGGATTGGACTTGAAGAATTGTCTGTTCCCACAACAGTCATTGCACGCTTTCGACTGGTACTTCTTGCTGGATAATTCTCAACAATGGATGAATCATCTTCACTTTGGATGGAGGATATGGAAGACTTGCTCTTCTTTTTACAACACAAAATTTTCCTGAATGGAATAATATTTTGTAAAATAATGAACATGAGAAGTGAAGGAATAATCATGATGGAAAAGGCCAATGAAATCACAAGAGCCATCACCCATCCGTTCAAAAATGTTTCTAACAAGTATGCTTTTGCAAGTTGAGTTATTTGATCTCTCTCAGATTCTTGAGATAATTGTGTCAATGTTGCATTGATAAAATCAGAGACAATTCCCTGAATATCAAAATTCGTTTGGAATGCATTTTTCACTTGATTCACAACCTCTTGATCAGTTAAATCAGTCACCACTTTTTTAACAATTTTTGGTGGATATTTAGATTCATATAATCCATTGTACAATATTTCACCGAATGGAAGAGTGTTAATCAGTTTAGTCAAATTATTTGAACATGCTTCAAGAGTCAGTGAACTCACAATGAGACCTGTTAATTGATCAATTTCTCTTCTGTCGTGCATGACTTGCAAAATAGCTTGAACAATCTCATCCTTCATGATTGAAGCAACATCCTGTTTAAATTCTCTCAATAACTTTCTCATTTCTTTCAACAATTTATCAATGATGGAATTTTCTGTGAGTGCAATGGAAGGAGTTAACAAATTTGGAAAAGAAGTGGTTTGGGTCTCCTCAGCTGAAACAAATAATACAAGTGGACTCCTCTCATGATGATGTGCATTCGTTAATAATGTTGTTACGAGATTTGTTACGAAGAAGAGATTGAAAATCAAAAATAACAAAATCGACGATGAAACAATCCATGAAGAAGTACTTCTTCTTCTATGATTGAAGGATGTGACGGCGTTGAGCATTTGTTTTGTAGTGACACACTAACAACAGACTCTCTTGTTTTTGAAAAAGAGATCAATCCATACATTGTAGAGAAATATTAAATGTCTTGAATTGTCGAAATTTTGAAATGAAGTAACTTGCCTTTTATGGTCATGTCCTCAAAAACGAAAAATTCATCAACAAATTGGCTTTTCTTTGAAAAGGTCCTTCGTTCATTGTATCAATATTGATATTATCAGAAGTAAACAAATAACATTTTGCTTCATTTCCACGACCATATTAGACACTCACAAAATTTTATTCTCAAGACCTTGTTCTGTAAATAGTAGGCTCCTTCATCCAGCCTCATCGCCTCCTTCAAAACTTACGGTCTGATCATGGCGCCAAATTGGATCGTTAACGAAACTTTCAAAACAAATCATCCTTAAAAAAAATGAATTCAAACATCATTCAGAAGGACATTGTGGAGGTGATTGCAAATTTACAAAATCACTGGAACATACTGGAGGAGGAATTGATAGAAATCAATAAGGACATTCAATACATGACTCATTGCTTAAAAAAGTACGGAGAGAGTTTCCGAATCCCTCTTGAACATTTGCAAGACTTGAAAGTTTACAAGAAAAACGCAATGAGGGACATCATCGCAACAATGGAAAGCTTTTCAACGAATCTAAATGGAGGACGAGTTCTTTCCAATACCCTTTCTCAACATATTTCAACGTCGGATTTTGTCAACAGTTCGGGCCGAAGTTGGAGCACGTCATCCTCACTAGTCAATCCGCAAGCCCACTATGCAGGTATGGTGAGTAGAGGTGAAGTGGTCACTTTGACAGCCAAGAGGAAAGGCAACACACCTATCCATTACAAGCTCATTACCAAAAAACCACAAGGGACAACACTGTAAATAAAAATTAATTTAATCTGACAACTGCTCCACAATGTGTGTTCTGAGCCATTCGTTTTGAGATCGTACGGATAACTTGAGAAGTATAGTTCCATTCTTCTCGCCCAGTTGTGCAGCTACAAGCACCAATTCACCAATTATCGATTTTCCAGCAAAATACAGACCATGTACTTGCTTTGTGACCTTTCTATCACCAATTGGTCTGAGGTTGATCGCAGAAATGAACTTGTCAACAGCTGCCTGCAAGTCATCAGATGCCGAATATTCCACAGGTGGTTGAGCAATTTCTGATTCTTCACCAAGCTTATCCCATTCTTCTTTGAATGATGAAACAGCAACGTTTCTCAAATAATCGGTCACACGTAAGTTGAAAGCCTCCAATTCGAATTCGTCTTCATTTTCATCCTCCTCTTCGAATGGTTCATGAGTCTCTGGGTCGACATCTGCAGTACAAAACTTGAGAACACTGAAGAGTTTACCAGTAACAATATCTTGGCTTCTCTTCAAAACTACAAAAGTGGACTCAGATTGATTAAACTTGATAGCTGATTCCGCTTGAATCTTGAAAGCTTCTTCGACATTATCCACATCACCCAAATCTAAATCAACAAGAAGGTTGCTTAATTGCAAGCTTTCCACTCTGTTCTTAACAACATATTGGAGAACAATGTTGGATTCATAAACATGGACAATACACGAAACGACATAGTCAGCATCAATTTCTGTGAGGTAAACAGGAGGGTTTGTCTTGAAAGGTTTTCCAAGGTTTTGGAGTTGTGGAATTTTAGAAAGAGCTTGTTCGAATTCTTGTGAATCACTCACAGGTTGGGTCTCTGCAGGAGCTGTTTCAAGTTGAACAGGTTGTGTCACGGCAGATTCCAATCCAGATTGTGAAGGAGCCTCTTCTGACTCTACGGAGGTTTCGACAAGTTGTACGTCAGATAAATCAAATGGTTCATCAAGTGTTGATTGAAGATAAGAAACCAAGCTCTTCTCAACGCTGTAAAAGTAGTGTTGCATATTTTCTGGAAGCTCATTAATAATTAACTTCTTGATAAGTTCTTCGTCTTGTGTTTCCAACACTTTCAAGTAGAAAACTGCACGATCTCGAACTTCATCGTCGCTATCTAACAAAACTCGTCTCAAAATAACCAAAACAGAGTTCCTCAAGGATTTGATTTTAGCAGCAAATTTAGCAATGGTAATAACAGCACTTCCTCTTACTGTTGGATTCTCCAAAATCAATCTATTATAAATGAATCTAATGCATTTAGATGGATTGGTAGTTTCTGTTCCTTCAACGCCCAAAAAGTGCAAAACTTGTTGGAGAACAATGGTATATTCACAATCTTCAATAAACTCACAAAGTTGTGAAACAACCATGTCTCTACTTTCTGTCAAGTTTTTACAAATGTTAATCATGGTACTAACAAGTTGTTTCTTGTACTCGTAGCCGCCCTCAGTACGCAAAGCATTAGCTAAGAATGTGACCATGCTGTAGTACTTCTTTGGGTATCTCAAACAGAGCGACTCAATGGACTTGACAACAATAATTTTGAATTCATCTGGAATTTCTGGAATAAATCGAGAAATCTTCTTCATCAATTTTTCAATATTTGCTTCTTGTCCAGTCTTCAAGAGGGTAGTTATGGCAAGAGTTGCAATGTTTCTATTGTAATCAGAAATTAACTTGTCAATATCATTGTTACAAACAGAAACAAGGATTGGGAAATGATTAGCAATATCATTTAAAATACGAATTGCAGCAAATCGCTTGACAGGCTTGTTTGAAGATAAAAATCCACGAAGAGCTTCAATTGCAGCGGCTAGTTCTTTTCCTAATTCCCTAATGCTGCAAATAGCCTTTGCTGCTTCGAGAACAACCATGTCATTTCTGAATTTAAGAGATGATATCAAGTACTGCAAGATAGCCTTGCTTCTTTCAGAGTTAAGATTTCCTTCCATTCTCAAAATCCTCATAGAGTACTTGATAAGTAGAGTGTGAGCAAGAGGGGATCTCAAATTTTGAATACCAGATGAAACTAGCTTACTGATTGCTAATCCATCTTGATATCTGAGTTTGTACATCAAAGCAAGTGCATGGTATTGGACCATGTGAAAACGTGAATCTACAGCAGATTGAATTTCTCCAGTCCATCTCTTTACAAGTTGATCTCCTTTTTGTGTATCGGACAAGTGGAATCCAGCCAACAGAGCAGCACTAGCTACACCAGGATTCTTGTCCACAACACATTGTTTTAAGTGTCTTTCCAAATTGCTGAAAAGATTTTCATCCATAATTGTTCTCAACGCACGAATGGCATTGATTTTGAATTCTTCATTTTGGTTTTGACTCATATCCTTGAAGAGACTGTTGCTTGCAACAAATGTTTGATTTGCTGTTTTTGAGAGCTCCTTCACAGCAATATATAATATCCTTCTCAATCGAACATCAGGACTCAAGAACAACTTGGTAATGTTCATAAATACATCGGTGGCTTCAGTGGCATTCAAGTTCTTTCCCTGATAGATAACGTAGAGTAGTTGAAGGAGAGTGAGCACACACCTGCGAGGATTGAGAGGACTCTCGTTGAAGATTCTTGTCTCTTGCAAGACTTGAGTCTTTTCCAAATTCTGGAATGGAAAGACGTCGGCTATTGTTTGTTGATAATTGATGATGATTATGTTTTATAGAAGTAATATGGATGTTGTTGATGATGATAGTGATGGATTTAAATTTTAGATCACCAAGTTGTCGAGTTGTTGTTGTATAAGTTATCATTAAAAATCATCATCCGATGTTTCAAAATAAATCAGTATGAATAAAAGTACCCGGACATATGATAGTGGGATCAGCATGCTGCTCTCACGGCAAATGCCACCTCATCAATAAGACACTTACCCTGCTCATCCTCATCTTTGGCCTTCATGTCGTGTTGATGCATCATTTTTTCCAACTTGAAAAAAATATTTTTTGTTACGTCATTCTGAACGTTTTGCGTCTCATGAAACAAAGTGGTGATAGGAAACAAGGTCGATATTGGCATCTCTGAGCTTTCGAAGAAGTATGAAACTAGTTGTTGTTTAGTTTTATAGTTTTGTCACTCAAAACGTATTCTTTGCAATCATTTTTATCTGTCTTAACATACGCGGTATGAGGAATGTTTGGAAACCGAAGAGAGAAATTTATTGTTTTGTTGTTAGTTATTGTTCTCCTTTCTTTTTTACAAATAATGAAAACAGTGTTCTGCAAGAGCTCCCTGCCAACAATTCTCTGACACCACTACGCTTTAATGAAAGTTAAATTTTCTATAGATTTATTTGCAGGAGCGATCATCTAGTCCACGAGAGGGACATATTTCGATTCTTCTAAAATCTTGGCAGCAGTCTGGAGGAGAGAATGAGATGAGAGAAAGTTGGATTTGCTTTCTTCGACTTCTTTTACAAAATATTGGTCGTCCTGTTGATCCGTATTGATGTGGATGAGTTTGTTGTCCACTGTGTAATTGTTCTTAAAGTATAATCTTCCATTCACTTTTGCTTTCAAATCTTCAACCTTATAGCTGTGCCCTACTAGGCAATTGTTGTATTGTTCTTTCAAGAGCATCAAGTTATTGTAGAGATATTTACAAACAGTGGTTGAGCCAACATCAATGGCAGGTTTGACACAATAGTTCACAATGTTTCTCATTGGCTCTTCAACTTCATATTGCATGAAAACCACTAAATCACAGTAATAGAGTGCAATAGCTTTGTCTAACAACATTTCACAATCATTCACCACTTGATTTTTAAGAAAATCGAATTTGATTTTGTTTGCTTCTGCTATTGCAAAAACGAGATAATTAATGGTTTCACTCCACACACTTTTTGTGAATAAGGATAGGGCTCGATTAGTAGCCATTCGCACTCTTCTAAGTACCTTAAAGTTTTGTTTGATTTCTTTGAACAGTTCATGTTTGTCTTCGTTCTCAGAGAGTTGTAAAGCAGTGGCGATGACATCTTGATCTGCCATAAGATCAGAAACCAGTGTGAGTATTTCAGGATCTTGATGGAGTGGCTTTGAATAAATATCTTTAACCACTTCATTAATTAAATGTCCATGGAACAAATTGTGGAGTTGAATCTTTTTCTTTTCATCATTCACATGCTCAATAATGTACTTGATAAATGTTGCAATATTGGCTATTCTGTAATCATGCTCAACATTCGAGTCAAGAGCCTGACTAGAAGCAGCAGTACTCTTATTGAGCATGAGAGTTTTGATTTGTTCTCGTGGAGCTAAAACTCCAGTCATGCTTTTCAATGCAGTTGGATTGCACTTTTTAAGAAGCTCAATATTCTTTTGTGTAATTTCCGATTTGATAAATGTTGGTATTTCATTCATCAACTCATCTTTCAAACGTTGAGTGAAATGTCCAGTCTTTTCCACATCAATGTAAATCAAACAATATGCAGAACTTGAGCTATCATCTCCAAAGGCCTCTTTCATCACTTGCTCCTTGCTTAACGTTGTCACTTTGGTATCATTAAATTTGAACCAGACATCTCCTGTTTCTGTTAAATGCTTGATATAGCACCAGTAATGGCCAGAAATTGCTGTCTTTCCTGAATGCATAATGATAGAATACAGAGTATAGTTAACATGTTCAGAATAAGAGTCTTTGAATGCATTTTCTACTGCAGATGTCAATTCGACTTGCTTTTTCTTCAGCTCTGTAACTTTCTTTGTGAGTTTTTCTTGTTCTTTCTGTATGACACGAATGGCAATGGACAATTCGGTCATGTCTTCTGTATTTGCTTGCTCACCATATTCCCTCCTCAACTCAATTAATCGGTCTGCTGATGACTCCAACGCTTGGATAAGACCAAAATTCCTATTGTTAAAATTGTCTGTGTACGAAAGAAGTGATTTTTCAATCTCAGCAAGATCTTGCTTGATTAATTTTAGTTCTGTCCGAATCTTTTCAGTGATGGTTTTGTTACTTTCCAAGTATGGGCTTAGGTCTAATACTTTTGGCATTTTGATTGGTGTGTGAAGCTTTTTAATCTGCTTGTTCTTTCCAAAGACAGCCCTCGAAGTTTGAAGGAACAGGACTGGAGGTATTGATCCCTTTCCCTCGAACCATACCGTCTTGCGTGCGTGAGTTTTGAAATTTCGATCGGTCGTGTATTCAATGGAATCATCTTTCATACAGAGCTCCAAGCAGTCTCTGAATGTACGAGTCTCGGGAGTTATTGGTAAAATCAAGTGATTAAATGTTTCTCTAGTTTTCTTACAAGTTTTCGTCTTATCCTCTTCTTCTGCTTCCACATAGACTGTGCTCTTTCCATAGAACAGATTTTTAAATTTGCTAAAGCTATTTTTGTTTGATTCCTTATACAGAGCTTCCATACCTTGCTCCAATCTTGATAAAAAGAGATTGTTAAATTCGGGTAAATCTTGCATTTCTCCAATTTGATAGGGTTTGTTGTCACTTCCTTTTAATTTTTGCAACGTGGAAGTGGGATCAACAAAGTTTGCATTGGAAATTAACATGTTTGCAAATAATTTTTGCAATTCCAACAAAAATTCCTTACTCGACTCTTCTTCTAAACCATTATGATTTGTTTTTTCTTCAAGACCTGAAGTATTCAAAGGTCCTTCATGAATCATTGGAGAACTATCTGTCATGTGAACATCTTCCACTTGCTTTTCATCTTTTGAAGAGTTGAATAAGCTATTCACTAATAATTGTCCCTCGGACAAAGCTTGTTCCTTATCGTTGGTGCATTGCGATTTGGGTTTGATAATACTCTTCAACACGGAAGGAATCATAAAATACGATTGCAACAAGGCATTCACATAGCAAGTATTTCCAACATTCTTCAAACCAATTCCACAAGGAAAGGTTTCAGTCTCTCCTTCGGGTGTCCAATTTGGTCGGAGTGTACATTCCTCACTGGCCATCATCATGAGATTTCCTTTCGTTTCATCAAGAGATTTTTGAATGGCTCGAGCCAATTCTGTATCTTCTTTGGAAATATCCATTGCATCGTTATCCATAATATGAACGACTCCATTTTCATCTTCATAGTGATTCAAAGAAGAAGGTGATGATGAATGTTGTTCCCATTTGGGATGATGTTCGATCGCTAGTAGTGGTGCTGCTGCTGATGTTGTTTGGTTTGCTTTGGTACTTTCAGCAATGGACAACATGATTGCTTTTTGTTCTTCATCATCGGGATCCATTTCGTCCACGATCGTAGCAGAAGTGATATCTTCCAATGCCATCCGAATCGATTCTTCTCTTGGTAATTCAAATATTAAAATAATTATTTAAATTAATAATATTAAATTTTGTATTTAAAAGTGATTGGTCACGATAGATATGAAATGGATCAACACAGAAAATGATCAAATGAATTGCTGAAATCAGTGAGCCTCTGCAAGAAAGGTGTTCGGATGGATATGAAGGTAGAAGAAGGAGTTGTTTCAATTTTTTCTGAATTTAATTCCTGAGAAAACGTCAGCTGTCTGCAAAATTCTGCAGAAAAAATCGAAATGAACAATCTTGTCAAAAATTTGAAGTTAAAATTAAAGGATTTATAGTCTCATTCTTACAACAAGAACAAAGAGGAGAAAACCATCATTACCATTGCCAAAAGTAATGCCATCTCAATTCTATTACTTGCCGATATGGTACACAGTCCATCCTTTGCACATAAACACCATTGAATAAATTGCATGGCATCTGTTCTAATAGTATTAGATGAGAGATCTGCAGGTGTATCAAAATGAGTGACTCCTTGCAACACTTTTGAAGTTGATCTTTTCATTTGACCTAAAAAGTCCACCAATGGTTGATACTCTGCAGGTTGAATGTTCAAATCAGAAGGAGAATTCAAAGAACAAAAATATGAATTCGATGTCAGTAAGTATTGTTGTGCAAATTGATTGGAGGTATAAAAGAAGGAAGAATTAAGAAAAGTTCCTGGAATTAAACCTCCAATACTGTAGACGGCATTGACAGGATATTGACCATTTTCAAATTTGGGAAAGAAATTAACCAATGCATTGTAGGTGGCATTTGCAGTAGCAATATTATTGGTAGCAGCATTAATCATATCGCTGGAACCACCCTCAGAGACACATGCATCCTTAAAGGATTGCCATCGTTTCACATTTCTCCAATTTTGGTTAACCAAAAAAGTTCCATAATTGTATCCTAAAAGACCATTCATAAGAAAGACATTGCTAAGTGGTTTGTTTGGATTTCTTTGATTCCAAATATTTTGAGCTCGAATGACCACTCCAACACCTTCCGAGTGTCCCAATAAATTCAAAGCACTTGAATTGACATCGGAACGAGCACTCAACCAGTTCAACATGGCATACGCATCCATTGCATAATCATCCAAAGTCAATACATTGAGATTATACTTTTGAGGAATATCATTCGAAGCACATGCGTGATAACACGAATCGACAAATTGATTCGAAGTGGTATTCAAGGTGCAGCTGGAACAGAATTCTGGATGCAAGGAAGAGACACAACAACCTCTCTTGTCATAGGTCAGAACAATCATATTGTTGTATTTGGAGAGTTGTCTCCCAATCTCACTGAACGGTGAGAGATTCACATAGGAGACTCCACACTTCGGACTCTTCGGAGGTGGAGACACGTCGGTATTGAGGAAGGGATATTGGTTCACACTTTCATCTCGATTCTGAGGTCCACTTCCATGCACCAACACCACAGCTGCATATTTCGCTCCGGCTTGTGGTGGAGAGGATCCCGAATAGGGCAAATACAAAGTAGCACCAAGATTGAGACTTCCGGAGGGAGCTTCGGAGGAGGTAATGGAGATGGTCTGAGTGGATTCTGCATGGACACGATGATGATCCCATACGCAACCTACAATGGTGATCAGGAAGATTAGGAAAAGAAGAAGAAGATTGCGTTTCATCTTTTCGACTTTTTTTTGCTTTGAAATGAACCAAAGGAACGATTCTTATTTGTTTGTTGGGCACTATACAACTCTCAGCACGGAGATTGTATTTGTCCATTATTATTATTATTTCAAAAGTTCATATTCTACTACAACATGTCAGGGGTCAGTGAATGCATTTGTACCGAAGAAGGAAAGAAAATAGTTCATGAGATGATTGACCATGTTGAAAACAATTCTGCTATTGAGGAAGACAAGAATGACTCATGAGCATGAAATCCGAATGAGCTGTCCCAATGGTAAGAGATTAACACAAGTTGAAGTCAACAAGTTTTTACTGCTCTCTTCTAATCGCAACTTGTGATAGCTAAAGGGATTTGTTGTGCCTTAATTCCACTAATTCTCTTTTTACAATGTGTTACAAAGTTGTTGCTAACAGAGTTTAAAGAAAGAGACGATTATTCTTTATTGTCATTAAATGTCATTTCACATGAAGTTTTTCACATATTCTTTACATTTTAATGAATCTGTTAATGTCAAGCGAGTGTCGAAATGTAATAATAATTACATTAATCAAACGTGTAGATTCTTTGTGCTCAGAGATCCATCTTTGTGAATTCAAACCTCGAACTCCTCATCTCTTGAACCAATCAGAGTCATTGATTGCTGAATCAACACATGTTGTCATATGTTGTACACAAATAAAATGTATCTACATGTTACGGAAATAAGGCAATCCAAGAATATCCTGAGCATTGGGTCTCATGAGGGAATCCTTTTCCAACATTTTCAAAACAATTTCACACAATTCATCCGAATATTCACCTCCTTCTTTCATTTTGGAAAGTAATAATTGTTGCACACTTTGTGGATCCTTACTCAATAACAAGTGACTAATCGAAGTGGCTGAATCTTTGGTCATGATTTGATAAATAGTCACTCCCAATGAATATACATCAGTATTGGCATAATATTTACCACCGAGACCAACTTCAGGAGACATGTAGAGAGGAGTTCCAGCATACGAGAGAGCTTCAGATTGAGTTCCTTTCGCAAGACCAAAATCAGCCAATACGACATGAATCTTTTTCTCATCCAACGATTTGATGAAAATATTCGAAGGTTTGATATCTCTGTGAATAATATTTAACGTTCCATGCACATAGGTCAATGCATTACAAATTTGCCAAATGATTTGCTTAACCAAGTGTTCACTACAGACTGGACTGCGAGGTGAGACAAATTTGGCTAAATCTCCCTGATCGTAGAAATCCATATCCAAACACACGAGATTGTCTTTGGAGACAAAGAAATCATTCACTTTGAGAATGTGATCATGACGAATATTCATCAATTGCATTCCTTCTTTCATGATATTATTCAAATCGCTGAGAGAAGTAAATTTCATGACCTTTACAGCTTTGACCTTATTTTGGAATTTGGTGTCATTGGCCTTATAGACTGAACCAAAAGCTCCCTTTCCAATACGTGATATATTTTGATAACGAGAGAATGGATCCACTTGATAAACGAGTGAATCTGTAGACATGGTTCCAGATTGCATTCGATCTTCACTCATCAAAATTGGAGTAAAATTCACACTCATGTCACTTGGAAAATCTGAAATGAAAGAATTTGGATTTGAATTTGGAAGCTCCACATTGGGACTGTTTGGAAATGGTACTGCAGAATTGGGTTTGTTCATTTCCAAATCGGACTTGACTCGTCGTTGTTTCACCACACACAAGACCACAATCACCAAAATGGCCACCAACAAACCAATGAGTGAAAGTATTGCCACTGGAACCACCACAGCAATAACAATGGTGGTTGACACGTTATTGTCCATCGTATTGGTTGGAGATCGACCCGAAGAAGCTCCTGTTGGAATTCCAACACTCATTTCACAATTCGCTCCAGAAAAACCTTTCGAGCACACACAACGATTTGGACTCACACATTGTCCACGACCTGAACATACGGCAGCACTCGATGCAAGCGTTCCATTACAAATGGATAATTCACATTGATCACCTGAATATCCCAATGGACACACACATTCTGAGAAAAATCCATTCACCTCCAATAAGGTTTTGTTTCCTTCACAATAAGGCACTAATGATCTCACCACTCCATTTGCATCATCTGTAAAGATAATTTCACCATTCAGAGGATTCACAGTCACACTCGACAATGCCGTAATGCAGGTATCGGTGGCCACTGATAAATCTCCATTGTAGTAACAATCTTCTGAACGTGGTGGTATTCCAGCAATGGTTCGAATGAGTTGTGTGTTTTTGGATACTCGTCGAATGAGTTTGTTACTCGAATCGGCAATAATTAAATCTCCATTGGGAGCAACAGCTAAACCTTGAGGTGCATTCAAATTGGCCATAGTTGCTTGAATATTCTCACCATAGTATCCTCGAGAATCCTTAATACCAGCCACTGTGGAAATGAGACCTGTGGTGGCATTGAGCACTCGAACGATGTGTCTCGAACTCTCTGAATAATATAAATCTCCTTGAGGTGAGAGTGCGAGTGATTTAATGGAATTTCCGAGATTGACAGATGTGGCATTTACTCCATCGGGTGTGAATTTGACATCACCTATGGATGATGATGATGCATCATGAATCACATACGCACACCACAAAATTAGGTTATGATTCATTGAGAATTTAAGTGTCACACAAAAGATTCTCTCATCATGAAATTACAAACTACTACTACTTACCATCAATTCCAGTTCCAACAATGGTTTGAACCACTCCATTCGAAATTTTACGAATTCTTCGATTACCTGCATCAAAATAAATAATATCATCCTCACCATTACCATTTTGAGAAGGTACACACAACACAGCTCTTGGATTATACATTAAGGTTGCATTAGCCAATGTTCCATCTGGACTAAACGATGGAGTTCTAAATTTACCAGCCACCACAGAAATCACTCCATTCGATCGAACTTTTAAAATTCGATGAAACGTATCAGCAATGATCAATTCGTTTTTAGAAGTGTAACAAAAAACAGAAGCTGAAATAAAAGCCAATCCTATGGGTCCTTCATAGGAACTAGATTCAAAAGTGAATACTCTGGATCCAATAAGAGTGGAAAGGACACCATTGGATGCATCCATTGTATAAATGACATGATCTTGTGTTGTGTGAGGAGTATACATTGCAATTTGTCCATTATTCTTATTGACAGTCACGAAGGAAGGTTGAAACATGGTCCATTGGATGGCAGGTGTTCCTGGAGGAGGCAATGGATAGGAACCAACCACGGTGGTGATTCGATTGTCGAGACCAATTTTTCTAACGAGTCCTACACGTTCAACAAAATAAATTTCGCCTTCATTGGTAACGTGTAAATTAATGGGCATTCTATGTGTGTGTGAAAATATGAATCATTTTAACATTAGGTGTGAAAAAAGAATATCATTCAAATGATGAACTTACTTCAATAAAGATTGAGTGGCAGGTAATCCCTCTCCGCTGTATCCTACGAATTCAACACCGTTGGATGGCAACATTCCTGCAATGACTTGAACACTTCCATCCGCTAAGAGTTTGCAAATTCTCGATCGTCCCAAAACAAAATAGAGCGTTCCATTTCGAACAAAAATACTCGAAGGTTTTTCAAGATTTGGATCTGTATAAATCTTCACTGCCGTGTTATTCTTTTCGAAAAATTTCACAATCGAAAAAGTTCCAAGTTCTGCAAAATATAAAACATTTCCATCTGCTTCTTGTTCGACATGAAACGTTGATGGATCATCGTCATAAAGTCCATTGTAGGCATAGACAAGATCAAAATTAGTTCTTTGACCCTTATAAATTCCAATAGTTGTTGAGAAATAAATAAAACCATCGGTGCTATTGGTTCCTGTTGCAAAAACTGTTCCTGGTTCTCCAATAGAAGTGTTTGTGGAGAAGAGAGTGGTGATGTTTCCATTGAGCTGTAATAATCGTATCCTGTTATGATATCTGTTGTGAAAGAGTCCATCAATGAATGGCATTTCTATGTGATTGACACTTACCTGTCAGCAATCAACAATTCACCATTATTATATAAATAAAGACCAAGTGGGCCACTGAAAGTCGTCTGATTAGCTAATAAACCATCTCCATTAAATGCTGTCTGTCCTTTCATTCCTGCCACAGTCGTTACAATTCCATTTGGAAGTCCAACCTTTCGGATTGTGTTACTGTTCACATCACTCACAAACAATTCAGAACCATCTCGTGACAAGACTGCATGTCTCGGATAGATGGCAAGTCCAATACTATTTGCTTTTAATCCATCTCCATAAGCAATATTGGTATTATATTTTCCAGCCAATGTCGTAATAGTATTATTTGAACTTGCGGAAACCATTCTAACTCGATTGATTCCTGTGATCATTAAATCACCTCTCGAATTGATGGAAACAAAATTTGGTTGATTCAGAGGTGCTGCCAATGTATGACCATAATCTCCTGCATTACCAAATTGAAATGTGTCTTCATCGTTATTTCCATTTCCAGCCACAGTGTTGACTTTTGTTAAATCTGAAGAAATTCTTACAATGCGATGACTTCCAGAGTCAGCAACGTAAATGGCTTCACTACTTGTCACATAAAGACCTCTAACAACAAGTAATATATACAAATAAATAAAATATATACATTATACATGAGTAATATAAGTTATAAACAGTGTTATTATGAATAATGCAATTTCACAATATTTTGAAACTTACATGGGTGATTGGAAATAGGTTTGCAGTGGATTTCTTCCATCTTCAAATGGGGCAGAAGAAGATGGAACTCCAGCAATGGTTCGAATTCTGAATTGACCATTAGGTTCGAGAGTAAGTTTTCGAACCAATCGATCGATGGTATCTGTAATATAAATCACTCCAGTTGGAGTTACAAAAATTCCTCTCGGAGAAGATAACTTGGTATTTGTGGCAATCACATTATCGGAATAGGTATTTCCTCCACCTGCAATGATGGTCATGGTTTTTCCTGTCGAGTCAAATTTTTTGACATATCCATTTCCAGTATCTGTCACAAATATTTCTCCAGTACTTTCGAGAACAAAAACACCCACTGGATTTTTCAAATTAGTACTCGAGACTAGAGTGTTTACCATCATGGTACTTGATGAAATCTTTCGAATCATTGAATTTCCAGTGTCTTGATGAAAAAGTGATTAGAATGTGAAAATGATTTGTTGTTAAAAATCAATTCACATGTTTGAACTTACCTGCCACATAGAGATCACCATTCGTTGCAAGATACAATCCCATGGGTTGGTTGAACTGACATTTCCATGCAATGTCATCACCTACAAGGTCAATGGACCAACAAAATGTGTTGCCAATTATGATTATAATTATTGTTGTTGTGGGCGCGAAAATTCACATGCCAAAGAGAATAATGAACAAAAGGGACAAACAACAAGAACACCACATGTGGTCATCAGTTCACCACCATTCACCACCATTCACCACCATGATCATGTGCGTTATTAAAATATGAAAGTAAAGCGAAAGAGGTTCACATATTACCATAAATGTCAAATGTCCAAGAACCATTCACGCAAAAATTTGAAGCGCAATCGTCCATGTTCATTCCACACACAACAACCAATATGATAGAACAATAGACTACTTACCATTGTATCCTCCTACTCCTATCCCAGCATATCTTATCATGGTTCCGTTTGCTGTAATCTTTCGTATCACATGACGCATCGTGTCAGCAATAAAAGTTTCATTCTTGTCATTCATGATGGCCGCACTTGGTTGTGCAAGAGGTCCATATTCTGCTTGATAGTTCGAAGAAACACCATCGACATATTTAAATCCGGCAATTGTCTTGGTTTTATATTGAACAGGGACTGCATGTAGAATTATACTCAAAGTTGACGACAAGGAGGATAACAGAAAAAGAAGAAGAAGAAAAAGCGGTAAATTTCTGACAGGTTGCGGCAACTTGATGTCTATGGTCATGTCTGGTGGTGGTTGGGTTGGGTTGGTGGGATAAGCCGTGACTAATTTTTTTTGGGTTTTTTATTGTATTCTGATGTTACAAAGTTCACAAAATTTCAGAACGATTCTTTTTGAAGACTGACAAAAATCAGCACCTCTTGATCGTCTATTGTTAGATGGTGATGATGGAGAACGGCAAACTCCTGCAATTCCTCTTTGGAAACAAATTTTCCATGTGAGAAATGATTGAGAATGTCAGCTGTTTACAAAGATCAGATGAGGACTGAACTCCGATGAAAATCTCCTCTTCAAATTGGAAAAGGAATTTCAGTTAATTGAAATCAGTAGTTGGATCAGCAAGTGAAGACTTGTTGAGTTGCCAGTGACAGAAATTTCAAGTGAAAATCATCTCACAATTAAATGATGACACAATTGTAATTTAATATCAAATTGTCTGACAGAACGAAAGAAAAATGCGTCGCCTCAAGTTCAGCAATTCGTCGACGGTCACCAGCCAACAAACTTTCAAGCCCCAATCATCATCATCTTCGGGAAGAAAAGGAAGAAAACAACCATTCATAGTTGTGAGCTCAATCAATAGCAGCAATGTAAAGTATTCACACGATGACATTCAAGACCGAAAGTATCATAATGTCTGTATTCATTCCTTTCAATCATCACAAAATTCGTCATCCTCCCGAAAAGAATTAATTCAACAACATTTCAAAAATTGTACTCAATGCGGAAAATGTTGTACAGGATATGGATCCATTCGAGTCTATTTAAATGATGCATCGACCCTTGAAGCTATTGCAAAATATTTAAATTTGAGTGTTGAGGATTTTTGTAAGAATTATGTCATGAGTTCAATTTCACCTCGTTCCAAAGATGAAAAGCTTCTCTCCATTAAATACAAACCTTCACTGAATTTCCATAAACGAGTTGAATGTGTGTTTTTGAAACAGAAAGGAGTGGATCATGAAGGAAAAGCCATTTATCAGTGTGTGATTTATCCAGTACGACCGGATCAGTGTCGAACATTCCCTCATGGTTGGGATGAAGAAATTGAAACAGATGAAACCTTTTATAATATGATTGAAAATTGTGATGCATTAGAAACGTTGAAGGTGGAACGAGGGTGGGAAGAAAATGACAAATAGAGATTAAGGAGATGCATTAAATTGTGATCCAAATGATTCTTTCCTTTCGAAATGACGAAGGTACAAAATGTTTCTCAAAATAAGCCCAACTCAGACAATGAATGCATATGTCAATAATTATAGGTTAGTTGACTGAATGATGAAAAGTAGTTATCAAAATGTTTGATCAGCTTGCATTTCAACAATAAGTCATCTTATAGAGTCAATAATTTAACATTTATTTCGGACGTAGCTCACTAGTGGTGATTGCAGTTACTGCTTGCTCATGATCTTTTCAATTTCTTCAATTGTTTTTGGAACTCCTGCACAAAGATTGTCAATACCATCTTCAGTAATGGCGACATCATCCTCAATTCTAATACCTCCAACACTCATGTAATCATTAATTAAAGAAGCATTCAAGTATTTTTGAAGATTTTCATCCTTGAGAGCATTGGCAATCATTCTCTTGTTGAAATAGAGACCTGGTTCAACAGTGAGGACCATACCCTTTTGTAGAGTAACTCTAAGTCTGAGATTTCTAATACCAGGCTCATTAATCTTTTCGAAAGTACCATCTCTATTTGGAGGATCATGAACATCAAGTCCTAATGCATGTCCCAAACTATATTTTACGTTTTTGAACATTTCACATTACAAACAGTCCAACAAATTGTAAAATCTACTTACCCATGAGGGAAAAATATAGAACCAGCATGATGTTGCATCAATTCTTCGACAGCTTCATCTCCTTGCTTTCCATCAACCTTTAAAATACCCAATTCATAAAGACATTTCGTCATCACACGCAAGGCCAATCGATGCATGTCTTCCCATTTCACACCAGGTTTCATAGAAGCTAAAACTTGCATTTGAGCATCGAGAACAATTTGATAAATTTGCCTTTGCTTGTCTGAAAACTTTCCATTCACTGGAAAAACTCTTGTAATATCACTTGCATATAATGAGCCATGAGTTTCAGCACCAGCATCAAGCAAAACCAAACTTCCATCATGGATAATTTCATCATTTCTAATGTAGTGTAAAGTTGCTCCACGATCGTCACCAGCAACAATAGGATCATAAGCTTGGAAAATGGAGCCTCCATTCACCATGGTCTCATAACGAAAAACAGCATCCAATTCACGTTCATTGATTCCAGGTCTTGCACGTTGCATGCATTTGACGTGAGCTGCTCCAGAAATTTGACACATTCTTCTCATAATTTCAATTTCCTCTTGGGTCTTGATGAGTCTCAAGTCCTTCACCAATACATAAAAAGTTCGTGATGTTTCATCAGAAATAACTTCAACACCAGGTTCAAGAGTCTTTGGATTCAGCAATGAGCTGTTCTTGGAGTCTTGATCAAAGGCATAGACTTTCTGAATTTTCCATTCCTTCAAAATAGAGGCAACAGCTGATTCGGATTTGTATTCAACCCGAGAGAAACCAAGTTTTTGCTTGTAGTCTTCAGCCACTGGATACTCTCCACACCACAATGCATATTCATCATCATATTGTGGAACAAAGAGTACAGATTCACTGATGGATGGATTCAACAACAAGGCACATCCAGGCTCTGAGCAACCCGATAAATAATAGAAATTACTCTCTTGTCGGAATGTAAGCTCCACATCGCTGTTGTTGGTTCTAAGTTTAATATCACCTCCTTGAATAAAGTATGCTGCATTATGAGTGAAGGCTTCTCCTTTCAATTTTGCAGCAGCGTAGAAGGCTTCTCTGAAGGTTTTTCGGTTTGCACTTGTTCGCAAAATGGCAGAGGTCATCATGATGATGGAGATTCTTTTTTTATTGATTTTGTTGTTGTAATCTGTGAGAGCAATGAGGAATTCTACTGGACACAAAGCTTCCAAATCTTTGCGAAATTAAATGAATGTGCCATGACCAACAAACTCGCAAAGTTATTGAGTTAAAATACTGTTAAATCGTTGTGTGTCACTCTTAATTTTGTAGATGCATGTTCTGAACATCTAGTGGATTTTGACGCTCAAATCATCGTCATTGTCATCCACGAATGTGACATCGTCTTTTTTAGCTTTGGGCTGGTACATTTCATCAATTGCTTGACGAACTTTTGATATAATATCTTGTTCATACTCCTCACGTTTCCTTTTGAGCATCTCAAATCTTTCAGCGTAATCTTTCATTTCTTCCAATAAAGGATCTAAGGGAACTGGAGAACTGGATGAGGAGCCGGAGCTACTGAGGGTTGTTGATTGTAGATGAGAATCGTTGCCCATGCTATTAGTATTCTGGTCTGCCATCTCCGGTGGATTCATAGGTTGAGAAGTTTTCGTTCCATTCATTATATAAATACATTCCGTTCGTTTCTTGCTATCATACATGAGGTCTGTTAAATTTACAACTTCAACATATTGCGAAGTATCGTCTCGTTTTGTGTTTTTAAATTGTGTTCCAGGAGATATCTTGTTCCAGTATCTATTCTTTAAATATTCAGATCCAAAATCTAATATCATTGTCCTGTGAGCTCCCTCTGATTTTTCCGGATAATTTTTACACTTTGATAAATGAAGAGAATTGTCTCCACGAGTATAATCCAATTGTTTTTCCAAAATAATTTTTATATCATTATCGTTGTATTCGCTCGGCCTCTTTGTTTGATCTTGAGTACAAAATTTGAGAGAAATTAAAGCCAAATAATCCGTCCAGTCATTCTTTCCAGGCTTCTTCTTTTTTCCGAAATAATTATTATTGGGTACATAATTTTGATAATTAATGCTCGGAGGTGGTGGTGGAGGAGGTTGGTTGCTTTTGTTCATGTGAGAATTATATGAATAATTGTTTTGATTTGAAGACTCATACACCCCTAAAAAACAATCTTCATCTTGTGCGGAAAGAATTGGAGTACCTAGCGAAGGCATATTTTTTTTTGGTTCTGTTTTGGATTGGATTTTTCTGGAAATTATTTGTTTTTATTACATTATTAATTTTGGAATTTGATTCTGGTTAGATCAATACAAATGGTTATTGTCAACAAAATGAACAAAGAATTAAATAGTGCATTGCATGGTGGTTGAGTTGTAATATCCACATCGTGGTCTAAGTGACTCGTCCCATCCAACACAAGAGTTTGCAGAATAGAAACAACTAAATGAAGGATAACATTTGTTTTCTTTCAATGTATATAAATTTGTATCTAATCCAGGAATTTTCATATTTCCTAACATGGGGCTACCTCTGAAACAATCTTGTCCAGGATATGATAAACCAAAAACATAGAACAAAGCAACAGCACATCCGAAAATGAACAATATTGGGGTAATGATCATGAGAATACGTAATTTGGGTTCAAGATAGGAAGTTCTTTGCCAATACAACAAAATTCCCAATGGAATTAATTGCAAAATTAAAAAGATGATCATTGCAAAGTTTGCATAAAGGTGTACATCGTTCACGAATGTGAAAACTGCCAACAATACAAAAGTGATTAGCCCAATAAGTCCTACAATGGCAGCTGATGTGTAGGTGGCAATTTTAATCTATCGTGAAGCAATTGTGTTGTCATTGATATTGTTTGAATGATTCCGAGTGGATGTTTTGATACGTAATTATGATAATTCGAAGTGATTGTAATGACAACCATGATGATGATCATTTAATAATAAATTCAATAATTGTTTGGATCCGATTCAAAATGAAATAGAACAGTTGTGCCAATATATTCAAAAAGAACCGAGAGATGTTACATGGATGCAACACTCATTGGTACAGATACCTACAGTCTTGCTGTTCTCATCGCCATAGAGAGGGTTGTCCATTTTCTTCGTATTTTTTTTGTGATTTTTTCGGAGCTCTTCTTCCAATTCGAATTGGAGACATGCTTTGGATGAGCTCTCGAAAAAGATAAACAGTCATCATCAAAATAAGAACTGCATCAGTCTTGATGTCTTGCAATCGAATTGCATGTCAATAATTTATTCAAAATTTCAATTTAAAGGAATGGTTCCAAATCAATTTCAAAAACGGAGACTGGAAGTTGAATCTTAAAGTTTTTGAGCACCAATGGATGAATAATGCCAAAGATACCAATCTTTTTACCCTTGTAGTAAATGTTGGCTTGTCTTCCTTCTAAAAAGCTCTCATCGTTCGATGGGAAAATAGAATAGCAGTCTCTTGTACCAGCCTTTTCATGCTCAAATTCGAATGGAACAGCTAAAACTTCCATCACTCTGTCCACCAAGCCATGAATAAGTTCCAAGCCAGATGTCTCAGAAGAGAAGAGAGCTGCTAATCTTCTGTTATTTCTTGTTCCTACGTCCTTGGTTTCATCAATCAAAACGACATCTCCACATTCGAACAACTTGATTGGTAATTTCAAGATCTTGTTGCTTTGAAAAGTCTTTAACAAACCTGGAATCAAGCTAATTCTTGCTGTTTGGAATTCCTTAGTTTGTGATTGAGAAACAGAAATAGCGCTCTTTCCATCGTTGTGCTTTCTCATGAATGTGAAGATTTCATCGTGAGAGCAGAGAATTAGCGACAAAACTTCTGTATATCCAGCCATTGACATTTCTAAACGCATCATGTCAGACAATTTGTTCAGCTCATTTTCCTTTCCTATAGTTGAAGACTTTGGGAAAGTTTTTGGAATATTATTGTAACCATATGCGATGGCAACATCTTCCATAATATCACATGCATGTAAAACATCGCTACGGGTTGGTGGAGCAAGAACCTTCAACGTCTTTTCATTCACAACAGACGCATTCAATTGCATTCTCTTCAAAAGTTCTGCCATCTTTTCAACACTCAAATCCAATCCAAGTCTGTTGTTGACATAATCGGTAGTACAAGAGAATTCCACATCATCAAGAATAGGTGTAATCTCATTGGCAGATTGAGTATGATCTTCATATTCTACTTTAACTTGCTCAACTGTGAATGGTTTTGAGCAATATTCAGCAAACATTGTGACCATAGTATTCAACACAATCTTGGCTTTGGTTAAATCTGTGGCTGTGCATTCAATAAAAACGTTCTTTGTTGAAACTTTGATCTTGGAATGATCAGAGTTAATGATTGGTGGAAGAGACAAAACTTGTCTGTTTGAATCATAAATAACAGGATAAACAGGGCTGTCTTTGATAATCTTAAGGTATGGTCTCAAATGTTTTTGCTTTTCGTCAGTATCAATAAAATTGAATAATTCTGTTGCTGTGAATTGTTGGGTTTGACCCAATGGAGCAAATTTGATTTGAGATGGAGGCAATGCTTCATAGGTGAATGGAGCTTTGATTGTGTCCAAATCATGGGTACCAATGGCAACAAGTGTTCTCTTTCTACAAATATTTTGGTGGAGCTTTTCCTGCAAATCCATAAAACTCTTCTTTCTAGCTTCATCAAAAGTAATATTTCTCAACACTGCACCAACAACATATCTACGGACTTGTTGAGTTTCCTTCTTTACGATAATTTTCAGCAACTTGCTCTCACCTCCAACAACGCTATTATCAATTGAATACACTGGAGCAAGTTCTTTTTGAAGGAAAATCTTCAAGGCTCGGCACAACCCTTCTTCGCACAACAAGTCGTATCTATTAGCTGGTATTTCAATTTTATAGATGACTTCATCAGCATCTTCTGAGAGTAATTTCAAATCCTCCTTTGAAAGTGATCCGTGTTCCTTTTCTTTCATCTCTCTTTCAGAAGTAACATCATCCAATTCAATACCAAAATCAAAACATAACTGACTGAATTCTTCATCGGCTTTATATTTATGATTCAACAACAATACGAACAAGATCGCAGTAATGAACAAAATTTGTGGGTAATTTCATTAGTTTCATTACACCATCGTCCGATACAACAACAACAATAATAAAATTGAACATATTGTATTTAATTACGATATGATGTTGGTGATGATATATACGTACAGTATGTCAAAGGAAGCTCAAGACGTTCAAGCAACCTGTTTTTCTTCACGTTCACAACTGGCATGATGAAAGTTTGGGATGGATATTTTTTGTCGACAACTTTTAATTTTTCATTATCCTGCCCGAAACCCCACACAGCTGATGGTTAATCGAGATGCGCTTGAACGCATTTGGTTCATGCACGTGTTATCAGCTTATTAAGATAATACATTTTCAATAAGCGGGAATGAAGGGAGAATGTGGAGAAACTGATCAATGTGTCACAATAACAAATTGCAACCGCGTTGAAGGAAGTAGAGTTAGTTTAAAGTTTAAAAGTAGAATCTATTTTCTTATTGCTTGGATTGCTCTCTTCCAGAGCCACGTCCTCCTCGACCTCTTTCAGACTTTCCACGACCCCTTCCGCGTCCTCTTCCTCTACCTCTTCCTCGAGGTGATGTAGTGGAAAAGTTTAAGAAACTGTGGGAAGTAATTTTCAACTTGCTGCTGAATTTTGAAACTCGAATTAGGGGTGTGTTTCCTGGTATGTTCTGTGGATTATTTATATGGTCCAAAAACATCTTGCCGAACTTGTGGAATGCAGTAACGTGTGTTTCAATAAAGTTCTTCATAAAACTGTCAAGCAAGACAAAATTCCTGAAGCGACTTCTTGATCCATCTAATAAAAAGTCCACCATAAACCGATCATACTCGATATGAATGTTTTGAGAAGAATATTTGGAAATACAAAAATATTTCCAATTTTTCGCAACAAATTGTGTGAAATGATGCACAATAAAATCAGTTTGTGCTTCCAAATTAAAACCCCACTCATCGCTTAAGAATTGTTGTTTGGTATGCTGTTGAAAGGTCTTTTCAGACCGTACAATCGCTCCTCGTTGGATGGTTATGAATGAAGGTGTTATCTGAGAAGTGTTTCTTGAGTTTGCAATTGATTCAAGTAAGAACTTATTGTGTTGTACTACAGATGAGATCATGTTAAATAATGAGAGAATGTGTTGAAACAGGCTAATATAACCATTCGGTCTGTTTCTAAATCTCATGACAAGTCTATTCTTTCCATAAGCATAATTTTTGTGAAATAAATAAAACCATCGAGATTTGTCATCCAGCGATTTCAAGTTTTCCATTAAAGCGTAAACCTTATCTTTGAAATCATGTGGATAATGAAATTGAGAGTAGTCTGAATGTGATGGTGGCGATAAAAATCTTGTAAATCCAAAAGATACAGCTCGAAAATAAAGGTTCTTTTCCCTAGCATAACGACAATTGGTGATTGTTTTCTGGGTAAGAGACTCCAAAGTTTCTTTGATTTTCTCACGTACAGATCGTGAAGTGAGAAGCCTTCTCAATTCTTGTTTCCAATTTCTTTGTTTTTTCGACCTGTCTGACGTTTTCTTTTCAAATAGTATTTCCTTAATCTCATTGTCTATTCTTTCATTGTAAGCTAATATTTCAGACGAATCAGGAGATACTATCGGAATACCAACATTTCTATTCTTGCGAATAATCTCGCTCAGATTCTTTAAATTTGCATTTCTTTCAATAATTTCGTGCATGGTCTGCATATTAGGAATGTCAGATTGCAATATCGAAGAAATCCAACCTGGAAATAAGCGATTCATAATTTTTAAACTCTTTACCAGTTTGTACTTAATGTCTGAAGCACTAAACCTCCCTTGCTCATTTTGGATCAAAGATGCAAATTTGCTCTTTTTCTTGTTAAATTCGTTCAACTGCTCAGAAAATGAAAGCATATTCCATTCAGTTTGTAGCTCATGAGATGTTGAATTCAAGTCTCCAATTTTTTTCAAAAATGTTTTTCTGTTTCTTACATAATTTTCAATATCTTCAATCTCTTTTCGATGCTTTAGAAAAGTCATCAGTCTAAAATATTCACAATATTGTATGGCCTCTCCTTTGAATGAAGAGTCGTCAAAATCATCAATATTCAACATTGCCAATGTAATGTTACGAGAAATGTACAGGATGTTCTTGACAGCATCATCTCTGAGCGACAAAAAGGAGTATATTTTGAATAGAATTTCTCTTGGTAATTGTTTGAATAACTCTCTTTCTCTTTCTCTTCGTACAGCAACAGGCCCAACAAATGCATTTGTTTCATTTCGTTTTGATTTTATATTTTTCTTGATCTCACTCGAAGCAAACACAACAAAATCGGCAAGCTTCCATTGATTTTTCCTTCTATTTCGTCCCTTCTTTTTGTTTTTCAAACCATTTTCAGACATGTATTGTCTTGCTATTCCTTTCGGAAGTTGATGAGTATTCCGTTGTTTTGTGTCTTCAACTTGCGAAATTTGTTTTCGCTTCATCGGACCATGTTCCTGATGAATGAAATTGCTTGTTGTTCGCTCACGATCAGGGTTCAGCATTTTTTTCGTTTTTGGGTTATTGTAATCCCACAAGATCAGAACAAGAGAAGAATTGTAAACAATCAATGTTTGTTAGAATCATTCCAGGGTTGAGTCTTTTGGTAACAAAGCAATTATGTTTTCCATTAACGTCATTAAAACGGCATGTTTGAAATAGGAACCTCATAGAGAACGTTGCATTGTGTGAACTTTCGTACATCATTAACAACTGTGCGATCTCTGAGGTTTCTCCCAAACGATACGTTTGTCCACAATATCACAACCTGAAATAACCAAAGGAGCTATCTGATTGTTAAATTGTACGTGCACAAAAGGTTGTTGTACATCGTTCATGCTTAAAATACATTTCAATTGGCAGTTCGCGTTTGCATGTTGATAAGAAAAATTGCCAATTTTCCATTGACCTGTTTCAATCTCAATGTTTCCAAGTGTCGTTGAAAAGTCGTAATCAATGATTGACAACTGTTGAGGCAATTTGAGGATTAAATTTTCAATAGTAAACCTTGACATGTCAAAATTTGGTGTTAAGCTGATTTTCACCTCTGCCGTTATTCTTGAATAAGGGTTGTGAAGAAATATTTTCGAAAGAAATTCCAATTAAAAAATGTGGAGCTTTCATCATGGTCACTCCTTGGAAAGTATAATTCAAGAGTTCAAAAGATCCATCAGGAGGAATCAACGAAATTACATTCTCATCATTCACTTTTACATTCTTGAACAACTTGACCGATTTTTCACTTGATGCCCATAGATCTTGAAATCTTCTGTTCATCTGTACTTTAATTTCTGAATGCACACAAGATATAAAACATTTCACATCAAGTTTACCCATCACATCATGTGCTAATACATGGCCATCATGTGCCACTCTCATTCTCGATTTCTCAAACCAATCCCAATATATATTTTTTCTTTTATATTCTATTGGGCAATAATTAAAAAGTACAGAAAACTGACTAGTCGGTCTTTCGGAGAAGAGCTTCCATTCTTCGCCAATGATTCTTCCAAAATCGATTTCAAAGCATTTTCGTTTGTATTCTCAGTTATTCCCAAACATATCATTTCATCAACCAGTTGCCATAGTAATGAATAATTTAATGGAATAGTATTAGTTTGAAGTGGAGTTCCCAAAAGTTTGCACATGAGGTCATGCATCTTGTAAAGCAGGCAAATCATTTCCATGGCATTATTGCGAATGCTATTAGAAACCACAACCACTAACGAGAAAAAATCGATCCCTAAATGGTCTGTTTTCAATGAACTGTGAAAATTACACTTACAATGTAAATCTTGTTTTGAAATAAAAACAAATAATCTCCCTTTGGAGTGAAATATAGGCTTCACATGATAGATCTCTGAAACATCAATAACATTCTCTACAAAACACGAAATAATTTTCTGTTTTATGAGACAATGTCTCACTGGGTCTCCCAAAGGTACTAGATTGAAATTTCTGAAAAACAATTCATTTCCAAATCGGTCCAAAATAAAGAATGCATAAATTCTTTTCAATTCCGATAAGTAATAATGATCTTGGCACTGATAGAAGCGTCTTTGACAATATTTGTTTTGATTGTTTAATTTCATCAAGATGTGGTGACATATTTGATCCACATCCTTCAATACTTGTTTCTGCTCTCGGTTCAAGTACCATTGATTTTCCAAATACATGAGAGCGAAGTGCTCCGAATTCATGAATTTGTGCCAATGTTTACACACCAAAAACGGCTGAGAATTTCTGAAATCACTCATGCTTAGGAATCCCAAAATTTTACTCAAAACCAAGTCGTCCAAGGATGACATTTTTTCGTGTTGTCGGTTTTTCGCAAGTTCCAATTGACTGTCAAACATTCAATACAAAACAAGCTTGAATTGTTGATACGTGTATCATTCCAATGAAAAAACATCATCCTTTAAATTAATCCTCGAGTACGCAGTAGCGATCTTCCAAATAAAAAGTCTCTTTTTAGAATCCTGTTGGAATGCAAGGCCTTGAACTCGGCACAAAAAAAAACGTTTTTTTGTTGTTGAGAGTCCCCACCACACCATGCCACACCATCATCATCATCCGTTTCATCATAGACGCAGACCTTTGGGGGTCATCTCTTCTGGAGTCGCACTGGTGGTCATAGGTACGATTCTAGTCATCATTTCTGTCATTATAGGTGCTCTTTATGCGGCCTGTATTGCTGTTTCTGCCAATACATCCACCAGCTGTTCCGGAATAACCACTCCCATCGTTCTCGGGGTAGTGGGTATTGTGTTGATTGTGAGTGGTATTGCAAGTATCATTGGTGGTATTCGAATGTTTATTTTGATCAAGAACGTGGCCAGTGATGTGGCAAAGGATGAGATGAGCTCTGTGGTTCCAGTTGCCACGACCACGGTGATGACAACAACCGTTCAACCACAAGGAAACTATCAACCTCAACCAACTCCAATTTACTACAACAATGTACAACAGCCACAACCAATGTATGGATATCAACCTTATCCAAACAATGTCGTGATGGTGGGACAACCACAATTCCAACCACAACAACCTCAAATATCATATTCACCCTATGTACAACAACAACAACCAACAACAAACGTTTATCCAGCACAACCATATGCCCCACCAACCTATGATGCTCAAATGCAACCTTATTCAAGTGATAGCAAGGTGTAAACTCATGATTGCTCCCTTTTTATTCTCTTACCAGTTTTTTCTATAAATTATTTTATTGACATATTTGTAAATTGAGGATCTATAGTTAATCAATCATCATCTAACAATTGTGTAAATACAAGAAGCTATTGAGCAATTTAAGGTGTGTCATCCCAAATGGAACTGGGAGACGTAATCCCAACCATCTGCAATTTCAAAAACTCACCACGTCCAGAACTTCAACAGAAGTCAGTTGCGAAGCTTTGAAGCTTTGCACAACAAAACAAAATGTTCTCTCCCCAAAACGCTGACCTATTCAAGTCCTACAGCAAACTTGAGAACCACTATCGTAGTGAGTTCCTTCAAAAGATTCGAGAAAAGGACGCAAAGCTTCGAGAATTAAATCAACCTGTCGAATGGATTGCTTCCGAAAAGGTCCACGGCAGCAATTTCAGCTTTATCGTTCATTCCAACAACAACAATCAAACAGAAGCCAGTCAGACTGCAAACAGCAGCGACCAATTACAAATTACAATTTCCAATCGAACCACAGTGCTCGACAAGAATTTCACCAACTTTTATCCAGAGGCAATCGAAGAAGTTTGGCAAAGATATGAAAACAGTGCCAAGAAATTGTTTGTTTTGATCGCTGAAGAAGCACCCTCATGGTTTGTCAATAACTTGTCCTCAATGCCAGAAGAGAACGAGTCGACAGATTCTGAAAATGTCGCCACTTCGTCACAATCATCAAAGGAGTACATTCTCAAGAAAATCCACATTTATGGTGAATTGTTTGGAGGATGTTTTCCAAAACATAAAGTGACCAATAATGAAGATTCCACAAAGAGAAAGCACATTCAAAAAGGAGTCTATTATTGTCCTCATTATGACTTTTATGTGTTCGATGTGTTTTGTTCTTTTGAAAATGGAGAAGAGAAATGGGCTGTTTTTGATCATGTGGATCCATTGCTTGAGAAAGCTGATTTTAGAGTACGCGCAAAACCTCTCATTAGAGGAACCTTAGAAGAATGTTTGTCATTCGACATTGAGTTTAACACCACCCTTCCTCATTTGTACTATTCTGAAATTCTTGATGAGTTGAATATTCATTGGAAAGAGAAAGAAAATTTGTGTGAGGGTGTTGTCATTAAGGCAGCTAACAGAAATGTTCATGTTGGTGCCAGAGCCATCATCAAAAAGAAAAACTCCAAGTTTTTGGAGACAAATCCTGCCAAAACGAAAAATAGACAACCTAAAAAGGATAGATCAAAAGAGGTGTCTGAAGATTACGAAAATACATGGCAAGAGATGGAAAGATACATCACCATGAACAGACTTTCAAACGTAGAATCAAAAATTGGTACCATCACAAGGCATAATCTTTCACAAATAATGAAAGAATTTGTTTCAGATATCATTTGTGACTACAATAAGGATGTCACAAGCGAGGTGAATACCGATGATGAGACAACTGACAAGTGTTGCAAACCCTTGGACCAACTGGATGAAGCAGACCAAAAGAAAATAACAAAGAAGCTCTCAGAGACATGCATGTCTCTTGTGAAGAGGTATGTCAACATGCATAATTCAAATAAACAATAGCAAGGGAGATTAAAAGTGAAATGGAAGTCAATTTCAGGGAACAAAAAGCTTTTCAAATCAACTCGAAAAAAATGTTTCCAACAATTAAAACTTACACCGATATTCATGATTGTTTATTCTCAATTATTGGAGGTAATATGGATGATGAGTTATCTTCAAGAACCAATGATGAGTTTACAATCAAGAAGGAACAAGGCTTTATTTTCATCAAATATAAATCAGCCACAAGAAATACATTTCCAGATCCGGAGAAGGCTCGAGATGAGCATGAGCGATTAATCAGTAAATTACGAAGAGAATGTAGAGGAATTATATTTGAAGAGGAAACCAAAGCGATTGTTTGTAGAAAATTCCACAAGTTTTTTAATATCAATGAACGAGAGGAAACCAATATTGAGAAGATTAATTGGAAACGTGGATTCCGAGTGTTGGAGAAAATGGACGGCTCTTTGGTATCTCCAGTTCTAGTGAAGAATAGATCATCAGAAGAGCAGCATGGAATTAAATTTACTACAATGCTGGGATTTACTGAAATAGCTCAATTTGTCGATGATTATGTTTTTTCTGAAATGAAAGAAAGACAACGAAGAAATTATCTTTCATTTTGCAATTATTGTATTGAGAAGAAATGGACACCCTTGTTTGAATTTTGTTCGCCCAAGCAAACAATTGTTCTGGAATACACTGAAAGTACTTTAACATTACTCGCTATTAGAAAGAATGAAAGCGGAGAATATATGGAGTTCAATGAAATGGTAAAGCTAGTCAAACATAATTTCTCAAATGACATTCCAATTGTGAAAGTTTGGAAAGAATATCCACAAGGACTAAATGGAGATGCAAAAGGCCTTTTGAAAGAAATTTACTCGCAAAAACAAGTCGAAGGTTATGTCATTCGATTTAATGATGGAGACATGTACAAGGTGAACACTCATTGGTATAATAGCCTTCATGGTGTAGAGACCAGTGGAAAGTCTGTTCGTGATAGACATATCATTCTTGGAATTTTAGATAACACTGTTGACGATTTGATTGCTTGTACATTTTTTGCAGAAGATGGTAAGCGAAATGCTGCCCAGTTTTTCAGAGATGAAGTGGAACGAAAATTAGAAAAACAATTTTCAGTAATGAAAAAAGAACTACAAAACGATTGCTCGCCCGATTCAGTGACGGGCCAATTTTTAAATTTTCTGAAAGACCAACCATTACATTCATCGTCAGAGGTAGGAACAACTGAAGGAAGAGAAATGTTTTATACATTTCTCAAAGATAGGTTTAAGCTTAATTCAAGAGAATTTGATAAGCACAGAAAATTATTCTACAAATGGCTTAACATTGACTTGTCTGGCATTAAACCCTTCTTTTTCACAGAGCATGGCATTTTGACGGATCCAAAGGCTGAAAAATCGGATACTAGCAAGAGCAACGATCGGCAGACCCCAAAGACATCTCATTCCAAAAAGAAGAAATGAACACAATGTTGTTATATTCAATATTTACATTCATATAGTTCTATTGTGTCAATGGAGTTATTTTCACTTTCAAATTTTGTGGTCTCACAGTGATACCGCTCGATAACTTTACGACATCTCCATTTGCCTCATCATTCATTAATTCTAGTCGATACAATTGAAGCAATCTCGTCAACACCATACACGCTTCAAGTTGAGCGAATTTGAATCCAATACATTTTCTGAGAGACATGGAGAAGGGTACAAAAGAAAAATCATGTTGAACCTTACTTCTAAATTCGAGATCCATGAATCTTTCTGGATCGTACTTTTGTGGTTCAGGCCACAGCTCTTCATTCATGTGCACTCCGTAAAATGAACATTCCACCATGGTATCTTTTGGAATGTGATATCCACCAATAGTGACATCCTTATTGGCTTGTTTTAAAACTGTGAACACAGGTGGATGTAGTCTCAAAGCTTCCAAAATTACAGCATTGACATAGACCAATTTGTCAAAGTCTGTCGAAGTTGGTTTTTGTTTGTTTGGAAGCAACTCTTCAATTTCTTTACGAGCCCTCTCCTGAATTTGTGGATTCTTGGCAAGTTCATAGTTCACCCACAATAAAGTGGTCGAGGTTGTCTCTAATGATCATAATATTATTCATACTTTCATTAGTTACTTGAACTTGATCTTATTACAAACCTTCTCCAGCTAGTGTGAAAATAAAAGCATTACTTTTGAGCTCCAAGTCCGTCCATGCCTTTTCTTGCATATTTGCCTTAACCATCAAACTCAAAATATCCTTTTTGGAAAAGTTATCAAAATCAGTTTCAAGTTCTTTCTTTCTTTGATCAATACATTTGCCAAGAGCAGAATCCACCACTTCCACTGCCTTTTCTACTCCAGAAATTTTCATCATTGCATTCTCAATGAGTGTATGTGCAAAGAATCGTCTCAATATGAGACCACGATTGAAAATAATTTCAGTGGCCTCTCTGAGCTGTCGTCCACTTTCATCCTTGTCATCAAACATGCCAAAACTCAAACCAAATCCAGCTCTTCCTAACACTTCAATGGTGATCATGGAGTAGTCTTTTTCATCCAACATGAAGGATCGTCCATCTTTGGAGTTTTTCTTCAAACGTTCGTTCCAAACTTTTGAAAACAATAAATCTGCAGTGTTGACAGCCTCTTCACACATATAATTCAAGTTATCAATAGAAAATGCAGGAAAACAAACTCTGTGATGTCTCTTCCATGATTCTGTTGTTAGAGAACTCACAATATTCTCTCCAAATACATTAAACGTGTCATAGACAATGGCAGGTTTGTCAAAACAGGATTGTTTGGTCACAAATACTTCTTTCAACAGATTCCTGTTAGATATAATAATGGAATTGAAGTTCGAATAGCTCACTCGAAAAACACCATCCTTTCCATGTTTCTTGACGATATTCGAAATTTCTTCCCAATTTCCAAGGTAGAAGGTGGGAGCAAGGAGTGGAATTTTAATTGGAGCAAAGAGGACTTTGTTGGGGTTTAATGATTATTATCAAAATGATAATAATAATAATCAGAGAATGAGAGAATGAAATATTTTGTGATATTAATATGATGATGATGAAATTTGAAAAATTGAAAATGAATTCAACAACCATTCATGGATGTGTTCAAAATATAATTAGTAGATGCATGTTGTTCGAATGAATGAGATTCTCCTACCTTGCCATGTTCCGGGAATGTGTTTCACTTTGGATGCATGATTCCAGAGTTGAAAGGCCACATAAACAATCCATGCTGCGCTCAGCAATACAGCAATCTCCAGCACCAACATCATGTTGTTTTTTTTTGTTTTATTGAGAGTGTGAGGTGAGATGTGGAATTTTTTAATGTCGGAAAGTTTCCTTTCTTGGTCCGACCCATATTTGTCCGGAAGTGAAACGCAATCGAAAACCAATCAAAAATGTTGAGAACGAGTGTTTTGATTGTCTTCATCATGGCCAAGATTTGAGAGATTGTTTAAATTCCCTTGATGCAAGAAAACCATGAAACAAAATGCTTCCGAATCAAAAACCAAAAAGAATTCTCGAATTCAATTTTAAATTTTTAATATTATTAGTATTAACATTAAATACTATTAAGGAACTAATGTTCTCACAAATTTGTGACTCTCGTTGCTTACACATATTGTCTATTCTTGTGCTTGGAAATGGTATAAACAATAGTAATAATTGCAATTAATGAAAATAAGGTAAAAAGACATGCAAAAACAATTCCAGTCACCACTGCAGGGTACAAAGACGTGTCATAAATACTATGTGAAGTGGCACTAATCGTAAAACTCATACTACTCGAAGAAGGATAAACCATAATGTAAAGTTCTCTCGAGGTATACAAATAATTGGTCACAGTGAGTGAGCTTGTAAAGGAATTCACAATTTCGAATTGATCGTAATCGGTACTGCTTGGAAGAGAATCTTTTTTAACTTTCATGAAACCATATCCAGAAGTGGAATAAATCGACAATTTCACTGTCGTTTGTGAATACATGGAAACCTTAAAATATTTTTGTCCTGAATTGGAATCCACATAGGAAGAAATACTACCGCCAAGTGGAAGACGAGTAATGCTGCTACTTGGTGAAGATGGTGATGGCGATGGTGTCACCGTTGGCTTGGCAATAATGACCAAATAGTTACATGCTACTCCATTAGGAGTACAAGTCAATTGACCACTCGATGTCACACTATTGTACAAAATGTTGTACTTGGAATAGGAAGAAGAGGCACATGCACAGGTCAACGTGGATTTCAGAATGGAAATTGATTTACCATTCGAATCGGTGAAACCATAGAATGGATCAAAGTTGAAAATAAATTCTTGTCCAAGAGTGTTTGGAGGACTTCTTGAAAGGGAATAAGTAAATGATTTCAAAGCGACATATCCAGAAGGTAAGTAGGAAGAAGAATAACTACTTCCGAGGTAGTAATCACTCAAAGTAAAGTAAGGAGAAGTGTCTTGTGCCAAAACTTGATAAGGAAATGTCAGTGTGAAATATTGTTGTCGACTCGAATCGAGTGTATATTGAAAGATACTTGGACCTGTCACTGTAACACTCGAATCCATTCGAGGTGTCATTTGATAACCAAATACTCCAAAAGTCACTGAGGTTTGTGTCAAATTATTCAAAGTGAAGGCATTCATTCCTAATGGAGATGAATAAGTGTTGGATATTTGAACAAATTGAGAGTTCTCAAAGAGATATTGAACCACAGAAGATGCATACGTATTAACAATACCCTGTGGGAATATAAAAAGACTATCCATGGTCACGTTGTTCTTGTCAATACTATTCATATTAGTTGGATAAATATTGACTTGATAAACTCCCAACAAAGTCAATTCCAATGGATTGTAAGGTTTTGGAAAGTATTGAAAGTCAGATTTAGGTAATTTCAATGTCATGACTTGATAGGGAACAAATTGGGAAGAGAGATTTGGAGAATGGAAAACCAATCGAATTTTCGTATTGGCTGGAGAGGTCAAATCATAGGTCAGTATGGTAACATTGGCAGTGGAGATGGTGTAATTGAATCCAAAGACATTCGATGTTGAAGATGTTGTTGTTGATGATGTTGTTGAGGATGAGGTTGATGACAGAGATGTTATCATCGAGGTCATTGGTGGTTCCAAAAGATTGGCAGCACATTGGACACGACAGCCAATGGCGATGAAAACAAAGAAAAGAAGGAGAACAGCAAGTGGAGGAGCTGCACGGAGAGCTTTTAATTCGCCTCGTCGAGTCATGAGATGGTTTTGTTGTTGTGATGAGGGAGAAGGATGATGTCGAAAGCGCTTTCGCGGAGAGTCGGTGGTGGTGGTGGTGTTGAATTTTTTTGAAGTATAATTGTTGTGTGAGGAATATAAAGCGGAGTGACAGACAGCTAAAAAAGATTTTTTTAAGCGCTTGTCTGTGTAGTGTGTGAAATCCTTCCAATTGGTGAATTCTATTTGGATGTCCAATTCATTTCTTATTGCTGGATATGAAACTTTGGCTTTTATGGAGCCATATTCGGAATGCCTTGCCTCACAGGCCTCGCTACAAAGTTGAGGAAAGTACATGTATACGAATCACCGTTCATCCACATCATTGTAAGCCATGTCAAATAATTCACTTACAGGAAAGATGATCAGGAGATTTCAAACATCAAAAAAATTCCAATCACATCCAAAAGTGACACTCATTCTGTGGCACATGATTGTGGCATAACATGATCCGAAATATGATTGGACAAGCACTTCAAGATCCCTTTCTCATTGTGAACATAATTTCACATCTTCCCCTATTCTATCAACATGTTTTGAAACGAGTTTCTAAAACTTTCTATCAAATCATTCAAAACGATCATCATGATCACATCATGGAAAATTATTACAATTGTTCATCACTCGAAATGCATGATTTAAAACTTGTGGAATTAAATGATTATTTTAAATTCAAGTTACATTTCAAAATGCAATATCCCATTCAAGTTGCGACCTTGTTGAAGAAAATGTATTATTTGGATGATCACGAATTGAAATGGATGGATAAATATAGAAAGGTGGGAAAATATCAATTCATTTTGAATGATGGACATTGTTTGAGTATTCATTTAACACTTGTTGGATGTGACCATGTCACTTGTCAATATTTGCACGAATTGGAAAACCAATTCAGAGACCATTCTATCGAAAGTGTGAATTGCTTATTTTCTCAAATAGATTTTTCTGATGCATGGCAATACGATGTTTCATGTCATTGTTATCAAACTTCAGTTTCACATCAAATTTCACGACGAGTTTCACTTTTTCGCAATAATGAGCAAGTTGAAATTTGCATTAACAAGAAATCACCCAAAATCAAATCCTTGGAAGGGTTTAATGCATATTTCAAAAAGTGTGCAACAAATTTAGGAATTTGTGTGTCATTGCTTCCAAAAGCTGCAACCATTTCACATCAATTATTTACATCCAATGGTGAATTGGATTGGAATCAAGCTCTATTTGTATTTAGAAACAAACTCATTAGTACTTGTGAACCTACCCTATTAGCTCCTAGCTTGAATCCTTATCAAAAACATGAAATATGTACAGTTTATTCCTTTCTCTTTAATCCTGTGAAAAAACTTGCCTTAGACACTTATTTAAGGACAACAAAACCACAATTATTTATTAAGGAATATCAAAATTTTCTTCAACATGATCTGGTTCATCAATGCCAACATCGATTTCAAGAGCTCCTCGAAATTGCAAAGGAAAATGAACATGAAGTTCACTTTATTCTCTCCAAACAATTTTCAACAACCCCTCTTTACATTTTAGAAGAACTTGACGCATTGACACTTTCCAAACACAAAGAACTTTGTAAACAACTCAATGTGGTTCAACCAAAAATTGCATCCAAAAGAAATAACAAGCAGAAAATGCAACAGAAAAAAGAGATCAATTCCACCACTCATCAAGAAACAGACTTGTCTATTTATTCTTTTAAGAAATTTCAACTTTTTCATTGGAGAAATGATTTACTTTTAAAAGCGTTGAGTATCTCAGAAGAGGAATTTCACACTTTGAAACAAAATCAACTCTTGAAACATTCAAAAAGACAGCATGAGGAAGATTCAAATATAATTATTGTAGATACTTCTCGTGGAAAAAAGAAAAATTCTTCTTCATCTTTTAAAAACAGTTTCAAGCGAGTGGACATCCTCACGTTGGGAGATTTCAATCTTGCAACTTGCAAAGATTATTATTACAACGATTATTATTGTACGCAGCCATTTGATGAAGAGGATAATGACTTGTAGAACAAGGCTTAATCGTCATCTTCCAAAAGTATTGATGATGAACACTGTTTTCGAAAACAATAGCGCTGTCCATTATCAACCTTCATTTCCCATTACCAACAATTTCCATAAACAGCAAATTGCTGTTGTTCGGTGAACAGTTCCTCATTCGTGTTCACACAAACAAAAAATTTCAAACAATTTCATCCAACTTTTCTCTACACTATTATATTACAACAACAATCCATCCACACAAATACATATTACAACAACAACAATCTCGTCAATGGATCCCACAAAAGACTCTTTTCAACCACCAACACCAACACCTCCTCCACCACCTCCGTTCTCTCCTTCTTCTTACTCGGAAGAAGAAAAGACCTTCTCTTCAACAACAACAACGATGAGAATTCAAAGGCTTGAGAGTATCATTCCCATTCCCAAGCCTCCTCCGTTTTCACCCCAAGAAGAAGATGTTGATCCTTCTCTTCAACAAGATGATGAAAAGAATCCTACAAGAAGAATTTCTTCGGAAGATGTTGCAAAAAGTCATCTTCCAATAAGAACAGCAATAACAGCAACATCATCTTCTCAAGAAGAGACCAAGCCTCTTCCTTTTTCGTCATCTTCTTCTTCTTTATCGATGCATAGTGATCTTATCTCTGAATGCATGATGGCAATGAATGATGATATTACTCGTGTAACATCAGTGTTAGAAGAAAAGAAGAAGGAAGAACATGTGACAGCTGCTGCTCCTTCAAGAACGAATGATGATCATGATGGTGGTTTGGTTCAAGGACAAGAGGATTCTCGACTATTGACACCTCCAATAATGGAAGACACTCAGGTGTCACAATCACTGCCACCTGTCAATATGGTATCAAACATAGAACCAAATGCTGTTAATTATTCAAAATATTACAACTATTTCGGAGGATTTCATCCAGTCGATGCGACAGAGTCTTGTACAACAAATTCTTACCAACAGCAACTAACAACTCAACCCAAGTCTCAACAACCCATTGTTCCAAAATTGGACACCACACGATTCACAGAGGTCAACTCAGACATTCTTCCACTACAATTTGAAACTAGTAATCCTCAAGATGGAAATAAGAAGACCTTTTCCAAGACATTGGGTGGATGTTTTGCCTGTTGTTGTTTTGGGCCAATGCTCTGCTTGTTATGTTTTTTTTCCTTAATCGAATTGTTGTGCATCATTTTATATGAATATTTTGCATCACGAAATTATGATCCTAATCCAACACCGCAAGATTCAATAATTATTCCAATGATTTTAGCAGCTCAATTTATTACATTCATAGTGGTGGTATTGTGTGGAGTTGTTTCATCATTGGTAGCGACCTCTTCGGTGTGTGACACTACTCTTTGGAAAAAAGAAACGACAAGTAGATTTATAATTTCTATTTTAGCGTTTATAGCTTGTGTGTTGTGTATTGTATTGTTGTTAGTGAGAGGAGGAATGGAAGGATATACGACACAAGTGTTGGTCAATTACAAAATAGCACCAGCAACCCAGTCACAAAATTTTGGACAAGTGGCCACAACTGAATTTAATGTCATTCCATCTATTGTGATTGTTATCATGTTTGGGTTATGTGTGATTTCAGTAATATTGTGTGGAGTGTGTGGTATGGGATGTTTGTGTTGGTTTGGTTGTTGTTCCATTTGTTTGTATTCAAATAACAGAAAGAAAGAAAAGTATCAGTTTGGTAGGCCAACAACAAATCATACCAACACTTATGCAACTCGGGCAGTATTACCTTAATATTTCTCGAGATGTTGCTTCCAAAATCAAAAACTGTAGTTTCCCCGAAGCATGTGACTGTATGACAGCTAGCTAGTTATGTCCAAAGTCGAATGAACAAAATTTAATGATTTTGGAAAATTCTCACTCTCAGCGTAAAACCCTAGGAATTCATTACGTTTCCAATTATTAGGTGATATGTTGGATACGTGACCAAGGTAATATCATTTTGTGAGCTTGAAATTATTCCAATTCCATAAGAAAATAGTTGTGGAATAAAAGACACAATGTAAAAACTATAATTGCAAAAAAGGTTTTTCATTCAATCTCGTTTTCTGCACCTTTCTGTTTTTGAGATTCATTTTCACATTCTATCTTGGTCCCTATTTCAAAACTTGCTGTAGAATTCAATTGTTTCAATTCCTGAGCACCAAGAAAGAGCAATCCAAACACGACTGAAATTCCTAGAGAGATTCCACTCAGAGGATATGGATCAAGTTGTTGAAGACCAATCACTTGTGAAATGGCATTCGTTATTGTTGTCGTGTTATGACCCAACAAGAACAACTGCAGATGGTTCTTCTTCGTGAGGATCATGTCGAGAAGGCTCATCTCCGAATAGTGAAGTAGTGGTTGTTGTTGTTGTTGTTGCTTGGGAGGTCCGAACGAAGATTCTTTGTGTGTTGCTGGGTATTCAAGAATATGACTAGGAGAAGAAGCAAAAGAGAACAACTTGGGCATCATTAGCTTTCGGATTATATCACGAAAAGAGCATTCCGTGGAAAGAGAGAAGAGACTCACTTGAATTGAGGACAATGAAGAACATGATGATGAGAGACTTGTTGTTGTTTGTAAGGGAGCAGCAGACGACAAAGGCCTTTCATGCCCTGTTTTAGAAATTGGTGTGGTCGATGATGATAATAGGGTTGTGGCTGAAATAAACAAGTTGTTGTGGTGAGAGAGTGTTGTTTGAAAGATAACACCATCACTTGAATGGAAAGAATGAGGAGAAGCCTCCTGGTTGGCCCACTCTACTCAACTCGGAGAGATTAAAGTACTTTGATGCTGCCTGACTAAGTTGGATTCTAAGACTCACCTGTTATAAGGAATGGTTTTTGGGGAAACCCCACAAAGATAGGATGGAGTACGTGGAACGTATCAAAAAGGGTGTTGAATAATTCTTTGAAGATCATCGAGAGGAATGGAAGAACTGAACAATATATATAATATATATTCAGTAAATTCAATTATTAGTGGTCTGACCGCCAAAAAAAAGTGATGCTCCGACTCCTTCTGTTTTTAGAAAGTTTTGGAGAAACTGAACCGTAAACTGCAAAAAAATGGAATCGCCTTATTGTTGTATGGTATCGTCCGTCGAGTGTTGCTCATCATCTTTGAATCAGCACAACGGGCATCATCAGCAAGAGGATGTTGTGGTTGATGATCCGAAAATGATGTGGGAAGAATTCTTGACGAAATCAAAAACACATATCGCAAAAGAGTATGTGCGAGGTTTCTCGAACAGTAGGGCCCTCGACCAACAAAAAAGCACAACGCAGGAATGCGGACCAAGAAATACAAAAGCTGCCATGAGATGGAGAATGTTGAGGAAGTTTTTGTTGAGCAAACAATATAGAAATACAGAGCTCGAAGCCTCTTCTGCCACACGTTGCATATCGAGTTTTGGTTTGATCGAAAGGAAAGCGGTTGAACCACCAAAAGCACGAGATGGTCATATAATTGCATCACATTACCAATGGATGCAATTTTCGTTGAAGAAATATACATCAGGCAGTCATAAACAATTTTCCAAAAATTCTCGTGAATTAATAAGCATTGAGGTGAGGGTCAAAACCGATACAACCATGAAGGATTTGGAAATTGCAGATAAAGACAAGGTGGACAACACTGGAAATGTTTGTATGTGGCCTTCTGAAGAAATTCTTGCATATCATTGTATCCACAAATTAGGAGCTGAGTTTTTTAACGGAAAGAGAGTCCTCGAAATTGGTTGCGGGATTGGAGTGGCGGGATTGATGATCGCAAAAGCATTTCCATCAATTACAGAAATAGTATTGACAGATGGGAATGTATCAGTAGTGGAAAATCTGAGATATAATATAGCTCATCTTGTGCAAAATGGTGATTTGCTCGATGACAAAATTACGTGCTCTCAATTATTATGGCAAAACAATGCACAATTGGAGATGTTGGGAACATTTGATGTCATTCTTGCAGCTGACTGTTTGTTTTTCGAGGAGTACCACAACGATCTTGTGACCTTATTGAAAAAATCTGCAGACGGTAGACAGTTATCAGTAGTTATGTTCAATCCAAAAAGAGGAAAAAGTTTAGAAAATTTCATTTCTAAATTCCAACTTCAATCACCCCAGGCATCCGTGTTCATCGATGAGAAGTATGATGATAATATCTTCAATACTCATTTAAGATACGAAACGGAAAATGCGCTCTATTCTAAGGACAACCATTATCCTTTGTTGTTGGAAATCAAGTTTTAATTTTACCATATGGATATTGGAAAAATGTCTTCTATCGTTGAGGTTTTTGCGGTGTGTAGTCATAGAGATCAAATGCCTTATCCTTTAAAATAATTTGTAAAACACCCTTATCCTCACCAGGTTGTTTATCCTTGGACAAGGAGCGTTTCAGACACTTTTCAGAACGTGATCAAAGCTTATTAGACCTATATATCTACAAAAAACGGAATACTTACACTCCAAAATCGATATTCTTGCATTCCTTCGCTAACGAAATAAGTTGACATATTGGTTTCCACAATCTTTTTGTAAATGTCAAGTTGGTGCTCTGTTGTGAAGAGTAATGGTTGAGTTAATGCATTTGATGGAAGACTTTGATAACTCTCCCCAAATTGCTTGATAATTTCTGGGCTCAACGGTTTCACTTTGTGAGCTAGAGGAATAATTGCTCTTGAATATCCCTTCGCCTCCACAAACTCTCGAACATAGGTTTTGATGCTATACGTTAATTTTGATTCAATAATTTCATCCAATGACTTTTTGGAAATGGTTTTTTGTTCATCATTTAAAGAAGAAATCTTTGAAAGAGTTGTTAAAATTCTAGAAATGATGGCTTTAAGAACTAAAAATGTTTTAACTATAGACATGTGTAAAAATATTAAGATGACACTTACAGTGAAAGCTGTTGTTGGATGTATAACTGAACATTTTTTCACCATTCCAAAAGCAACATTCATCAGCTAATTCTTCTAACACTTTTGTGACCTGTTCCTGATTCACTAATTTCACTAAATCAATGATCGTTGTCACATTTTCCTTGCATCTCAATCCAACAGCTTCATTTGGATCGATCACAATGAAAACAATGTACCAGTGACTCATTTCCTAAACATTGTGCAAACACTTACTCACAAGAGAACAATCATTCCATGAAAGAATTCTATTACCGACCAGAGGCACCAGTTGGAAGAATGGTCCTTCATCTGATGGATCATAGTCCAAAATTCTCTTCTCAAATTGTGGATTGACACTCATCACTCCAATTGCAATATTTAGAAGGCATTCGGAATTCTTTGTGTTGTCTTCTCTCTTTCTATAAAAATACCTGTACTGAAAGCGTTGTTTAATGACATAATCTTGTGCAATCATTTCAATTTGTCGATTCGTTCGCTCACATTTAATAGCTTTCATTTTCTGAAGAAACATATCCTTTCGATCCAAATCTTTGAATGTTAACACATCATCGGAATAAGGTGACACACTGCAAAAGATATCTCCCAATACGCTGGGTTTTGTGTCTTCAACAGGACAATCACACTTGTCAAATATTTGATTTGGAAAAAACAATGACTTCATGAGAGCATCATCCTCAATGAGAGGAACTGATATGGATGCTGGTAATTTATACGTTTCTTGATATGAAGAATGTTGTTCGCCAACTTCTTCCTCCGTTAACAATGAAGATCCTAAAATTATATTTGTGGTGTTGTTGTTGTTGTTGGAATGAAGTGACGATGAGACGAATTCGAAAATATATTACTGCAGCAAATTTCCTACCTTTCTCAGCTCGTGATGACTTGAAGAGATTCCGGATGAACATTTTTTATGATGTTAATGACATTTGAAGCTCCTCTTCATGATGTGAAGTCTAAAAAATCCGTAAAAAATATGAAGGCTTCCTCCTCTTCTTCGTCATCATCCGAATCGGAAGAAACACTCGATCAACAAAAGGTATGAAAGTTTTTTGAAACAATGAAAGCATGTATGATACACCATTAAGATGACATGTTGTTGCTTGAATAATTCACACCAATGACTTTCAAATATATCTCAAAATATAATATATCATATTTGGAAAATGATTTTTGTTTGCCTTGATCTTGTCGATTATTATAATGACGATCCAATTTTATAAAAAAGATTCACGACTTGCTCGGAAGATGTTTAAAATTGTTTAATCGAGTATATGAACCTTTTTTAAAACAAGCTTTAATTGAACAATATGGACAAGAAGGTTGGCAATTAGCCGTTCAACAATCTTCCAACAAATTAGATATTGATTTCCCATCATCTTCAAAGCCGTTTTCTCTGAGTCGAACATCTCACGATGCAACACAAAATTGGGATACACAAAATATCATTTCTATTATTTTACGACATTGGAACGATTTATTTGCACAAAATCAAAGAAATTTAACAAATGCTGAAAAATCCTTTTTATTTGAAGTTCGAACATGTAGAAATAAGTGGGCACACCAAAACTTTTTCACGTTACGAGATACCTACCACTATGTAGATGCCATACAGCGATTAATTGAAATATTTCCAGAGAAAACTAAAGAAATTGAAGAAATTGACAAGATGAGAAATTACACTTTACTTTATTTAGCCAATGAAGTAAAACGAGCTCAAAAAAAGAAGGAAAAAGAGAAGGAAAAGCTCAAACGAGAGAAAACCTCGCCTCCAATTGAAACTACTTCTTCATTACCGAATATTAATATTTCTACGCAGAATACTTCTCAACTCATTTCTCAAGAACCTGTTTACTCCAATTTCCACGCCTCGTCACTCAATCATCTTCTTCATCCACAAGCACCTGCTGTACAAACGAAACATTATTCACCAGAACAACAACATTTAGTCCTTCAATTATCACAATATACTGGATTGACACACCAATATGCACTCATGTGTCTGGAGGAAGCTCAATGGGTACCACAAACAGCTCTAGAGCTTTTCACAAAGGCCAAAGAACAAGGTTTACTGCCGTCAGAAGCATTCATAGCTCATTCTCACCCTATGGCTAACCATAATAACATGACTTATTAGAGCGAAAAGAACATTTAAATATTCACATCTGATGAATGGATGGAGAAGGTTGTCAAATGAGTGCGATGTCATGAATTCCCAACTCCAAATTGTACGAATCGAGCTCCAATCTCTGTCAGAATCAAGTCAAAAAAATATGCTTCCTTCCCAACCTCAGCCATCATCAAGTAGAGACGATGGTGATGACACACACCAACAAGAACGCCCACCGGTCGATGTGTCTCAACTCATTCAAAATCGTATTCAAGTACATCAACAAACTAGAAAGCAAGCGCTCACCAACACTTTGTGTCATTTGTTGCGTCGTCAACGAGAGATGTCAACCACCAGTAGCAACACCACACCATCATCGGAGCAGGAAATGCCAAATGATGCTAACGACAAGAAAGTGGAGCAAGTACCGCCAGTTGTAGAAAACGGTGGTAACAATCTTGCTGATTTATTGGTTCCGCCAAATCAAACAGTTGAACTTGCTGGACAAGGCCATCAAGAATTGATGAAGAATGAAATGAGTCATATGATCGAAAAGCTCAAACCTATCTTTCTTAATCCGTCAGTTGCACATAAAAGTGCCATGGCTTCGTATGGGATCAATTCTTTAAGAGGTCTTAGACACATCTTGTTGCTGATTACGAAGTTTCACATGATGCCAAATCCATCCATGTTGAAATTGGCTGTTGTTTTAGAGGCAAGATACGGATCCTATTCCAATGCTGAATTGATTTTCGTTTTGGCATGTCAATTATTCGAAATGGGAGCCTTTCAATGGAACAACGCTGAAGATGTGACTGAATTGGCAAAAATACTTTCCTTGTTAGCAAGACATGCGCCTTCCCCTGATTTGGCTCTCTACTATTTGCATGAATGTGAACAGATTGCTCTCGAACAGAAAGTAGAAACACTAGTAACACATGTCATTCTTGCTTGCGTAATCTTCAATCTAGTTATTTCATGGCAATGTGACACATTCGAAAGTGAAGAAGAGAAGAAAAGCATGCACGAATTGAAATTGATCATTGGACATTATTTCAATATTGCAAAGAATCGTCCTGATTACCAATCAGGAGATCAGGTAATTCAATGCATTGAAAAAATGTACACAAGAAAATCACTTCTTGCTCATATTTCTCAAGAATCTGAAGAATTTTATAATGCTTCCAATGCTTTAAATCAATTCGCAGATGATGATGACGATTATAGCGATGTTGGCACAGTCATGAGCTATTCGTCATGCATGACAGAAAACATTTCTCTTTCACTTTCTTACCATGCAGAGTCAAGAAAGAGGATTAGAAATATCAACAATATAGACATTCAAAAGTGCATCAAGTATGGTACTCGTGACATCAGTAGAGGGAAGATTAGAGTTTGTGATAAGAACCTTATTGTAGTTTTCATGGTCAAGAAACAACGAATTCCTTTTATTATTACTACACTCAAGTGCAAAAGTAGAATAGATAACTTAAGACATTGGAAAGAACAAGAGACCAAAGAACAAAATGGAAGTGGTGAATCACTCATTGCAGAATATTGCGACTATTTGATGACTAGTGTTTTCTTTGGACAATGTGACCAAAGCTGCGAGCAAGTGCTTGACATGTTATTGGAAATTCCTCCTCAAGAGCTAAACAATGATGAATTGGAAATTCTTAAAGATACTCTCGAGCAATTGTTTTGTGATGGAATGCCTGCTTTCTATTTGTTAGAAAAGGTCCTTAAGGTCATGATGCATTTTGGAATCAAATATAACAAATAATTTGAGATGTTCAAAAGAATTGCTTAAATTATTCAAAGACACTTATTCTCCAATACTGTTGCTCATGTCAACTTTGTAATCGTATTTGATTAAATGAAATTTGAATTTACAAGCATACAGACAATGTTCTTTCAATTGAATTGGGGAATCTGTGATTTTATTGACTACCGGTCACTATAAACAATACCTCCTATCCTAAGGATTACATCACTTATTGTTTATGGACATTAACAGTGAAAAGTTAACGATCTTGTTTGATCATTTATTCTTCTTTATGATGCTCCTTCTTATTGATGAATGACATCAAAACATTTACAACAAGAAAACTCCAACAGTCATCATGGCGGCGGCGACAACGACAAAACTTGTCATCTTTTGAACAACAGCTCCATTCCAACAATCAGTGGTTGGAAAACTATCACAACCGCTCGACGTTCCAAAACAAGCGCTTGCCAATCTTTCACATGCACTCTTACACATCACCAAAGAACCATTCACATTCACATATTGTTGATTCTTTGGATCACAAGCGGCACAGAGACCCATTTTCGTTTGATCATAACATTGTGTGGAAATCATTTGAGTAAATGAAGCGGCAAGTGAAGCAGAAGCATCTTGAGCAGCAGTGCAACAGGAAGCAGTGGCTGAGCAGAACGTACAAGAAGGGCAAGGAGCTGGATCAGCGAAAGGTTTGAGATTCTTGCATTGTTGAGCCAAGCAAGAAGAGTCAAGCAAAACAACGAGAGAAAAGGCAATAATAACGAGCAAGGAGGTGGAACGCAGAACCAGTTGAGGTTTTTTGGTGAGAATGATTTGTTTTTGAGGATGTGAAAAACAAAGAAACTGTTGAAAATTTTAAATTGTCCAAAGTTGTGATGTGGCTATTCGAAGGGTGTGGAATACCTTTAAGGTTAGACGTGTGGAAATAGGCCTCATGACATATTGAGGCCCATTAGACTGATAAGATAACTATTCAGTTACTACTTAATTTACCAAAGGTGGAAAGCACTTCCATTTGAAAGCAGTTTAACTTCGAAAAGGGAAAAATTCATGTCGAACGTGTCCAAGACATCTAAAGACCAGTGATGATGAACTGTAGATGGAATACAACGTTATCATTGCTACAGTTGTGGTGTTTCAACTTTCAAAATATTCAGAAACTGTTGGATAGATCTCTTCAGCAGCCATTATTCAAGGATGGATTAAAGTTTGCTCATTGCCAATGTTCCTTTCCCTAAACATCAACGAACTCATAGCTTTTCAGAATGCAATAAAGTGGTAGCTATAGAGAGAAATGAGAGCTGAATAGCATCTCTGTACATTGGAGAAAATCCTGTCGTTTCAAAGTTCTATTCAGTATATGGACAGGCATTCCATTTCAGTGAAACACGTTCGAACTATTATACTATTAGAAATTTATTATGATGAACAACTAGAATATAAAGAATTGATCTAGTAGTTTTTTCACAAAATCACATGGTGGAAGAAAGATGATGAACGAATTGACACCACACGAATTTAGGGTATATATTCTAAGAATAGCGGTGACTATTAAGCAAACAGTTGACGAAGAGGATTAAGAAGAGCAAAAAAACATTTTCCTGAATCTCTTCTTTTAAGAGACACTAAATTGCAGATTAACTATATAGAGACAACTAATTAATTACTAAATAGAGAAAAATGATTTGTCATTGATTTTAAATTGGGTACAAAACCAATTCAACCTTTGGGGTGCTGGTTGATTGGTACGGAGTCTCTTCTTCGACTCTCGGAGAGGATAATGTAAACAGGTATTCCTCGATGTCACAGTTATTACCGTGTTCTTCCCTTCTTCAAGCCAATCAAAAAAGAATTAAAAATAAAAAAAAATGTTGCGCCAATGCTCAAAGACGCTCTCCCGTAGATTAATTTCATCAAACAACAACAACAATTATGGTGTGATCAGCAAGAAAGTCATTGGATCATCATCGGCCAAGAATGATTTATTCGGAAAGCATTCTCTTGGTTCTATGATGTTATTTCAGAATGAAATGACTTCCAAGATGATGATGAGAGGCTATCAGTTTAATGCAAAGGAATTTACTGTAGGAGGAAATATTTCTACTCATGGTGCTATTCCTGGTTTACAAATTTCTAATACTGAAAGCTATTCCGAGAGATTGAGAACTACTTTGTTGAGTGTAAGTAGAGAGACTATGGTGTACTGTATACCATTCTTGAAATTCAATATGATCTTGGACTAATCTTCAAATTGTAAAATATTATGATCATAATATTTAATAATTGTGTAAACTTGAAAATTGTTTGGATGTGATCTTTCGAAATTTGTAATGATCACCATCGATTGTGCCATTCCTTTTTTTCATATGTGAAAATCCATGATCAAATGGAAACAATTTCTCAAAACAGCCAATTGTCATTGTTCCTCACGCTGAACAATGGGTTGTCGAGCGCTTTGGACGTTACTGTAAAACCTTGGACAGTGGTATCCATTTCTTAATTCCATTATTGGACACCATTGCTTACAAGCACACAACCAAGGAAATTATTTTGGAGGTTAACAAACAAACAGCCATTACTAAAGATAACGTACAACTCAATTTAGATGGTGTCTTGTACACTCGTATTACTGATGCATACAAGGCAAGTTACGAAATTGAAAAGCCATTTGTGGCCATCATGAACTTGGCTCAAACAACCATGCGTTCAGAAATTGGTAAAATCACACTTGACAATACATTTGCAGAGAGACAACATTTGAACGAGAAAATTGTGCAAGGTATCGAAAAGATTGCATCTGGATGGGGTATTTCAATTCAACGTTATGAAATTAGAGATATTCAAGTCCCATCTCAAATTAAACAGGCGATGGACCTTGAAGCTGAAGCTGAACGTAAGAAAAGAAAGACTGTCTTGGACTCTCTTGCTGAAAAAGAGGCTCAAGAAAACGTTGCTAAGGGTCGAAAGACTGCTGTTGAATTGGTTTCTGAAGCTAACATGATTGAAGAAATGAACCTTGCAAAGGGTAGGGCATTTGCTGTAAAAGCTGCTGCTGAAGCTTACGCAGAAGCCATTGAAAGATTGGCTGCTGCTATCTCCCATGAAAATGGAGAGAAAGCTGTTGCATTGAAGATTGCAGAAAATTATATTGAACAATTTGGTAGACTTGCTAAGGCTGGTAACACTGTGATTATTCCATCCAATGTCAGTGATGTTTCATCGCAAGTGACTCAAGCCATCACCATCTTTGACAAGATTTTCAATCAATCCAACAAAAAGCTTGAAATTTCAAAGGACGAAGCATTATTAAGGCTAAAAGAAATGTCTGGAATTCAAGAGCCAACTACTGAGACAAAGGCCTCCACGACTCCAGCTGAAAAGCCAGCCACAACCCCAACTTCAACTGCAGCTAAAAAGTAAATGAACTCACTCTGGAATTTTATTTATTTCATAACACACACGATAGAGATTTTTTATTCAGGAATTGTTGCCAAACTACTTCATCATGTAGTATTTTTCTTTTTTGAGTGGATTTTGTTGAACCTTACAGTGCTTACGAAGCATGGCTTCCATTTCTTGATGAAGAGATGATTCATTCTTTGTGGCTGGGAACAATTCTGCAAGATATATAAGCAACTCATTAAATGTCCATTTAGGTTTGCACGTAAACATTTTCGAGAGACGTTCTTTGAATTGAGATGGAAGCGATCGTCGATCGAGGAAATAAAGCATTATACTATCTTGAGATGCATTCTTTTCCTCCTCCACCGTCACACAATATCCTTGTGAAATAAGCGAAGAAACTTCAGGATTTTTAAATCCTTGCAATTGCTGAAAAGAGCTCAAAGATTCATGCCAAGTATTCTGAAAGTCTTGAAGTCTCCACTTGTTGTGAGAAGAGAATAGAGAAATTGCATTGAAAATACAAATTTTGTCAATATCAATCTCTACAGTGTTGGAGAATAAATTAAGTGTATGTTGTTGATCATTTCTATCCCTGACGGATATTAATTGTAGACAATGTTGAAGCAAAACAGAATCATAATCCTGACTTAGTTCTTTGTCAATTGACTCTCGATCAAGAATAAGCTTATCTGTAAAAGATGTCTCGGCTAATGTCAAGAGTAGCAACTCATAAATCTGGAAGAACAACTTCTGATCCAACAAATACCATCGTTGACTCTCATCATCACACAAGGCATTACATTCGTGAATTAGACAATCCAGAATCTCTTGACGACTCGCTCGAATACACGTTTCTAATTCTGCCAATGTCATCGCCTGTTTTTGATTTTCGGCACGAAATTTAACATTTCCAGAGATTGAGTTCAACGAAGAAGACTTTGAGAGCTCGCTCAAACCATTCTTTGGATAGAATGGTAGAACTTTTTCAACTTCTTCTCTCACTCGGACAATGGTTGGTGTGACCTCATACATGCATGACACTCTTCCATGAATTTCTCCACTATTGGGATCGAAAACAAGTACCGTATTGGAGGTATCCACTTTTGTGATATCAAAACTATTGGAATCGGTGCATAAAATTGCAGGAGCCGTTCTCTCTCCTTTAATATAAAAAGCAATTGGTAAATCCTCAACACTATTTTCTATTTTCAAAAATTGTTCATCATTTTCATCTTTCATTTGATTGGCGTCGTCATGAGTCATCGGATCATTAATTCCATTTAAAAAGTTTTCAATATCAAATCCTTCCGGAAATTCAAACACTCGATACATGGGTTCATCTTCCATGAAATGATCAGAAAAATACAATTCGAGTGAGCTCATTGGATTACTCAAAGAAGCCGAAACTTCCTTGATGGTGGGTGTTGCTGGTTCAGACATTTTTTTTAAATAATGGAGGCAGTTAAAAAGAGCGGGTCTTTTTGAACAACCGTTTGTCATCAACAGGTTGTTCTCACCTACATGTTGAGGTCAACATGAAGAGGTTCCTGACTATGATTCATGAATAGATCTGATCGCAGCGGAGAGGACTATCAAATTTGTTCTTCTTTTCACAACTTCATGAATCATGTTGAAGTTTAAATTGGGAGTTGCGAATTCAAAACATTCATCAGTTTAAAAAAAATGCCATCGAGCGCATCTTCACCCACAAACTCTGTAGCTTCTTCTTCATCGGGGTGGTCTTCTTCCTCGCGTACTCAAAGCCTTTCGGAAGAGGAGGATCACGAAGAAATGATGAGTATGTATGGAAAACGATCATCATCATTGAAAGGAAATGTCCCTCAACAACAACACTATGATGATGGGACACGATGTAGGAATTGTGGAGCTTCATTGGAATTTGTTGATTCGGATGGTATTTATGGTGATTGCTGTACGGAATGTGGAACAAGTATTTCATCATCGGTTGGTTTTCAAACTAGCTCTATTTTCAGAGAAGAGATTGAGTTTGATAAGGATGATTCTACGAAACTTGGTCGTCATGTTTCCCATGATGAAGGATTGATCGGTGCGTATATTTTTGCCACAGCAGAAGATCCTAATTCTGTCATTCAGGGATTGAGTTCCAAAGCTCAAGCTCGATTACAACGTCAAATATCGGCCAAGCACAAAGCCGAAACACGAGCACAAAAACTTTTAGCTGCTCTGAATGTTCCACAACGATATTTACCAGAGGTAATGGATCTAGTTTGTAAAATGGCAGAACGACCGAATGATGAGATTGGAAAAAAGACAACTAGGAAATTACATAGTAATGATATAGTAGAAGACACAGCAGACAACAATTCCATAATTTATAATTTAAATACAGGCGAACATGTGCTAGATCAAGACGAGGATGATTTAGAGGTTGATTTTAATGATGAAGCTACCTCTCCATCCAAAGAATGTAAGCTTGAATCTAGTGAAGAAAACAGCCCCGAAAGAATTTTTGATTTACCGGATTATTCTAACACTAACGCGTCACCTTCTATTGAAGGTCAACGTGAACATCACATGGCACTTCTCAAAGAAAAGTTTAAGACAACTCTCTACTCTAACAAGACATCTAATACTCAAGAGCAAGCTAAGGAAACGGAGGATTCAACATCTGCAAAATTATTACGATATACACGAACAAAGTGGATAGACGGGATTATTTGTGGATCGATATACGTTGTTTGTCGACGTGCTAAATTACCACTTACTCTTTTAGATCTTTCAGAGGTCACAGGATACAGTATTTTTGAGCTGGGAAAGAAATACAAAGCAATTTGCCATAATTTTGGAATTCAAGTCGATCCTCTCGATCTAGAGGTGTTGTGTGATAGAATGACCAATGAATTTGAAGATTTTTTTTTAAATACAAATGGTAATGTGGACATGAAAAAGAAAACAGATGTAAACTTGAGAATGAGACGCATCATTAGAGTAGCCATCAAAGAATGTCTAGATACCGGACGTCGACCGGTAGCTCTTGTTGGAGCTGCTCTGATAATGGCCATGCAATCATGCTCTATCAAATTAACCTGTCGGGAAGTTGCAGAATTTACACACACAGGTGAAAATACGATACGAGAAAGATATAAGGAATTGAAACAGTTATTACTTAATCTTTCAAAAGAATTACCTTTCCATCACGAAATTTGTGCCAAAGACGTATCATTTAATCGATATTTATCCTTTATATTGGAACATGTAGAAGCGCTCAGAGATTTACATCGAACGAAAACAGAACTCGATCCAGATTCTCCTACACGTCTTTCTGATACATCGTCGACCTCTTTTTCCACTGTAAAATCTGAAGACCCTTCTCAGATCATACCTCAAGAGGTTCTCAAATCTAGTCTGCAACGACTTGACACCATGACAAAAGGAAAACTATCCAAAGAAATTGCATTAATTAATTCACAAATTTCCGAATCTTTACCTCCCTCATTCATTATATCTCAGCTATGTAAAGAAAAGAGAAGAGAAGCTGTGCGGCTTGCCAAGCAACGAATTCAGCAATCAATGACGAATAATTTAACAAAACAGGAGGATGACAAAAAAAGCTTAACAACTTCACCAGTTTCAGCAGAAGTTTTAGAAATGGAAAAGTTACTTCTTGAGGGTGTGCCCGAAGAGGCTCTTATTTCTGGACAAAGGCACACGAGCTCGATACCGTATTACATTGGGAAAGAAGGCGTAGATACAAGTGAAGAATTAACAGATATGGATATGTCACAACAAGAACTAAACTCTATGATTCGGAGTAAGGAAGAGGTTGAAATTATGATGGCTATTCGATCTGAACTTGGCGACGACGTGGATGCTGAACTGTCTATCAAACAAGCTCAAAAGAAGAGAAAAAAGGAAGAAGAGGAATCGGCAACAGTCTCCTCAAAGCTAATGAATCCCTCGAAGAAAAATAAAAAGTAGCGAGATTCTTGTAAATACTAGATCGCTAAGTAAGTGTCGCTTTTATTCGTTGAACTCGCGAGTGAACGAAGGCATTTCTTCAAAGCGGTTAAGGAAATTTTTAATTTGTTTAATAATAATTAAGCCTATTCAACAACTTCTTCAGTTGTTTCAATCACTTCTTCAACTTCTTCCATATTATACTCGTCAGGATCATAACCCTTGAGAGCAATCAATTCTGGTTTCATCTTCTCATATTGAATCTTCAATCTGGCCATAACTTCCTCAAACTCATCCCATGCCTTCTTTCTTTTTCTGAGCTTTTCGTCACGCATGGCTCGAGCAGCTTCAAGTTGCTTGGTTTCAATTTCAACTTTCTTTTGAGGTAATCTCTTTTTAACTTCCTTCTCCATGGCGTTGGTAAGGAGAGATGGAATTCTTGGTCTCCATTTGAAAGAATGAAGCTTATCAACGTGAGCTTGATGCATGATCTTACCAAGGAAAGTCCAAATGATAAAACCATTGTCATTAGATCTTCGTTCAGCACTAACATATGAAGCAAAGTATCTTCCGGATGGATCCCAACATGCATCAGTCATTGCAAAGTGTTCACCAGTACCGATGAGTTCTCCTTCATCAGCATTCCAGAATTCCAATGTAACACTCACCAACTTGGTATTGGCGAGTACCAAATCGTGACCACGAGGTGACCAAAACATTCTGTTAATTGTCTTATTTTCAGCCTTTTTGATAAGTTTGTTGGTTGCACCCTTGAATGTGTACAAGCTGAAAGATTTCTTGACGTTACCAGGACCATGAATAATTGCTAACGTGTCACCAACAGGTTCAAATTCAAAGTCATCCACACAGTCATTGAAATCTGTAACACTTTCAATTGGGAAGTTCTTTTGATTGACTCGCATAATATCAAATGTTGTTGTCGTAACTTTTTCTGTTGAAACTGTAGATTCACGGCTTACAGCGATAGCAATGTAATCACCAGCTTGTTGCCACCTCAACTTAATGTCTGTTACATTATAGTATGGCTTGGACTTTAAATCTTTCACAATTCTTCCGACGTCAACCAAAGAAACGGTACCTTCACCGTTTGACTCATTCACAGCTGAATAAATCAAGAATGACTTTCCTTCTGGGTTAAATGCAAAATCTCTGACACCTGGAACAAGGTATGGCTTTCCGCCAAGCAATTCCATTGTTGAGGAATCAAAAATGTGAATACAGTCTTCACCCAATCTTGCAAAGTACTTTTCGTCTGCGCTCCACTTAAAGACAGGTCCTCTAAGATTACCCTTCAATTGGATAGACAACCCTTTTCTTTGTGCTCTCAAATCCCACAAGCTGGCTCTTCCTGGTAATTCGCTTACAGTAACAGCAAATGACTCTTTTGGAGAGAATTGAACGCTAGTCACCTTCTTATGTGACAATGAGTCTTGAAGTGTGAATTGTGGACCACCCCACAAGGCAGCACCTTGCTCGTGATATGTAACCAGATAGGATCCCAATGGAGAAAAATCAATATCACCATCAGACCACTTTTCTTTCGAATAGACAATTTCCTTCAAGTGAAGTGGATCGTTCCAACAGATATCAACCATGTCTTCATAACTCAAGGCATATTGACTTCTAGCCTTTTCATCCTTCAACCAGCTTACCAAATTGTCTCTTTCTTTGTATTGCTTTGAGTGTTGTTGTTTTTGTTGTTGTAGGTATGTGTTCTCATCAAATTTGCTATATTTGTCTACATCAGCTGCTGAAATTCCGTGCAATGTAAACTTGGAAAATTGGAATCCCTCGACACCAGCAATAACCTTCTTAGCTTGCTCGGCACTCTCTACTTCAACGAAAGCCATTCCTTTGGACTTTCCATTGCTATCATATGGAATATAAAAATTCAAAACTTTGGCTTCTCCCTTCTTCTCCACAATTTGCAATACCTTTGACTTTAAAGCCTCTTCCTTTGCTTGTTCAATAATCGGTAATCCATCAATGATAACCACATTTGATACATCTTCATTCAATGTTACTTCAGGTTCATCAAAGATAAATTCGTCCATATTGAAGTCTTTATCACCACCACGTGATGATGATGATGCGGATCCACCATAATGAATGGTCTGTGTGGTACTCATTTTTTTATTTTCAACAACAACAAAAAATTCAATTTTATTGAATCTTTCATTACAAGCACTTCCACCTTGAAAGTAATTCTTTTTCGGAAGAAGACTCATCATCAATAGTATCAATATCAATAACAGGTCGGCTTTGCTGCTGCTATAAACTGGCCATCAAGTCTTTGGTTGATTTTGAAATTGAATTGTGTAATTTTGGAGATCTCTGATCATCAGCCATATCGGTACATCATCACCACAAAACGATGACAAAACGTACCCATGATGCTTTGTTGGATGAGCCATTGATTGAGAATGTCCAGGATGAGGAAGGAAATGCGTTACATCTGACATCATCCGAAATAAATAATCCAAACACTTCCGTGAGGGAAGCCAATAAGGATGATACAACTTCAACCAATAATCATCATCATGAAGAAGAGGATCCAAAACGACTCAAACCATCGAAAGGAAGTCTCATTGATGAAAGAAGCTACCAGTGTCCCTATCTTGACTCGATTAATCGGAAAGTTCTTGATTTTGATTTTGAGAAGGAATGTTGTGAGACTTTATCAAACACTAATGTGTATTGTTGTTTAGTAGATGGAAAATTCTTCAAAGGAAAAGGAGAGACCACTCCGGCATTTATACATGCTCTCAATGAGGGGCATCACATCTTCATGAGCTTGTCAAACGGAAAGATTTATTGTTTGCCTGATAATTATGAAGTGATTGACCATACGTTGGATGATATTCGATTCAATCTCAATCCAACCTATTCCGAAAAGGAAGTACAAGAAATCGACAATCAAACGAGAGTATGTGTTGCGTTGAGTAATGGAGCAAAATTTATTCCAGGCATTGTAGGTCTCAACTCCATTAAGCAATCGACCGATGGTATCAATGTGGCCATTCAGGCACTTTCCCGTGTGAAAAGCGTTCGTAACTTTTTCCTGCTACATCAAATTAATTTGACCAAAGTGAAATCTAGGGCCGTTTTATTATTGAGAGAACTATTGAGGAAAATGTGGAATCCCAAAAGTTTTAAAAGCCATGTAAATCCTCACGAATTTGTACAGACCATTCTTCAAAATAACAAGCAATTCAAATTAGGAGAAAGTATAGATCCTGTCCAATTTTTCACATGGCTGCTAAACTTTCTTCATACTGAACTGACAAACAATCAACCCAAACAAGAAAGTATTATTTCTAAAACATTTAGAGGGAAAATTATTGTCACTTCAACCATTATACGGAGAAAGAAAGCCTCGGCAACTGATTCTTCGTCTAATCCTCAACATAACGAGGATGACATTACTTCCCAATCCAAAACACCTTTCATGTATTTGACTCTAGATGTTCCATCCACACCACTATTTAAGGACGAATATGCACGAAATATTCTACCTCAAGTCTCACTGTTTAGTTTACTTTCTAAATTTAATGGAATGAAAGAAACAGCCATACCTCTTAAGAATGGAGATGTAGAAATGAGGAGATACAAGATTGAAAAATTGCCACCTTATCTTGTTTTTCATGTAAAGAGGTTCTCAAAGAACTATTTCTTTGAAGAGAAAAACAATACTGTTGTCAACTTTCCTCTCAAAAATCTAGATATAAGTGAAATTTATCCATCTGGTGCGGGTTCAACCTACAACTTGGTTGCAAATATATGTCACGAGGGAAATATTGGGGAAGGCACACCTTACAAGATTCACATTCACCATACAGCAGAGGACAAATGGTATGAAATTCAAGACTTAGACGTCAAGGAAGTTTTACCAGAAGAAGTATCGATTTCTCAGAGTTTCCTCCTTATTTATGCCAAACAATAACAGGTGATCGAGAAATAGTTTTAAAAAAATAATTAAAAAAAATTGACTTGTTCCTAGTTCAGCATGTCGTTTTTTTCAAAGAGAAAAATGGGAAATACGACAACACCTCGTGGAGCAACTACTGGTGATTTCAATATAGAGGCATCATCAAACTCTGGAGCCCGAAATTACGTGCGTATTTTGCATCAAATTGTTTAACAACTACAATGTTTTGTTTTTCATCAAAATCATTTGTAATCATGAATTTGAAAATAATATTATTCAAATTATTTTAATGATATTTCATCCTCTGACTTCCGTGAACACCATTCAACACTCTCTAAATTTAATTAAACACAATTTAGTGGTCAGCCAACAAAAATTACGACATTGATCATTCAGATACCAATTTGCAATTTTCACAATACGTGGCTACTCCCACTTCTAATCTCGCACAATCCACTGGAGAGAGAAACACACCAATTCTTTCGAAAGGCAGTGTACTGTTTCCAACAACCACCACATCAATATCTCGTACGAGTTCTTCTCGTCCGATCACTGGCACAACAACCAGCAAAACTCCTAGCTCAACAAGAGAAGTCACAAAGCCGACGATCATGTCCAGAGATACATTACCGCCTCAACAATCAACGGGCGACATGATGTTTCAACAATACGATCAACAAGTTTATAATAATTCCCTTGTACCACCACCTCAGCAATCGTCGGGATACATACCAACAGAATCGCCTGAGAGTTATTTGCAAGCACTACCGCAAATTGTGTTCACTTCACCAGTGCAACCACAGTCGAAAAACTCTTCGGTTTTTACCAAATCATCACCACCGATTAAAGAGAGCTTTTCAAGAAATTTTGAGGAGAGTTCACCACAAGCGTCTAGAATTCCAAGCAACTCAAAGAAATCTATAACCAAGCCAGTTCAACCAAAAAAAGAAACAAAAGGAGACGAAGAATATTCCACAAAACTTGAAAAAATTCTACAACCCTTATCGATTTCTGTATACATTAATTTTGAGGAAAAGAATATTTTCGCAACCATCACTGAGATCTCCACTGTGACAGAGTTGAAAACGTTGGCAAAAGAAAAATTTAACAAATTACAAAATGAGGACGACAAGAATATTGAACTCTATTATGACTCGGATCAATTGAAAAATATTGGCGTGACAGATGACAATGCAGTCAATGTTATGAAACGTACTTTCAGTAACAAAGTCAATGAGATTTCTGTTCTTAGAGTGGTATTAAATAAGCCATTACAACCTATGAATGAACCTGTAGAAATACCATACAAGTTTTCTGTAGAATATGTAAATAATGTATTTCAAACATCAACCAAGAAATTTATCATGAAAGTTTCAAGCATAGAAACAATTTCCTCGTTTATCGCCAAGATTGTTGAGCGTTGTGATTTTCCTCCAGGAAAGGATTTATATTCTTTACAATTTTTGGACAAAACTTTTAATCAATTTATTGACATTCAAGACATGGAAGAAATGGAACTGGATCGACAAGGAGTGAATGAACTCAAACTCAAGAAAAACACAACCATTGCCAAAAAAGTGGGAGCAGATAGTATGGCCAATTATTCTAATGCTTTCGTTGGCGTCTTGATCAAGAATAGATATCTGGCAACAGATATTCTAGGAAAAGGAGGATATGGCATTGTGATTGGCTGTGAAGATACACTCACAAATGAAAAGCTTGCCATTAAATTTATTCTCTCCAGCAATGATCACCAATATGAAAAAGAGGAGGACACAATCAAAGAAGAAGAGAGCGCAAAAAGAGAAGCCACATTTATGAAAATGCTCCAACACGAACATATTGCAACAGTGAAACAAGTTTTTACATGGAAAGAAGTTTTGGAAGAAACACCAGAATTTAGTGGCAATGTGTTATTCTCTCCATTATTATGTATTTTAATGGAACGATACATGTATGGAAATGTCATGCAAACCATACTGATCGATCAGGGTAAGAAAGGACCTATTCCTCTGAAACTTGTTTTCCAAATTATCTTCCAAATGGCCAAAGCTGTTTCTTTTATACATGCGCAGAATATTATTCATAGAGACATCAAACCACATAACATGCTCATTCGATCGTTTGATCCTTCAAACAATGAAATTCATGTCGTATTATCAGATTTTGGAACAGCTAAATCAGATATTCATACGACACGTCATACACAAATTGGAACGTTACTTTTTGAAGCACCTGAGGTATTACTCCATCATTCGTATGGACTTTCTGCTGACATGTTTTCACTGGGCGTCACCTTATTTCAATTACTTTCCCTTAATGTGGACTATAATGTTTCATTTAAATTAATTCAAAACGAAAAAGAATGTCAAAACGATATGATGAACTTGATCCTAAGAAATTACGCAAGTTATAATGGAGAACAAGCTTACAAAGATGTAGTCCTTAAGGGACTGATGAATATCGTCCAGAGACTATCAAAGCTGTCACCACAAGATCGACTGACGAGTCAACAACTCGCACAAGAATTGGACATTTTGGAACTTGAGATTTATTAAAAGAAGAATTCAAATAAATCCTCATCTTCTCCATTCTTGTACATGATTTCAGTTCAGTTTATTCCTTCTTTCTATATCTATCTCGATTGTTGAGAGTTGCAACATGAGAACACGATCAAAAACAAAAATGCAAAATGATAAATCCGAAGACCATCACCCGATAGTCGACGAATCATCATCCAACGACTCTTCCGCAACTGCTGCCTCTATTAGTAGTACCGGTAGTAGTAACGATAATTCCAACAATAGTAATAATATTAATACTTCTTCAAATTCATCATCTCCAACAACATCGCAGAATCGGAGGAGAAGGGTTGTATTTGTGGATGAAATGAAAGAGGAAAATTGGAGTGATGATGATGGTGATCTTTTACTCAATGATTCATCGTATGATAGTGGAAGTAATCGTAGTAGTAGTGGAGGTGATGACTCGGATCATGAACATAAACATGTTAGGTTTAACGAGAAAGTCCGAGTGAGAGAAGAAAGACCAATAGATTTTAATAACTCGGAGCAAGAATTTATAGATGATCCATTGATGACCGATAATACATTGTTGGATGAGGAGGCAAACACAAAGGGACCTCCTGTTGCAATACGAAAACTCTCTGTTAGAAAAATTAGCCTAGAATCCATGGTGAAAGGAAATAGAGTATTTGTGTCAGAAAAATTGTTTCTTGCACTGAGAAAGCAAGCATTTTATGAGCGATATTCGGTAGAATCTGTCACCTTTTCTTCTAACCCATCTCGACAAGAAATTATTTATTTGTTACTTTCTTCACGAGGAAAACGATGTGTCTATCATTGCTTGCCTGAACAATATGAAGCAGCAAATTCAAAAAAGAAAAAGTCTTTTATGAAGAAAAATATGAAAACAATTGCGTTGAATTTCTTTCAAAGAGAATCTCTCGAGGTTGAAGAATATGATGAAGTTACAATAGAGTCTGCATATCTCGAATGGGATGTTGAAGAGAGATTATGTCCAGACTTTTACTCTTTCGTATTTGGAAATAGAACAAAAGTTGCCATTTTAGAAAGTATTGTTTTTACAGTCAAGTATGAAGAAGATATCATTTCTCTACTAAAACTCAGAAATAGTGCATATAATTCAAAATTAGATGAGAATACATTGAAAGAACAATTTTCAACCTTTGTCAAGGTCAATTATGTTGGACACATATTCGGAAAAAATCAAACCATAGGACTAGATTACTCATCGATGAATAAGCATTCTAAAAAGACCAAGAGCTGTGTTGAGTTTATTGTCAGCAACTTGTATTTTGCGCGGAACGAGATTGCCCATTTTGGTGTTATCACCTCTAACACTACGGTAGACATTGTAATATCACAGCCAACTAAGAATTTCCTAGATCGTGAGATTATTTTCAAAGAGCAACCAACATTATTTCTCACATGTGCTCCTCTTTCACATACTAGCGATGCCAAGTTTGATTGTGCATTTTGCAGCAGCTCATTGATAGAGACGAATCAAATAACCACTGACACTCAAAATTTTGTTCTCTATGCAAGAATTTTCCCAAGCTCAGTAGTCTACCGAGTGATATTGAGAGATATGGATGAAGATAAGATACTTATTGGAAAATATCAAAGACAAACATGTGGCGTTGAAATGGGCCAGGAAATACCTGTTCGATTCTTCTTTATGGACCCTTCAAAATGCCGAGAAAAAACAAACGATGAAGTGAATTGTGAAATTCGAGACAAAAGTAATCCCTACTATAGCTATCCTCACTTTGATTCAAAAACGTACGCAATTTCCAAGGATTTACCATTATACAGTGAGAAATGTTTTCGATCCCTTCAAACTATTACTTTTAAGATTGATGATTTAAGTGGTTCTGCAGTATCATTTAGTACATTGCTTGGATACATTTACTATTTTTATCATTATCATTACTTTGAAATTGGACATGATATTGTCTTTTCGCTAGGATACCTAAAACTAAAATTGAAGGTAATTTCCATTAATGGCCAAAGTGTACTAAGCAGCGCCCGAGGAGGACACTATGGAGGATTTATTGGCAATGACACGCTGTGCTATTTTGAAAAGTCAAGAGCGTTTGAATTTAAATCCATACCATCTCATGATTTAATTGAACTTCAACAAAGTATCCATCTATTTGATGGCTCTCTCACCACCGAGGGTGATGAAGACTGCTTTTTTGTGAATAGTATGTGTCCAGAAAAAAGGCAACCACAATGCTTTGAGATTCAATACCACCCGAATCGACCCTCTACCATAGGTATTGTCTATCAATATGTCACCAGAGAGAAATTTGACATTGCTTCACGCTTCAACAAATCCCTTCAATTTTCAAAAATTATTCGTTTCACCTGCTATGAAAACTCATCTCCATTCAGACACACGGTCATTAATTTAGATCAAATGATAATAGAACTATTTGATACTCACGCACAACTTCTTGAGACTGTGGGCCAAGAAATTATTGACACACCCTTCGATTTTGAAGACAGTGAATTTTTCACAATACCAGAATGGAGAAGTCACTTTCTCAACAATAGGCTTCAAAGAGCTAATTTTGGTGATATTAACATTCATTGTTCATGCAGTCTCTACATGGATAAATTTATCATCATGCATGGAGGTTGTGAACATGGTCAGAATATGGAATTGAAGACAACAAAATCTTTGCTTATTTATTCATTGAAGGATAGAAGATTATTGAAGGTTCAAACCGAAGATCAGGAACCATTCATTTATACTCTTTCATTGTGCCATCATGTTTCACACATTTACGGGAAAGATACATTAATATTGTATGGAGGATTGTCCTATGATCCACAACAAAAAAAGTATAGCTCCATGAATAACTTATTTTCCCTTAATTTACGAACACTAGAATGGAAATATATAGAAACCAGAAATGAAGGACCTTCTGTCTATCACATGACCTCGATTCAATCACAAGATTCACTATTTATTTGTGGTGGAGTTCACAGCAGCACCAAAGTGACAGAATATCCATTCATTTGGGAATTGAATTTGTACACTTTGTTTTGGAGAAAATTAAGCGTAGAAGAACCTTTCGAAGATGCGAACATTGGATGTTATTGTCGTTCTCTCATCAAATTCTGTCCAAACACTTCACAGCTTGTTTTTCTCCAGATTCGACGGGAACCCAAAGACGAGCATTACGATAGCAATTATTACAAGTTATCAAAACTTCAAAAAGGCTCAAGACATTTACGAATTCGTAAAATCACAGTTATTTTGGACAAGTCTCCTCTCCAAGCATATCCCAAGTGGAAAATGGTGTCAAGTTCTCTTCACATACCCTTCATTTCCTCATCTGAAAATTATACATTCCAAGACTTGAGAATAGTCTTTGAGGTGTGAAAGGCAATGAAGGCTTTGAATTTTGAAAGAAAAAAATAAGCAGAAACAACGACTGTGATCCTCCTTCTCTCTCTCAGGACAATCTAGTGCTCAAGCCTTTATAAAAACAACTTTTTTCCATCCTCATCCCATCATCTCATCACAATAATTATTAACCGCATAAATATGACACCATCGGAACCATTCACAATCATGGATTCTGAAATACCGGATGGATATAGTATGGTGAGCAATCGTTCGGGAACACAGAAGTCATTGTCATATTTGGATAGATTTGAAGCAAGGAGTGCACGGAGGGATTTTACTAACATTGGAAATGTTCGGGACGAAACCGCAGCCTGTGATGGTGAGTGTTTGCTCAATCATGATTGTTTTGTGTATATCAAACATTGTATGCTTCTCCAATACCAAATGAAAATCGATTTAAAATTCCGATCTTACTAATTTTGTAATGACGTGTTAGATGACAAATACTTGGTTGGTATAGAATCACAAGATGAAATGAGGTTGTGTTTCACAGGATTTATTGTTAAATGCAGCGATGCAAAACAGTATTCACAAACAAAGGATGAATCCCTTTTAGAAAAGCCTGAAAATAGAATGTATTACACATTTTGTGAAGATAGCACTCGGTGGGCTTTTGACTATTCACAGGAAGAAAGAGGAATATGGTTTGAAAACGAGAATGGTTGGTTCAAAATAATGAACCCAAGTAAGAAATATAAGCCAATTTATGATCCGTTTTATAAGGTAAGAAATAGTTGTAACAGACGTATTATTTAATATTTGGAAAGAAATGTGAACTTTGGTTAAACTTGCATGACATTCTTGTGCAGAACATTGACCAAGGATATTCTACAATTATTTCTCTGTTGAAAGAACGGCATAGTGTTGAAGAATCGTACGTGATGGAACAAGCAACTTTTATTTTAAATAATTGCCAGCATGTAGAATTCGCGCACATTCGTTTATCAAGCACAAAATTTGCAAAAGAATTCAGAGAAAAGATAATAGCTGAAAAAGAAAGAGCAGTTCAAGAAGAAAAAGAACGTATTGAACGAGAAAAAAAAGAAGAATTAGAAAAAATTGAGAGAGAAAGAAGAGAAACTGAACAAAGAGAACAATTAGAAAGGCAGAATCAACTCACAACACAGCAAAATCAACAAATACTGCCTCAATCTATCAAAGTGAAAAAAGAGCTTCCAAAAATCAAACCGCTGAGTGCAAATCTCGCAAAACCCAAGCCCCAAATCAATCCCTTAGTCGTTCCCTATATTGAGCGATTATGTATGGCAGCCCAAGAGGAAGCCGACCAAGGAGAATTATCAGACAGTGGTGACAGAGATCCTTTTTTTTCTTCTTATACCGTTTGTAATTTTTGCAACATCCACAGACCTGAGCTCATGGCTTGCAAGGAATGCGGGGAATATCTATTATGTTCCGTATGCTTTTATAGACTAGAATTAGACAAGAATATTCCAACAAAATTTCTTGAGGAAAATATTTCTCCATTTGAAGTGTGTGGAAAACGAGAAATGTTTGTATGCAGAGAATGTCATTCTAAATTGAATGGCTCGGAAGAAAGTGAACATGATTCGCAAGAAAGCGTAGAGCTCGATAGAGTACAAATCACTGATGAAGAGCAAGAGGAGAATGATTCACCACAAGCAAAGAAATCTAAGAAATCGACTAGTACTGTAGGTGATGAATGTCACAGCAAACCAAAAAAAAGAGGCCGACGAAGAAAAGAACCAGAAAAAAACAAAGAACCACAAAATAGCATTCCCAGTGAAAAAGTTAGAGCCACAAGGAGGAAAAAACTTTCAGACGCATTGGCTGTTCATGATATAGACCACAAACAAAACAAAAAATTAGCCATTGAAATAGAAAAAGCCATTCTAAAGAAACCAAATCCAGAATTTTCGAATGGAGATCATGCTGCTGCTATTGTGAAGTTGCTTAAAAACAAGAATATTGTGTCACAATTGCTTGATGGGTCGCTTTCTGTGTCGAAGCTTGTTTCCTTCAGTTCCTCAGAACTAAAAGAATTGTCCAAGAAAAGGATCAAGAAATAACAGGCCAGAAATTGGAGTTGAAGCAGAAACCAGAACTTTTGTGAGGAGCGGGAGCGAATATACGTGTTCATTTTTCGACATTTAAGAGCTCTCGATATCCAAAATGTTCACTTCAACAACGTTAAAAAATATTTCACTCCGTAGTATTAATACTAAGTTGAATGACAGACTCTTCGCACCATTCCTCCGTTATCAAAGCCGAGTCAAACACTTTGGCAAACATTTTCGGAATTGTTGGATGCGCATGCTGTTTTTTATGCCCTTGTATTGGATGTCCATTCTTGACCGTTGCACTTCTTCAAAAATCAACAGATTTCAAATTTGACGATGAAAGAAAAGAATTAATTGTACACAACTATGGAAGTTTGTTCAATTCATGCTGCTCTTCCACGATGGAATTCTCATACGATTCAATTTCTGATATTGAAGTTGAAGTGGATCCTAGCTCCACAGTCAACGGAGAAAACGGATGTCACATTATTCTCTTGTCCAATGATGGCTCTGGACCACACACACTCAATCGTGGATTTATCGCCCTCTCTAAAGGTAACAAAATCGCTCAATCCATCAAGAATAAACTTGCCAACAGTCAACACTAAATAAACATTCATTGAGGAAATTTAAGGATTGGCTAAGAATTTCGGAAAGCCAACGATCATTTAGTTTACATTCCTTTTGTCCATGCTCCTATATGTGTTCGATCTTTTAATTGATCATTCATGCACTAAAATAGTATTCTCTTTTGGTTGACTTTCTTGGGTGGCATGAACTTTTTCACAAAAACAAAAAAATGGTAATTTTGATCAGTGGTGCAACAGGAACAGTCGGTCGTGAGGTAATCCGAGCTCTCAATGATCAAGCTGCAACCACTCTGAATAAAATCAAAGTGAGAGTGTTGGTCCGTAATGAAGAAAAGGCTCGTTCTCTTTTGGATCAATACGAGAATATTCAAGCCTCTTACGTGGTGGGAGATTTGAATGATCTTGAGAAGGTTCGGGTGGATGATTTGTTTTCCAATGTGGAGCGATTATTCCTTCTTACCATCTCTTCACCATGGCAAGCAAAGATCGAATCGGGATTTGTTCATTTGGCCGTGAAATATTGTATCACTTTGAAGGTAAGTTCTAAAGTTTCAAACCTCTGACGGAAATCATCCTTCTCATGTTTTCTTGATCTTTACAGCAAATTGTTCGAGTTTCAGCATTGGGATGTTCTCCAGAGCGTGATTTGAATTGTTTGATGAGATGGCACCATGACGCAGAGAGAGCCATTGAACGTTTGGTGGATAACACTGAAGTGAAATTGGTCATTTTGAGGCCCAACTTGTTTTTGCAGAATTTCCTCACGCAGGATTTGAGAGTCATCAAATCACAGGGTGCGTTTTATCGACCAAAGAGTGATCTTTCTGTACCTTATCAAATTTCACATGTGGATGTGAGAGATATTGGAGATATGGCAGCTGTGGTGTTGACTGATCCTGTAGAAAAGCATGTCAATCAGACCTATAACATTACTGGTCCACAGTCCTTAAGTTACGATCAATTAGCTCAAATTATTACAAGGGCAACTGGTGCTGAAGTGAAGCATGTACCAATTCCAGAGGAGGTCTTTGCCAATAATTTTCAACAAATGAACATGCCATCGTTTGTGGTGTGGATGCTTGTGAAATTATTCCAAATGTACAAACTGAATGGAATCACTGCCAATGTTCATGGCGATTTTAAGATTGTCACTGGAAAGGAACCAAGATCTGCTGATCAATTCTTTACTGATTTTAAGAGTGAATTTCAATAACTTTATGCACGGTTGAGGAACATGCATCGTCATTGGCTGATCCTACTTCAAAGCTTAAATTTTATAAATACCTTATTGACTCTATGTATTATCAACCAGCCATCGTTGGTTTATCCTCCACATTAGAGTCGTCACATGGAATCTGTGGCTCCATTGCTGAATTCATTTGAATGTAATTGAAGGTCAATCCATAGTGCATTTCAAGAGATGGTGTTCCTTCAACTTCTTCTCTGATAGATATGTATGATTCATGTTGTCGAGGAACAGTGGAGACCACAGTGTTGTTCATTGAGGATGGTAAAGCAGTCGTGGTGACTCCTCGACTCCAAAAATCAAATGCCAGAATGCTCATGACGACACTCAGTAACCACCATAGGATACCTAAAAAACCCACAACACATGTCACTTGCAGCCACATGAGTACCGTTTGAGAAGTTTTGATTACACTAATAAATAAGGCAAATACAATGCATGCAAAAATGTACAGAAATAAATGAAGAACATGAATGACCACATTTACAATGAAAAAACGGGAGCGATTGGGTAGAAGAGTATTGTTTTTGATGAGTTTGATACTTGTTGCAATGAACCATGCAAAGACGAAAAATTCTAGAAATTGGATTATGACATGAAACCAAAAGTAGGACATGGCACGATTTGAATCTTTGGATCTATTTGAAAGATTCAGATTTGGAATGACCAAAATGGTCCACGTCAAATGTCCCAACAGAAAGATGAGATGTGCAATGACAGACAAGACCGATTCAATTTTAAAAGCATTCTTTTCAACCAATCGATGAATGTAGGAAGGAACCTGCGAGTTGAAATGTGTGACTGCAGTTGATGTTTCGGTGGTAGAAGGTGCATGTTGCTCTTCCACGTGTGGAGGTTGTGGAGATGGTGGTTGAGACAAGGAGCTTGTTGGTTCTATTCGCATCTCTATTTTTTTTTAATTCCTAAAAACAGTCCTTCTCTGTCATTTGTGCCCCTTGAAAGATGGCAAATTCTACTGAACATGCATGAGTGATTGTTTGTTTTTGATAGATTTTTCAATGATGGGAGAAGTTTAAATCGTCCAATTCTTGAACCTTAACAAAGAATTTGCTGAAATTGTAAGGACAAAGTGATTTAATTGAAATATTGTCAATTCGTCACATTAATCAAAACCAAATCACTCTAATTCTTTCTGAACAGAACAGGTTGAATTAGTTCAAGATTTATTCCAAGACATCAAAGCGCTTACAAAAAATTAATTTCCACAAAAAAATGAAACGAACCTTTGCGGAAAATTCTCCTTTCGAGTCGAGTCAAAAAAAGTCCAAGCACCACAGCAGCAGCAATGGCTCATCATCATCGGCACCCACAACTGTAATTTCTTTACCAGACGTTTCATTCCGTGGAGTGATTGATTCCTATCAGCCACCATCACCATCGTACGGTAATGATGATGCATCAACTCCTAAACATCCCATCTTACATTTGCTTTCATTTCTTTCGGTTGAAGATTTATTGTTGAATGTAGCGTTGGTTTCAAAGAAAATGTACAGAGCCTGTATGGACAGTGTTGAAGAATTAGTATTGGATTGTGATGAAATGAATTTGAGTAGTGGAAATGGAGTATCGGAAGATGTAACCCAACTCATTGAAATTGTGAATAGATTTCCTAGGCTCAAATCTCTCTCTTTGGATGGATTGGAGTGGTTCAATGATTTGTGTTTGAGCAGTTTGTTAGAGTAAGTGTGCAGATATCAATCAATATGATGTATGGAATTATTATTCTAACATCAATTAATTATTTACAATCCTCCGAATACGCATTTTCATCATCATTATTAATCTTGTGAATTTTAATTTCAAAAATCATCAAACAACAATATAGAAAACTTCCTCCCAACTTATATGACTTGCATATCCGAGAATGTGGACTTGATTCTCCCTCTTTTGTCGATAGAAAATTACTCAATTCCGGAACGTTTCAAAATCCGAGCACACCAGCATCATCATCAACCGAACATAATTCTGTAGAAAAATCTCCAATTCAACAATTGAAACATCTCCGATTCAGCTCATGCACATTTACTTGTATTGAAGTGAGAGCTCTCAAAGAATTACTTTCACTCGAGTTTTATGATTGCTCACTAGGTGATGGCGGGTTGAAGCTTTCCAATGTTCCAAAACTTGAAAAGTTGGTGTTGTTTAAATGCACTAAAGTCTCTGATCTTGCATTATTAAATACTCTGAAACCATTGTTAGAGGAAGAAATTGAAGATTTGAATAGAAGTTTTAATACTCAAGATGAAGAAATTGCTAACGGAGATAAACCTGCCAAGAATGATGATGACAGCATCTTTGATATTCACGTTAATTTTAGGAAAAGAAAATATGGTGCATTGAAAAAGCTCTACCTCACTGAATGTGAGCCTTTGCAGAATCCTGTCATTCAAAGCAACACTTTGGAAGAAATCAAAATTATTAATTGCAAGTACATTTCTAAACCATTCATTTCATGCCCTGCCCTTACTAATCTTCAATTGAACTGGTGTGAAAATTTGAAAAACCTAAGTCTTGCTTGCGATAATCTGCGTTCTATTGATTTAACTGGTGCAGGTATCACTTATAGCAGTAGCTCCCAATCCAACAGTCAAGGTAGCGCAACCAAGAAAGAAGAAAATACAGTTCTGCAGAACGTTGTAGGTTGTCTTAAACGATTTTATGGCGACCAGATCACCATTACCCTTTAATAAACAATTCTTCGGCACTGCATATGTGTTGCATAATGGTTATTCCTCAACTCTATAAATTTTGACCAACAATAATTCTTGAAAAACCAAAACGTTCATTGTTTGACATTCTATTTGGGCGAAACATCAAGATATGACTCATTCATAAAAATATGAAGCAACAACAAGAAACATCACTTCTAGTGATATTCAAAGATGGGAACACCGAGTTTTTTCTGCTTTGCGAGTTGTTGAGGAGAATTTATATTGACATTTATAGTTTTGTCACCCTTGTTGAGTCACTCTTTGAAGGAATCCACAAAAAAATTGAAAGCTTTCAAAGATGCATTCTCCACTCCATCGTCTCACAGAAAGCACCACTACTGACAGCTTTGTCAAGAACACGATGGTCCTTTTCCTCGTCGTGATGATCGCAGTCTCCACCTCAGCCAATCCAATGAATAACCAATTCGATCATCTCTGGCCTATTCAGAAATCTTCGTTCTCCTCAACATCCTCTTCTTCTTCTCTTCTTCAAATCTCTTTATTCAATACTTCTGACTCTCAACAATCTTCATGTTCTTGTCCCAACTGCTATTGCAATGCACAGACCTGTCCAAAAACGATTCTTGCCAATCGTTTCACAGTTTTGGTATCTATGGAATGTTCGGGTTCTTTGACAGCCGGCGTTGGACTTGTGAATATAAGATCCGTTGACACGAGTGGGATTCAATATTTTCTAGTGGATGCTGCCAATAAGGAAAAGGCACTCAACGGTCAACCATTTGAATTTTCTTCCTATAAGAGTACTGAAAATAATCAATATTCGACTTGTGTCTCTGATGGAAGACCTTCATTTCGTCCATTTGCGAATTCCAATAGTGCTTACATGGTGGTGAGAAATAGTAACATGGTGTCAACCTCCATGTTGGAATTCAACGTTCAGTTGTCATGTGTGATTTATCCTGCCACAATGGTGAGAATGAAAACATCCTTTGCCAATGAATATTTCACAAAACATTATGTTGGATATCCTTCCACCTTTGCATTCAGTTTTGTGAACAAATGGGATGGAATTGACACTTGGCAGCAAGGTATCATTTCATTGACAGGTGTTTCATCCACTCAACGCGCAATTGTTGTAAATGGTGTTGGATCCATGCAATATTTTCCAACCCAAGCAGGAATTTTGAATTTACGTTTCACATACACTCCAAACCCAAACGTTTATGGTGGTTCTTGGGATAATTTAGATTCAAGAATTATTGTCAATCAAATGGCAAGCAAGGGTTCAATTGATATTCAACCAGGAAGAGCTCTCCTGCCTGGTGAGTCATTCACTGTGAATTACAAAATTTTTGACAATGATGGATCCATCACACCTTCCTTGGACTTGTCAAAATTCAAAATTGAGGCATATCATGAAAAAGGCCCTCGAATGAGAGATGATCTCGTTTCATGTATGCATGTAATGAATCGAAGAGGAGAAGGTTTCATCAATTGTAACACGTCAGAAATGATTGCTAGTAACTTTGAAATTCGAGCGATGTTCAATGGTGTTGTGTTGGATACAAAAACGATCCTACTCGACGGACCTGTGTTAATCTTTTCATTGACACCTTTGCAATGGCTTTTCATTCTCGGAATATGCATTGTCATTGGAGTTGTTGTGATAGGAGGTATTTTATTGGTTGTCTATTTTATGAGAAAGAGAGAAAAGAAAGAAATGGTGAAATTGGAAGATCCTATCGATAATAATAAGGAATTGGAGCTAGAGAATATGGAACAGCCATTTAGAAATGCTCAAGAAAATTAGTTGAGGACCTCATCCTTTCTCAAACTACCAATAAATTCAAGGTCGATCAAATTCTTCAACAATAATTTGTTCTTCAGTAAATTTAAACGTTACATCATTTAAACAATTGATATTCTTAAACAGTCCTTTCTGGAGAATGTAAGACATGGTGAAATGTTGGTCTGAAGGACCCTCCAAAATAATTTTCATGACCTCAAGAACTTCATCTTGTTTAAATGAATTTACAATATGATATTCAAAAACTCGTTCAGGATAAATTTTGGGAAATTTTGTATCATATTCCATACATAATATTCGTTCAATCAACACAATTTTGTTATTTCTGAATTATTCTTTGTTCTGGACGAATGTTGTGTTTCTGAGTCTAATCATAAATAATGAAAGCTCAACACCGTATGTGAGAGTTGAAGGCGATAATAATAAAAAACATGAAGTAAAATCGAGAACATGAGCTGTTTATTTTACCACATACGTTCGCATTGAGAATACTAAGGATCAATCTTCCAAACTGATTTTATGGTGTTTTTTTAAAATCTAATAGAGATGAAATAAGTTTTAAACAGACATAAGACTAAAGATCGTACTGAGTAATTGTTGCAAACTTACTGGTGGTTTGAAAATAATATTTTGTAAAGCTCCTACATTGTAACTAGCCAACTTGAAACTTGTCGGAATTGTAAAACGAGGAATTGAAATTTGGGAACGGTTAATGCGTCACTTGTCAAAACGTTTGTCACATTCACAAAAAAAATAATCCAACGTCCAACTCTCATGTTGATCCGTTGCTGTATTGATTGCCAAGAAGATGAAGTGGAGGTTGTAGCTTCCTTCACCTGTCAAACTTGTTCCCGTCACTTGTGTGATTATCACTCGAAAATCCATTCCAGAAAAAACAAAGATCATCAAGTCTCCTCTGT